GGTAAAAATCGCTACGAGCAACCGTTCTTAAGATATTTAAAATAGAAATAGTCAATACATGTCATTATTGACAAAAAATAAGCATACGTTGAATAGAGTTATTTGACTGAAATAATAAATTTTTATTTTTTTAAATTAATCATAAATATTTCTGCGAAAAAATTATGATTAAACAGTTTCTGTTGAACTTTTGGCACAAAAAGATTTAAAATTTAAGATTTCAGTCTAATATCTATTTGGTCAACATGTTTAATTTGTCAGTGATGACAGGTATTGATAAATTCAATTTCAAATATCTCGAGAACCATTACTCGTAGCGATTTTTACCAAGAGACGTTTTATATGTAAAAAAAGTTGTAAATGTATATTTTTTTACTCAGTAGTTTTATACAGGTATGGAGGAAAAGTTATTACTCTTCAAACCAGTTAAAGCATATGCAGGTGGCGCCCTCTACAAGTAGGAAATCAAAATCAAATTTCTCATGCCAAAAAACTCCCAGACACGAATTTTCATCCAAATATTGAGGTTACTTCATAAATTATTTGGAAAAATTCGAAATAAAAATGAAACTTCTACACCCTGTATCTCCTAAACTAAGCATTTCACGACATACATTTATACGAACTTTTTTACTTATTTTAATCTGCAAAATATGCTGCCGAAGTTTGCGGAATACAGTTTGGACCACCCTGTATATACAAATATGACAATGTCCTCCAATGAAAATGCGAGTTGTTTAACTATAATATTCCTAATTATGAGCTAGCAAATGAGCTACCAAACCTAATGAGCTAAATGCTTTACCAAGATCGTTATTCAGAAGCTACAAACAAACTACAAACCTTGTTGCATATATAAAAATATGCAAGACAGTTTTACCTCTTTTGTAAAGACAATCCGGGGACATACTGTAGAACATTGTATGAAGCAAACATCTGGCGTCCTTATGAAATTTCGTCCTATGTATTTTCTTTGTTTGTTAACAAACAATATTATAATTATAATTTTGCGTATTTTAATCGGTAAAATTGTAAACAAAATAAACAAATGAACAAGATCAAAGATTATCGCCAAATGTTTTCCGATAGCGGAAACATTATACGCAAATTAATAACTAATTTTTAGTAAATAATGTCAATGAACAAGGAATTTTATTCTGCTGTATTATGTCAACATTTTGGAGTATACATTCGATATTTTTTTGGTTTCTAAATTTAAAGAGTCAATAATCAATATTTAAAGATTTTTAATAAAAAATCTTTAAATATTTGCGATCTTTCGGTGAGTAAATATACCTACGTAAGTTAGTGTCTTGTCCCTGGCTGTAGTATCGTGGCCAGGGAATAGGTCTGTTCAGTAAAAAAAAATTGCACTAAAAGCGGTAAAAATTAATGTTTTAGTATTATAATACCAATTAAATAACTTTTTTTTCAAAAAAATAAACTCCTTTGACAAGATAGACTCTTGAAGTTATGCGCTCCGTTCAAATTAAATAAACGCGCTCTCATTGGCCTGACGTCACATGCCTGCCGCAGGCTGCTCCACTTGCGACGCCAAGACCGTGATTCAGTTTGACTGTGACACGGTGGTGACACTCCCCATACACCAAGACATATAACGATGCCGAATGGGACTACCCTGTCCGTCATACCAGGCACCCCCTACTGTCTGTGGTCTTGTATCACGGGCAAAGGGTGTGCGGGTCTTGGCTCAATCACCCAACCCTCACCAAAAACCTAATAGTCCAGTCATTAGGGATTTTTGCTTGGAAAAAAGTCCGGAAGTTTTGAAACTTTGCAGGTTTATAGGTTTTGGGGTCCCTAACTAAAATCCATAAAATGCATATTTCCAGACTTGCCAAGATGGCGCCCAAAATCGGTATTTTGTAAATATCTCGAAAACTATGCGTTTTTCGCAAAAATTTGAAGAGAGCAGAATTAAAGAGAATAAAATTTCCTATAAAAAAGGTTCTATAAACATTTTCGCTAAAGTCAACCGTTTAGGCACAAAACACTGGAAATTCAACAATTTTGCGTAAAATATGATATATTTATAGCCCATTTTCCGAAATCAAATGTCGATTAGGGTTTACTAAAACTAGTTTTAGTTTAGTTTCTTCAATTTTGTCATGAAACCGTGGAGTATCATTAATTCGCTCATTAATTTATGAATCATTAATTTTAATTATTGAAAATGTGTTCTTATTTCCACATCACCCAAGAGGTAAAGTACGCGCCATGCGTTTATTTTAACGTGGTCTCCCCGGAGGCCTACTCCACTAGATAAATTAAAAACTTTAACTTATCTGCACAAGCCCGACGGACCTGGCTCATTGATGTCAAAGTCGATCGTGTCTGCTGTGCTGGGCTCATCAGGGTGGTCTCTTAATTCGTCCAATCCTTCATCTTCAGTCGCCAGAGGGATATCTACAGGCAAGTCCAACTCCTCTTCATCGGATTCGTCGAGTGACACTTCAGTGACGTTGTCAGAGGATTTCCCATTGCAGTATGCACAAATCATTGAACATTTTAATCCTGCTTTTCTGCATCCGCAGGCTTTATCACAGTTGTTGGTTTTGCATTTACAGGATAAAAATGCCAATAGGGATTTTGGAGCTGGATCTTTCAACGTTGTGAGTGGAGTAATGCTTTTTTTTTAATGTTTTTGTTTTCTTCCAAACCCATTCTTCGGCATCTTTGGTACAACCAGACCAATGCTAAATCTGGTGGTAAGTTCGCAATGAATGCTGTCCAGCACCAAGTCCAGCACGACAATTAATTATTCATAAATTAATGAACGAATTAATGATACGCGACTGTTTCATGACAAAATTGAAGAAACTAAACTAAAACTAGTTTTAGTGAACCCTAATCGACATTTGATTTCGGAAAATCGACTATAAATATATCATATTTTACGCAAAATTGTAAAATTTCTAGTAATTTTGTGCCTAAACGATTGATTGGAGGTCTCAACCAAGTCTCAACCTTGGGAACAAGGGGGCAACGCATTGTATCCTCGCCTCTCTTACTTCTACATGCAAGGCTCTGTAGAAGTGGACCGACTAACCCTTGCCGTGTATCACCAGCTTTGCCAGAACTCCAATGTAAGGACATCGAGTTGCCGAATCATCAACTCGAGGAAGGAGGACCATGATCAGGTCCTCACATAGGAAGTGACTTCAAATCCAAGGAGGCAATAGAGAAAAAGAGATATAGTCTCTATTATAGATCCGGGACAACACCGGTATCGGGTCTAGAGGGAGACCAAGTTAAAGAAGTAGAGAGTAAAATAGAGACTGATCCTCCAGCCTCCACCTCAAGGGTACATCAGCCGGAGACAAGCTCCTCGATTGTGATACAGAGGGCTAAATCCCAGCCATGGAAAGGGGTTTAGCCCCCCATACCCTCGCAGCAGGTAGATGTCCACTCCTCCGAGGATGGAAAATGTCGTCCCCATACAACAGGAATATCCCCGTGTATGATGAGTTATAACTCAAGAAAGGAGACAAAATAGATCTTTAAAGCCCCATCTATAACATAACGTTTTGCCTTACGTCTTAACTGTGCAGTCAAAACGCATCAAGTAAAACATTGTGTGTAGACGAAAAAATAGACGTTTTAATTGAACTGAACTGAAGTCAGAAGACCATCAGTTCTGTATAGACGGACTTCCGCTTTAGCTGACATGCAAAACGTTAAGAGGTACGGTAAAACGTTATGTCTAGACGCAGCTTAAGGTGTTAAAAACCGAATTGTAATTATTTAAAACAGATTCATGGTTAGCGAAACGTCCAGGGTAACAAAAATGTATTATGGTGTATTGCTTTTTAAATTGGGTGTATTTTTTCTCAATATACAGGGTGGTCAGAACTGTATTCCGGAAACTTCGGCAGTATATTCTGCAGATAAAAATAAGTAAAAAAGTTCGTATACATGTATGTCCTAAAATGCTTAGTTTCGGAGATACAGGGTGTAGAAGTTTCATTTTTATTTCGATTTTTTCCAAATAATTTATGAAGTAACATCAATATTTGGATGAAAATGCATGTCTGAGAGTTTTTTGACATGAGAAATTTGATTTTGATGTCAATATGACTCCTATTTGTAGAGGGCGCCACCTACATGTGTTTTAACTGTTTTGAAGAGTAAAAAACTTTTCGAGTAAAGAGTTTTTGTATAAAACTACAGAGTGAAAAAATATACATTTCCGTAACTTTTTACGCTACGAGCTACGAGATGGCTACGAGCAACCGTTTTCAAGATATTTAGAATGGAAATAGTCAATACATGTCATTATTGACAAAAAATATACACCTTGAGTAGATATTGACTTGAATGAAATAATAAATTTGGTAAATTTTTATTTTTTTAAATTAATTATAATTTTTTCTGTAAAAAAATTATGATAAAACAGTTTCTGTTAAACTTTTGGCACAAAAACATTTCAAATTTATGATCTTAGTCTAGTAACTACCGTATGATCGAATAAAAACGGCGTCAGCGATGGCTATGAAATGAAGATCGATGACATTTCCCATATAAAATGACAGCGATCTTCATTTCATAGCCATCGCTGACGCCGTTTTTATTCGATCATACGGTATTTAGTCAACATGTTTAATTTATGTCAATGATGACAGGTATTGATAATTTCGGTTCCAAATATCTCGATAACCATGACTCGTAGGGATTTTGTAAAAAAAATTATTTGGAAAAAATCGAAATAAAAATGAAACTTCTACACCCTGTACCTCCGAAACTAAGCATTTTAGAACATACATTTATACGAACGTTTTTAATTATTTTCATCTGCAGAATATGCTGCCGAAGTTTCCGGAATACAGTTCAGACCACCCTGTATAATAATTAAAAAGAGAAATACTATTTTCAAAATTAAAGGTTTGTGGAACATTTTGAAACACTTTATATTTTTTTGAATTACCTATATTTTTTAAGTTACAATTAGGGTAATGATATTATTAAAAAAAACAACTCACCAGCTTTTCCTGAGGCGTTCGGCACCCCTTCCTTTTCCAGCGACTCGAATAACTGGTTGTACAGCACCCCATGGCAGTTGATCACACCAAACAAAATCCCATTGCAGAAGAACGACCCTACCATTATGGACCAGGCTCTGACGCCCCCATCGACAGGTACGTAATCGTCCACGTTTTTCCTCGGTACCACCGCCGAGGTTGCGGTACCGTTGGAGATGGTCGTTTCGTTTTTGGACAGGAATTTCGCATTTTGTTCGATATCGGACCCACGGTCGGGCATTGTTTCATTCACCAGGCGTACGAGTACGCCTTTTACCAGGAAAATAACGCGGCTATCTCATTACTGAAGCGGGTCCCACGTGTATGACAATCAGCTGTTCGAACGGTGACGCTGCTGGAGTGCGCGTCTGTCAAAGTGCTGCAGCAGCGATCGACGACAGGCGAATAAAATCAAAAATCAAAAGTCAAATGACGCGCGCGGTTTTCGTTTGTTCGGTTAGCCGCCTGCTAGGGTTTGAGATGCGCCGAGAGAGAAATGTAAGATGTGCGCATGCATCGATACAGTGGGATTTTCCTGCTGGACTGCTGGAGCGCCTCCGATACGAGGGGCGGTCGATACGTAATATTTTGCTAGATGGAATTATTGTACGTATCTCTTTGAACAATTGAATGAAATACATTAAAGACAGAAGCTACGGTATTGTAACCATTTCGCAATACCGTTTTTGTCAGTTTTGTTTAACTTTTTCTTGACAAATTTGAATTTTTGCAAATTTGGTGCGCTTTTCTATGTTTATTTTATATGATTTCCTCTTTAATTTATAATTTTATATTACAAATTGTACAAATCTGTAAAAATATTGTGACACGACTTAAATAACAGTGAACTTATATTGTATTACCACAGATAACACATTTATCTCTGGTATTACCCTTATAGAAATACAGGGTTCGGCAATAGTGCGTCGGGCATCTGTAGGTCCTGTAATAAAAAAAGTTAGCCACCCTGTATATTATTGCATTTTTCGCTTTCTTTTTTATCACTTTACAGTTTTTCAGGCTTTTTTCAAAAAATTATTAAAAATACAAGAAATGTCCTGAAATCAAAACTATATATACTAGGTATTTACTGTAGTGGGTCTGTACTTACTTTTCTACAAATATCGTAATCTTTAACCATACAGGGTGTTCAAAATTGTATGCTAAACTTTTTAAAATATAAAATAGTTTTCCTTCTTTTTTTAAATGGAACACCTTGTATATTATTTCTTTGTTGGATGGATATTTAAAAAATGAACATTTTTTGTATTTAAAGTGTTTTAAAATTTTCAGCGGTTTCGCAAATATTCACAGTTTTGTTACATTTGGCTCTTTCAACGGTAAAATACCAGACAAAAATTATTGGGTGGCTTTGATAAAAAATTACTGTTGAAAACCCCATATTATATAATACCACGAATATCCAAAAAACCGTTAAAAATTCTGAAATACTTTAAATACAAAAAGTGTTCATTTTTTATTCTCCATCTAATAAAGAAATAATATACAGAGTGTTCCATTTAAAGAAACCAAGAAAAACTATTTTATATTTTAAAAAGTTTGGCATACAATTTTAAACACCCTGTATGGTTAAATATTACGGTATATGTAAAAAAGTAAGTACAGACCCACTACAGTAAATACCTAATAGAGTTTTGATTTCAGGACATTTCTTGTATTTTTAATAATTTGAAATAAGGCAGAAAAAAAATATTTTTTTTTACTTATTTATTAATAAGGTTAAAATCTTTGAAACTAACAAAGCATATTTAATAATATCTTAGGATTATGTAAAACGATCAAAAAGAAAGCCAAAAATGCAATAATATACAGGGTGTTCCATTAAAAAAAATCATCCTTTTCCACTCGCACTTTTTTGAGCCACCCTGTGGAAGTTAAAATATTTTCCTGAAATACCATCCTACTTTTTTCATCCTACTATTACAGAAGCTACAGATGCCCGACGCACTATTTCCTATTTCCTGACCCTGTATATATTGCTTCTTCCCCTAGGAGATGCAAGACCTTGTCGTTGGTGGGGAAGCTCCTGGTCAGGTGCTGGGGGGAATCCCCCCTAGCACTTGGCTTAGTTTAAGAAGCATCTCACTCATCGTCTTGTCCCTGACTGTAGTGTCGTGGCTAGGGAATTGCACCAAGACATATAACGATACCGGGCGGGGCTACGGACAGCCTCAACCTTGGGGCACCCCATTGTATTTTACCCCTTACTTCTACATGCGGGGCTCTGTAGAAGTGGACCGACTGTCCCTAGCGACTCATAGGAACACTATGAGATCTGGTAATAATAGTAATAAAAACATCACCGGTGAAGCTGTGGGGAAACCCCCTAGCGACACTGGGAACAGTAACAATGAAAGTTCCAAGGGGCCAAACCCAAAGAGAACTACAGGAAAGGTGGCTAACACTTGCGTGAGACCATCCTCCGCAAGTGGCATACAAGCTACCACCTCATCCAAGGGTCGGGAGCCTACCTCCTACATCTAAACCCAACAGGCGACACAAGCTACCGTTTCGTCTACCCGGCCTGGGTCGTAGCTCCTCGACTGTGAGGGACACGAGTCTCCGTAGGAAGTCCTGGGACTGTATGATGAGTTATAACTCAAGAAAGGGGGACACAATAGATCTCTAAGGTCGCAGAGATTAACCCCCCTCCCACTTATTCTAAATTTTAAATATATTGCTTAAATAATTTTATTGAATTTATCTGTTTTCATTAATCATTCATAAAATTTGACCATTCTCCAATCATTGTTATAATGAGAAAAGTTACATGAAAAAAACTATACTTACTTCAGATAAAATAATAGTCTTCAGAAAAATGTTCTTCCGATAGAAATACTTGTACAACATATTTACTATTTACAAATGAAAATTTGGGATTTTTTGCGAACATAACTTTTCTTATTTTCCTTTACCTTCTAAAATGTACTTTTCCTCTGATATTTTCTATGGCGGCGTTTATAAAATTAAGAGTACAGTCAAAATTATATAAAAAATCAATTTTAAAAATGAAATAAAGATCATTTAAGTACTATAAGAGGGTTAAACTATAGTGCAAAAAATTCTGTAAAGGACAAACCTATTATGTTTGATTAAGCAGGATATCTGATATTATCTGCACATATATAATTATAGTTATTTAATATTGCTGCATTCTTTTTTATATTATTTACTTCATTAGCATTCTATACCTAATAAAATGTTTAGGCGTGTTTTAGTTGATGAAAAAAACACAAAGGCGGGTACTTATACATATACATTATTATACAAGGAGATACAGAAAATAATATCCAGTAGATTTTTAAAGAAATCGTAAGGCATGTACAAGGTGCCTCATTTTTGTGTGTTTTAAAGTTTAAAGGGTTTCCCGTTTATGAGTAGAGACACAATGATGCAGTTTTCACATCACTGTGCTTCTTCTTTATGAAACTAAAGATTCTAGACACAGATTGGTCCTAGCCTTCTTAGTTCCTAAAATACAGAACGAATTTGATAAGTTTGACTCAAACTTGTGTATTTTTAAATAGGATACCCAGTATATTACTTTTTATTTTATTTGTCTGGTTATAAGCTTTCGAAAAATATATAGTCTATACTTATTTTCATAAACAATGCATTATTTAACTTGTTAAAATAGGTGGCTTGTTTAAATTATAGGTAAACAATAAATCAATCAAATAATATATTTGATGTCAAATTTTGGTTATTGGCCATTTCACGTTAGTTTCTAGTTTCTATGTGTAGAATTATTACACAAGTGCATTAGAAATATCAAATATCAATAACTCTGATTGACAGCGTGTTATCTGAAAGCTGCGCCATTTTCAGTGCAGTTTATCAAGATAACGCGATGAAAAACAAAATTATCAGGTTACATTAAATTAAATAAATTAATGTTTTATGATAAAATGTTAAATAATGCATTTTTTTAGAATAATATATTTTTAGAAAACTCATAACAAGACAAATAAAATAAAAAATAATACAGTGTCCCATTTAAAAAAAAAAATAGCTTTGCCCTTTGAATAAGAAGACTAAGGAAGGAGCATATCAAAAATCTTAGGTACACCGCGATGGGCCTCAAATATGGCCGACTTAAATTCCGGTTTATCAGTGTCGTTCTAATTTTATTTAAAAAATGTAAAATTATGATGTAGGGTAGACGTGGGGTAGACTCAATAATTTGTTGTTTTATTTTACGTTGTGAATAAATGTTGGTAGTTATTAAAATTGTTATAAAAATATATAATTCTAATAAAAATAGATGAGTTATAATAAGTATTTATTAACACAAACATCCGATACGCTACTGAAGCAGGTAAGTCAAATTAACGTATCTAAGTTCTTTGACATCTAATCTTTGACAAGTAATAAATAAAAGCTAAAATGCTTCTAAAATGCAAGAAAAATACATAATTTAGTTAATTTAAGTGAATTTCATAAATGATCGGTTTACTACACGTATGTATATTATATAGTCACTTACTAGCGAAAAGTTGTTCCATTATTTCACTCAATTTTTGCCGAGATCTACTGCATGCTACACAACCAACTATTTTAGAGTATTTTTCGATAAATCGCGATAGTGTCACTGTTAATTTAAGTTCTGCCACAATTTCCATCTAGATTTACTACCTTTATAAAACTATCAGTAGTAGAATAAATAATAAATAACATAAAATAAGCTCTGTAAAGACTGACAAATCCACAAAATTTCAAATCAAATTCAAATGTGTCAAACAGAACTGTCAAGGATCCCCACCCTAGAGTGCTTTTTCCGCCCACCATGCATGAATACGTGGATAGCATTATGCTCCTTCCTTTAGTCTTCTTATTCAAAGGCTTTGCCTCATATTTCGAAAATGACAGCTCCCAGCGAAAAATCAGTTACGCCATTGGATTTTACGTGAAAAACTCTATGGGACTCAGTTTTTACCTTTTTGGATAAGGGTGCGTACAGGCTGAAAGAGTCGCGTCGAATTTGAATCAATTCGCTTAACTGGGCCGTTCAAGCAGAAAGCGTCGCGTTTGGCGTTGCGCTAGCGTCCGCTGAGCGTCTGGCGTCGAATTCAATCTAAATTGTTTATCGGCGAAATTTGGAGCGTTCAAAATTGTCACATATAGAAATATAAACTTGCGTAATCGGCTATTTAAAGAAATTATATCTATCTCTATTTTATATTTTTGAAATTTATAATATAGGTAATATCTTTATTTAACTACTGTCTCTTTATTTTTTAGGTTGGTTCTCCGGCATTATTTAAATGCAGAATATGACATTTCTAATGGTAACATTAAATAAACTGCTCTCGTTAAAGCCATTTTACAAACTAGAAATGTAAAAAACAGCCTCACAAGACGCCGATCTGGCGCTTCCAGCCTGAACCCCACCACGCGACGCTCTCAGCCTGCACGTACCTTAAGTTATAAGATAACCTGATAACCTAGATACGGAGGGAATCGGAAAATGCAAAATTTTCAAATTCGCCCTGTATGTCGATCAGGAACTAAGAGGGCTATAACACAGCTATGAAGCAACCGCAGCAGAGAACCGTAAAGAACAGTCGGCAGTCGTAATATTGCATTAGCAACACTGTCCCGATATTTCATTATGAGGATCTGACAACCCTGCAAGCAAACTGTTGTAAACAAAAAATGCTGTTGTGGTGTGATAAGCGAGGTTATAAGCATTTCCAAACTTTTGTAATCATTGTTAAACAATGTTTCTTTGATATGTACTCGCCTTTACAATTATTATCATTATGATATGAATTTAACCGTAACAGAGACGAAGAAGAGACTGTCAAGCACATAATATGTCCAGCGAAAGGACCGACAACAGTGACAGTTGTGTCTGTCATTTTAATTCACAAGTAAATTGTATTTTCTGTCATTGTTTGACCATCAGCTGTCGAAATGTTGCCTGACACGTTGGACAGATCGCAAATTGGTTCTGCCAGCCAAATAAATGTTAAATTTGCCTCTCAACATTCTCATTTTTAATAAATAAAACAAGTGAAACGTTTAATAAACACTATATTACATAATTATTTTACACTTGAAAACAGAATGAGCCGTTATAATTAATTTTTACATTTTACAAACACAAACACCATTTACATTTCTTATCTTTACCCCCACACTTCAACTTTTATCATGTTTTTTCCGTACTAACTTTCTTGAACTCATTTGCAATATTTTTCACGGTCTGGACTTTTTCCTTTAGTTTTACTTTAGCGCTTTCTGCTTCTGATCCGTTGCTTAACATCAAGGTGACAAAATCTAAACAAAATATTTTTTTTAATTCAAAACTTTATTTCATTGACGTCTAGCCGGACCGTGCAACGTTACAACCCGCAGTTCCGCAAGCGTATTTGTCTTCGGTGGAACAGCAGAACAAAGTAATACTTAGCTATAACCTGGTTACAAAATCAGCCTGTGTTTTTTATTTTTTTTACAGGTGTTTTAATTTTTTAATTTTTTTTGCAGCTGTCGGTAATAGCAGTCAAAATACGCCGTAGACGTGTTTTGATTGCGTTGGTTAGTCTTTTGGGTAAGTTTTTTTTTGCGTAGATTGCACGCCAATTTCTACTTTTGGCTTCTACGCATGCGGAAGTTCCTTTAACATTTAGTTGAAACAGATATAGAAAAGCAAATACACAAAAAAGTAGCCACAAATTAAAATAAGCAGGCCAAAAATCGCTTCGCGGTTTTGTTGAGTTATTGTAACAAAGTACTTCAAAAAATAGCCCAAATTGCACTAAATCGCCCAATCTGGCCACACTATGCAGAACTGCGGGTTGTAAAGTTGCAACGGTCCGGCTAGATGGAAATCTTTATTTCAAGCAAATTTCAAATGAGCACTAGGGCTGGGATTTATATCCGATATATCGATAATTTTGCATACTCATCGATATATCGAATAAAAACACGCGAACTTAAAATTATCGATAGTATAAAGTATTAAACAACAATAATTGCATTTTACTTACCATGATAAGACATTAATTCCGTATACTGATCTTCAGCGAGTGAAGATTTCAAATAAGTCAAAACGGTAGATATATGCCGACCACTGGCGTGCAGCATACATTGCGTGGTAGTAGTAAATATGATGAGAGTGGCCAAGTGAAGCACCAGTGCCAGGTCATCGCAGTGGTTCAACTTTTCCAGAAGTTCGTGCTTGTGGTTTAGTACAGTAACGCGATCTTTCTTCTTGTCCACTTTCTTTATTATCATGCTGCAGGCTGCCAGCGCGGTCTCCGCCGCTGACATAAATTCGTCGATGCTTTGACCTGAAATAAATTCGTTTTTATTAAGTTTTCAAGAAATTTCTATACAGGGTGTCAAAAAAATATTTTGGAACAATGCCATGTTTAGGCAGCCCTATTAGTTCAAAATGTCTCCATTTTTCCATTTAGCTGTAAGCGATTTAACCAATGGCAACAATGGAACGTTAAACTCAATTGACAAACGTTAAACGGTGATCGTTACAGGGTGTCAAAAAAATAAAGTACCAAACTACAGTGGACCAAATAGATAAAAATAAGACAAAAAGTTCCTATCAACATAATATGCCCTAAGAGGCTTCCTGATAAAGTTACAACCCTCAGAAAAGATAAATAAAAATTACATATTTAGTCTATCTGGTCATAAAATTCGCGAATTTATTTGACTTGTCACATCTGTCATATCTACCAACATAACAATATTATCATATTGTCACAGCACAAATTTATTGAAAATTAAACTAGAAAAACGTGGAAGAAAGTAAGAAATAATAAAATGAATAAATGAATCTGCGTGTTCTCTATTGCGTGAGTACTAAAAAAACCAGAAAAAATCAATAATGCTCAATTTAACCTCAATTTAGTAGGTAGGCACTTCCGACTTCACGAGAAAATTGATTGAAAATTAGAATAAGTTCTATTAGCGTCAAGAAAATCATGAAGTTTACCTTGAATTTGTTGTAGATTTAAGTTGCCGTTTTACATTCGTCAAGTCTTGTCTTGAAGAAGACTTTATAAATAAATTGTCAGTGTAAAACAGGCTTTAGACACATTTTATTGCCACAGCAAATGGCGCTAGTGGATAAAGTAATTTCAATAAATGACATAAAAAGCAAGGAGCTTTAATTAACAATGTAGTTACATACCACATATGACCTAAAATATTACAAAATTTCAAGTGCGGGCTGTAAGGGATGAAACTTTCCCAGGAAGAATTTTAGGGCAGATGTTTATAGCAACTTTTTTATTTTTATCTGTATCTTTCACTGATGTTTGGTACAGTACTTTATTTACAGCCTTTACAGCCTTAATTGAAACACATCATGTAATTTTTTAGATAATATCTGTGAGGCAGATCATATAGGGTGTTTCTTAAGTAGCCTAAAAAAATTATGGTGTGATTCCTCATCTGTTTTTAAAGAAAAATGTTTATATGAACATGTGGTCTATTCTGGTTTTTCATATACAGAGTGTTAAAAATTTAAAAATATCGAATTTAATTGGCTTAAAATAAATTATACGCTACTGCTTTTTTTCAAAAACCCATTTTTTCTTGATTGGCCATCCTTTTTTAATATGATTGATCTCGTAAACAGTTCAATATGTATACAAGTAAAACTCAAGACATCAATTTTGTTAAAAAAGTGTTGTAACACAGTCACCAATCACACAAAAAAAGTGGCCTATGCTTTTCATCAGACCATCATATCCTATAGTATTTTTCGACGCTGTGCACGAATCCGCTATCAGAATTAAGCTATCACATCTCATTTTTTTTCTAATCTCAAAAACTCCCATATACAAACTTTTGTCCAAGTCCGGCCATTTTTTGAAATTCGCATCGGCCATATTGGATCCGCCATTTTGAATTCTGCCAATATGACGTCAGATTCATAATCAGCGACCAAAAAACCCTATACCGGTGAAAAAAAATCCGTGCGATTTACGAAAATCATGACTTGTGGCAGATTTTTTGAGGTTAGAAAAATATGAGACATGCTAGCTCAATTCTGATGGGTGTTTTGAGTTTACCAGGCCCATTTACATAAGGTTGTAGTTGGTGGTATACATTTTATAAGTTTAGAGAGTTTTTGTTATACAGGGTGTCCCAGAAATGAGTGCAGATATTTTAAGGGGTGGTAGATCTGGCCAAAAGAAACATATTTTTTCTTTACCATTTTTAAAATAAATTGAAAATAACCGAGTTATTTAACTTTGAAAGTTTAAAAAAAAATTGCGACATTTTGAGAGCCGCCGGGGAATCTCGCGGATCCCCCGGCGCGGGGGAGAGATCTCGCGGATCTCGGCTTGTTCGCCGCCCGCTGTTGCCGCATCGACTAGAAAGACTTAAAAAGTACTTGCAAAATCCCACACCACCCAAGAGGTTCTGCAGAGGTGCGTTACTTTTTTTAAGTGGGTGATCGCCAGTAGCCCTACTTGCCCTCGCAACCAAACCAAACCAAACCCACGAATAACCTTAAACATAACCTTAAACTACACACCATACTAGGGATGTACGATTCGAATCGATTTTTATCAAATCGACGTGATTTTTATCAAACGATTTTTTGGTATAATCGATCTTTTTTTTTTAAATCGAAGACCGATTTTATTTATAAAGTTTTACAGGTTTATTTATTTGTTAGAATAAGAAAAAACACTTTTAGTTTTGCTGGAATATTTGTTTGCAGTGCATCCCTAGTAAAAGGCCATCTAGCAATGAACTGAAAAATTAAGTGTAAGTGCTCGCTGCTGCATGCGCCGATATTTGTTTATCACTTTGATATCAGGTGTCAGATTTTTGTCGGGGCTTCCCTTATTTTTATATTTTAGATAACGTAGAATATTCTTTGATTTTACCTTAATTCTTTCTTGTACTTTTATTTCATTTTTGGGATATCTCTACTCCATACATTAAACATTTAGAAAATTGATTTATCTATCTTTATACAACCACCAAAACGTTGACCCATAATAGTAATACATCAGTCCAGTAGAGGACGCTAAGTCAAAAAATTTCTAAATAAAAATTTGTAATTTGTAATTCCTTTAGTGTTTTCGAAATCGTTGTCGGGGTTGCGTCGGTTTTGAAGAAATGTCGAAGAAAACCCCGGACTGTCTACCATCAGCCGCCGGATATACCTAAGTAGTTATTAAAGCAAGTTTTTTTTAACATTTTTTATTGTATTTATGAGTTTAGTGTTTGATTATTAGCATGTGAAAAATTTTAAATAATATTTTAAAAGTGATAGGCATGTGATAGGTTTGTGATGTTCAGTTTAATAGATATTTGGTGTGTGTATGTGTTTGCGTATATGTGTGCTGGATAAAAACACTTTCATTAAAAGGGTAAGCTCTAATTAAACATTAAAGGTTATAATTGTTTTTGAAACGATTGAAAATATTTCCTAATATGGCGAAAAAGAAGCTATAATTGTTAAGATTTATTTTTTCGGTTTACTCCACTGTAAAAGTATTTAAAATATTGCGCGTTTCTCTAGAATTAGTAGAGCAATCTACACTAATATGAATAAAATTAATTTTTCGTATTTTTTTTTCTGTAGCAACTTAAAATAATTGAATTTATAGATAAACATGCAGAATGTGGGTATGGTAGGAGGTGGCAACGTTGCATTCTCTCCGACACTCTCTATGCCCGGTAAACAAATTTCCCGGGGAGTGAACAGTGGCACTCAAAAGTTTTTCAACATTTTCCGGAAAATGTCAAGAAAAATATAAAATTTTCAACATTTTTTTTTCGCAAAAAAAACCTCATAGGCGTGTTTCTGGGGTTGAACTATACTACCAGTTAAATTATCTGCACTCATTTCTGGGACACCCTGTATATTTAAAAGTTTTTGAGGTTAGAAAAAAAATGAGATGTGATAGCGTAATTCTGATAGTGGATTCATCCTCAGCGACAAAAAATACTATAGGATATGATGGTCTGGTAAAAAGCATAGACCCATAGACTTAAAATAAAATATAGACTGAGCATCTCATTCATAAATAGCTGGAACATGCGGTCAGACACTGTCTTGTTATTGTTGTGTTATTGTTTTAGGCACGTTTTAGGTTATAACGAGTGCGACACGAGCGATAGATAGGTTGTCTCTGTCGTAACGGTCGTTCCCTGACGACTCTGCCGAGAAACACAACACTGTCTTTCGTTTCTCAAGTACACCTGAACTCTCCGTATCATAGCCGGGTAATTTTTTTTATTTTAATGAAGCTATAATTAAATTAAAAATATATCGTATTTAAACTGTTTTATATTTTATTAAGATTTAGGACAGGTTTTTTAAATAAAAGTTTAGAAAAAACAATTAGAGTCCAAAAAGGATAAAAATAATAAAATACACGTTATAGAAGAAATTTTATAATCGAAATTAGGTAATTTTTGAAATTAATAATAAATTATTAATTTTAGTCAAACATTTACAACCCCTAATATTAATCAAAACAGGATCTATTCCACAGATATAATAGAAACGGCGACAGGGAGAGAAAAATAAATATGATTGTTGTAATTTTTTTTCTGGTTAAGTGATGTCTTATTATGTAAATTAGAGAAAACATAAATCTGTTCCATTAAAGCAAGGAAGGTGATAAGAAGTGGATAAAATAAAAACTACATTTATTTAACTCGGTACTGTCTTTATTATACCGGATGCGTCTCAAAAGTGGCTCATCCCCCATAATTTTTTTATATTTTCAAATAAAAAAACAAGATTTAGTATGTTAGTATATGAAATAAATTAGGATTGATTGACGCATTCAATTGTTTTTGGTCACTTCCTGTTTCACCGGAAATGACTATAACTTTTAATTTTTAAACGGCACCGTCGGTATATTTCTACTTTATACGATAGAAAATGACACTCTGAATAGAATGACATATCATATGTCAACTTTTGACATTTTCGCATATGGTTTAATTGTAATTGTAACACGCGGTTCATAACGACAATTTGACTCGAAATACCAAGTGTGTGGTATAAATATATTCATAAAAAAATTCATTCAAATATGCCAATGAGTCACCCTTGTTCCATTTGAAAAAATTGACATATGTATGATTAAAAATACGATTTGTACATCTTTTAACCGGCCGAGACAAGACACGAAACCCATTAGACGATCAAAACTATTTTTCCAAGGCTCCTTGATTAAAACTTTAGTGGATTGAAAAAACTGGATTGAAATTTAAAATAGGATATGTTTTTAAGCGACAATGTCAAAAGTTGACATATGATAAGTCATTCTATTCAGAGTGTCATTTTTTATCGAATAAAGTAGCAATATGCCGAGGGTGCCTTTAAAAATCAAAAGATGTAATCATTTCGGTGAAACAGGAAAAGACCAAAAACAATTGAATACGTCAATAAATCCTAATTTATGTCATATACCTACTAACATACAAATCTGATTTTTTTATCTGAAAAAATAAAAAAGTTATAGTGGTGAGCCATTTTGAGACGACCCGGTATATTAAAAAATATTGTTTCATAATGTAATATCATTTTAAAATTCTTGTATGTTATTTTAGATTCTGAAGATAATTTTAGAATAAACCGGAATATATTTTTAATAAAAACATTATTAATTATTAACAGGGTTATAATTATGATTTTGTTACAATGTAAGTAAGTAAATAATGTAATGTAAGAGAAAAAATTCAGATTTTACATTTTACTAAAATATTATCTAAATAAGCGCCTTTCTACAACAACGCCACTGACTCCCAATGGGTAAATTGAGAGTTGCCTACCGGTCAAAAGTCGTTTCAAGACTTAAATGGATTATTTAAGTCAAATTTCTTGCAAATTTGGCACTGGCGAACCATATTTTATAGTTCTTGAACAGAAAAAGTCAATAAAATAAACACTTAAGCACTACAAGCTAAGAAAATGCGTTAATACAGCCGGGGAGATAGCGGCAACAAAGCTTTACCGCACACGTGCGACACGTACTACAAGGTAATAAATGAATGAATAGGCTCCCTCGCCTCTAATCGGTGTTGTCATATTGTAAAGAACTTATCCTTTTTAAACAGTATCCGACTTATAATTTAGTAGTATAAGGACTATTTAATACATCTCTGGAATATTAAAACCTACTTTATTAAACTGTAGTATTAATATCTCAATATATGTGTATAACAAGAAAAAAAATATTGATAATATTAAAGACGTGACAACATAGGCTGGATGAGGAAGGCTCGGTCGACTGTACCCAGAAGTAAACATGTGTACAAAAAAGGTTGTTTGTCCGCGTTGAGATGTAAATAGTGTAGTCTATATTTTATTTTAAGTCTATGCATAGACCACTTTTCTATTTTTTTTTTGTGTGGCTGTGTAATCAATCACAAGAGACTGTTTTCTCAAAAAAACGCAGTGACGTACCATTTATTTTAAGCCGATTAAACTCGATATTTTAAAATGTTTAATACTCCGTAGATCAAAAAGGAAGTACTTTAGACCGCATGTTCATATAAACATTTTTTCTTAAAAAACAGATGAGGAGTCACACTAATTTTTTTAGACTACTCTAGAAGCACCATATTGTATTTGTAAATTAAAAATTTAATGGGAAATCCGCTAATAATACATCTGCTAATAAATTTACGTCATTCCATTAAAAGAAACTAACCCCATTCACAAACCTTTAATAAAAAAATGACCCCTAATGTCCGTATATTTTGTTAAAAAAATGGAATCAAAATCTCACGAAGCTATTTTGAAACAATGCCATTTCTAGGCAGCCCTAATATTTCTAAATATCTTCATTTTTTTCTTTTACCTGTAAGCGATTTAACCAATGGCAACAACGGAACTTTAAACTCGGGCGATAGCTCATTGACAAACTTCAAACGCTGATCGTTATTGAAGTTCTCGGGAACGCTACTAGACATCGTCTCCCCTGCTACATAACTCAAAATCTCCGTGGCCACGTCAGTACACACAGTTTTCAGAAGGTATTTCACCAACTGCGGTTGAATATCTGCAGGCAACAGCTTCAGGCCTTTTTCGAACAGTCTCACGTCACTGATCAGAGCGTTCAGCTTCGTCTGCAGCTCGTTATGAGTCTGTTTTCTGCTGGCTGTACGATCGGCCACGGTGGTTTGGAAAATTTCGGCGGCTATTTGAAGTCCCTGCTCGTTTAATTTCGGTGTTAAGTAGGTAGTCAGAGGGTCAGTTAAAACATCAACACCTAGAAAAAAGAATCAAAATTTATTCTACTTTGGTATTTATACCGGGTGCGTCTCAAAGTGGCTCACCCTTATAACTTTTTTATTTTTTCAGATAAAAACAACGAGATTTGGTTTGTTGTATATGATATAAATTAGGACTGATTGACGTATTCAATTGTTTTCAGTCACTTCCTGTTTCGCCGGAAATGACTACAATTTTTGATTTTTAATAGGCACCCTTGGTATATTTTTACTTTATTCGATAGAAAATGACACTCTGAATAGAATGACATATCATATGTCAACTTTTGACATTTTTGCGTATGGTTTATTTTAAATTGTTACATGCGGTTTATAACGACATTTTGACTCAAAATGCCAAATCCGAGGTATCAAATTATTCGTAAAAGAATGCTTTTTCCAAATATGCTAGTGAGCCCACCCTCATTCCATTTGAAAAAAAAATTAGATATAATTAAAAATACGATTTGGGCATTTTTTAACTGGCCAGGATAAGACAGGAAAAACATTAGACCATCAAATCTATTTTTCCAAGGTTCCTTGATTAAAGATAAGTGTTTTTAACACAGCCATGGCACTCTAGATTAAATTTAAAATACAATTTTTTTAAGCGACAATGTCAAAAGTTGACATATGATATGTCATTCAATTCAGAGTGTCATTTTCTATCAAATAAAGTAAAAATATACCAAGGGTTCCATTTAAAAATCAAAAGTTGTAGTCATTTCCGGTGAAACAGGAAGTGACTGAATAAACTTTAATTATTTTTGAGCACCACACGTCACTTCCTGTTTCGCCGGAAATGACTACAACTTTTGATTTTTAAATGGCACCCTCGATATATTTTTACTTTCCTGAATAGAATGACATATCATATGTCAACTTTTGACATTTTCCCTTAAAAAAATCGTATTTTAAATTTCAATATAGAGTATAGTGTAAAAACATTAATTTTTAATCAAAGAGCCTTGGAAAAATATATTTGGTCATCTAATGTTTTTGGTCTCCTTTCCTGGTCGGTATCGCATTCGTATTCGCCCAAATCGCATTTTTAATCAATCTCAATTTTTTCAAATGGAATGAGGGCGGCCCATTAGCATATTTTGAAAAGCATTTTTTTACGAATAATTTGGTATCACACACATAATCGAAAAAAAAAACGGCGTCCTGTTGGCTTGGAAATGACGATCGATGACATTTCGCATATAATTTTACATATAAAATGACAGCGATCTTCATTTCATAGCCATCGCTGGACGCCGTTTTTATTCGATCATACGGTACTTAGAGTAAAATTGCCGTTACATTTATGGCCATGGCACTCTAAATTGAAATTTAAAATGCTTATTTTTCAATTGAAAATGTCAAAAGTTGACATATTCTATGTCATTCTATTCAGATTGTCATTTTCTATCAAATGAAGTAAAAAAATACCAAAACATTTCTGGTGAAACAGGAAGCGACCGAAAATAATTGAATGTGTCAATCAGTACTAATTTAAATCATATACAAATATACCAAGTCTCGTTCTTTTATATGAAAAAATAAAATAGTGAGGTACCCATATATAGGAGTAACCCATTTTTGAGACGCACCCGGTATACAGATAGTAGGATATGAATTTCAAGGGTCCTATAACCTGTTATGCAATACCCAGTCCCAGCATGAACCTTTATAGCCTTCCTCTGCAGTCCAAAGATACATTTAACTCCAGAAGCATGACTTGAATTAGAATCAACTTACCCTCTTCCTCCAAATATCCTTGGAGAATTTCCCGAATCTCGGACTCGTTCACTACCTCAAACTGTTTTTTTGATTCGCTCGGAGCAACTTCATCATCCTCATCTTCATTCTTGTTACCTCCACGAAAGTGCTTCTTCGTGGATTTTGTTTTAGTCTCGCGTCCTTGAGTCCCCCCACCGCTTTTACCACCGGCAGCTTTCTTACGCCTTTCTTCTTTTTTGTCAACTTTTTCTTCGAAATCGTCTGATCTGTGCGACTTAGTTTGAGAACCTACAATAAATAATTATAAGATTGTTTTAATGCGCTTTTCGAGAAACCGCACTTTTCCAGACGCACTAATGGATAAAATGGGTTTTTACGATTATATACAGGGTGATCCGAACTGTATTCCGGAATCTTCGGCAGCATATTCTGCAGATAAAAATAAGTAATAAATAACTAAAATGTTTACTTTCAGAGATACAGGGTGTAGAAGTTTCATTTTTATTTCGATTTTTTCCAAATAATTTCTGAAGTAACGCCAATATTTGGATGAAAATTGGTGTCTGGAAATTTTTTGAAATGAGAAATTTGATTTTGGTGTCAGTATGACTCCTACTAGTAGAGGGCGCCACCTACATGTGTTTTAACTGTTTTGAAGCGTAATAACTTTTTGTCCGTACCTGTATAAAACTACCGAGCGAAAAAATACACACCTCTTTTACGTAAAAAATATCTCTTTGTAAAAATCGCTACGAGTCTACGAGCAACCGTTCTTAAAATATTTGGAATGGAAATAGACAATACATGTCATTATTGACGAAAAATAAACACGTTGAGTAGATAGTTATTTCACTGAAATAATAAATTTGGGAAATTTTTATGTTTTTAAATTAATCATAAATTTTTGCTGCAAAAAATGATGATAAAACAGTTTCTGTTGAACTTTTGGAACAAAAACATTTCAAATTTATGATTTCAGTCTAATAACTATTTAGTCAACATGTTTAATTTATATCAATGATGACAGGTATTGATAATTTCGATTCCAAATATCTCGAAAACCATTACTCGTAGCGATTTTTACCAAGAGACCTTTTTCACGTAAAAAAACGTTGTGAATATTTTTTTACTCGGTAGTTTTATACAGGTACGGACGAGAAGTTATTACTCTTTAAACTAGTTAAAAAATATGTAGGTGGCGCCCTCTACTAGTAGGAGTCATATTGACATCAAAATCAAATTTCTCATGTCAAAAAACTCCCAGACACCAATTTTCATCCAAATATTGACGTTACTTCCGAAATTATTTGGAAAAAATGGAAATAAAAATGAAACTTCTACACCCTGTATCTCCGAAACTAAGTATTTTAGAACACTTATACGAACTTCTTTACTTATTTTTATCTGCAGAATATACTGCCGAAGTTTCCGGAATACAGTTCGGACCACCCTGTATACAGTGAAGGAGTATTTTTTTTGAAATAAGGAATTTTTATTTTGAAACGTATAAACAAACCAAACCCTTACAACAGAGTAAAAATCCATATCCATTTTCGACTTACTCTGTATATACCAATTGATTTATAGTCTGTTTTAACATGATTAGTTATGCAGAAAAAAAACTATCAAAAAATACTTCCAGTCAAGAAATATCAGTAATTTGAGATTTTATTACTTTGAAAAGGAAAGGTCTTGTATTCCAGATAAAAATAAGTAAAAAAGTATGTACAAATGCATGTACTAAAATGCTTAGTTTCGGAGATACAGGGTGTAGAAATTTCATTTTTATTTCGATTTTTTCCAAATAATTTCTGAAGTGACGTCAATATTTGGATGAAAATTGGTGCCTGGGTGTTTTTTGACATGAGGAACTTGATTTTGATGTCAATATGGCTCCTACTTGTAGAGGGCGTCACTTACATATTTTTTAACTGGTTTGAAGAGTAATAACTTTTCGTCTGTACCCGTATAAAACTACTGAGTAAAAAAATGTACATTTACGACGTTTTTTACGTAAAAAAGGTCTCTTGGTAAAAATCGCTACGAGTAATGGTTATCGAGATATTTGGAATCGAAATTATCAATACCAATCATCACTGACATAAATTTAACATGTTGACTAAATAGTTATTAGACTGAAATCATAAATTTGAAATGTTTTTGTGCCGAAAGTTTAACAGAAACTGTTTTATCATCATTTTTTCAAAAAAAAATTATGATTAATTTAAAAAAAATAAAAGTTTCCCAAATTTATTATTTCAGTCAAATAACTATCTAGTGAACATGTTAATTAAACTGTGTCAACGTGTTTATTTTTTGTGAGTAATGACGTGTATTGACTATTTCCATTCAAAATATCTTGAGAACGATTGCGATTGCCGATTTTTAGCAAGAGACATTTTTATGTAAAAAGTCACGGAAAGCTATATTTTTTCACTCTGTAGTTTTATTAACACATGTACAGGGTGGGTCAAATTCGACGCTTTTAAATGGAAACACCCTTTTCTATAGAAGATAGACGAAAACTAATATCGGTGTCTGAAGCTCAATTTTCATTAAAAACATGATGGTGAAAACCGCACATCAATATCTGTTACCGTTTCGGAGTTACGGGGTGTTTTTCAAAAATGTGCATTTTTAACAAATCGCTGTAACTTTTTTGCTATGGAAAACTTTTTATTTCTATGAAAACATTTCCAAAGCACCTTTTTACATAGAATTTAATGGTTTAAGTATAATTTTTTAAAAATTAATAATTTAAGAGTTATCAACAGAAAAATTTATTTTTTATTTAGGACACCCTCTATATTTTTAATTAACTGTAAAGAATTTAAAATTACCTTTCCAAAAATATAGCACACTTGATATTTTGTTAAAATCCCCTTCGAAATACAGAATTTTTAAAAGTTCGCCACTTTTAACTAGTAGGCTTTGGACCCCTTATTGATGATATGCCCTTAATGGAACTCGAAAACATATTTTTCCAGCAAGACGACGCACCGCCTCTGAATGCTGAAGTTATCAGCAAATTTTTGCAGCGAATTACAAGAATAATTGAATAGCTAACCAAGATCCCAGCCGTTGGCCGTCGAGGCCGCCTGACTTAGTGCCCATGGATCTAATCCTATGGATATATTTGCGGAAGAATAAAGATTCCTTATTCTTCCGTATAATCTAGACAAGAATTAGAAATACTTAGCAGTTATGAGAGGGTATCTTTCACCCCCACTGAGTTAATGAATTCCGCGAGAAATGTTCAAAAACTACCCCGTCTGTCCATAACAGAAGACGGTTGATATGTTGAACACCTGTAGCAAATCTCATGTCTTGGTTTGCTATTTATTTTAATTGTTATTAGACATAGCTTAAATGTGTTGATGTTGGTTAAATATATTTTAAATTGTTATAAAATTCTGCATCTCTCATAGCAAATGTTATTTTCGTTTTAATTGATGCTCACAGCTAGATTTTTTTTGCATTACAGCCGGTACCGTTCAAAGGCTACTTATTTAAAGCGGACGAATTTTTATGTACTCTATATCTCGAAAAGGAATCGAGCAAAATATCAAGTGTGTTATATTTTTGGAAAGGTAATTTTCAATTGTTTTCAATAAATTAAAAATATACAGGGTATATTTTTAATTTATGGCCCATATAAACAATCAAATTTTCTGTTGATAATTCTTAAATTATTAATTTTAAAAAAATTATACTTAAACCATTAAATTCTAAGTAAAAAGGTGCTTTGGAAATGTTTTCATAAAAATACTTAATTTTCTATAGCAAAAAAGTTACAGCGATTTGTTAAAAATGCATATTTTTGAAAAACACCCCGTAACACCGAAATGGTAACAGATATCGATATGCGGTTTTCACCATAATGTTTTTGACAAAAATTGAGCTCCAGACACTGATATTAGTTTTTGTTTATCTCCTATAGAAAAGGGTGTTTCCATTTAAAAGCGTCTAATTTGACCCACCGTCAAAAAACTCGCAGACACCAATGTTCATCCAAATATTGACGAAAAAATCGAAATAAAAATGAACCTTCTACACCCTGTATTTCCGAAATTAAGCATTTTAGGACATACATTTATATGAACTTTTTTACTTATTTTTATCTGCAGAATATGCCACCGAAGTTTCCGGAATACAGTTAGGACCACCCTGTATATTATGATTTGATGGTAGTTTTGAAATGAGAATTTTATAAGAGGTCACCAAAAAAAAATACTGCATTTATTATTTCTACAGCAATTATCTGGAATCACCCTGTATATTTTATAAAACAAATAAGGTGAGAATATTTAATAGGGAACCTATATTGTTTTTTTTTTCAAAAAAGAAACTGGGCAATCCTGTTTAATTGGACATAAAATAATTACAAAATAATTAAAAATTATCTATTATTATTTATTATTAACACAAATAAATACCTTGAATTTCAATAATATGTTTTTGGTATTTGCCTGATTCCACTACACTTTTAGCCTTTTCTTTCACAAGCTCTTCACATTTACTAGAAAGGCTTTCCAGAAAAGATTTGCTGATTACAAAATCTTCTATAACTATAGTTTGCTGTTTATTTTGTCCAGACAACAACTTTTCTAAAAGAATTGATATATCTTTTGAAGTGAAACTTGAAGGTAAATTGCTCTGCAAGTCTACGTATGTTTTGCTTGAAACACACTCTTCGATATCTGCTTCAATTCTGTCTAGAATTCTCTTCAAAACCACTACACTCGCAAGGTAAAATAGTTCTTCATTGGGTAGTTGTTTCTTTAAAAAGGTTTTATAATCGTTTATACCTATTCTAGTTAAGGAATCATATTCCAGATATCCATTTTGTTTGTAAAAATTATTTACCCATTCAACCTGTATTTAAAAAAAGCCGTTTAATAAATTTCATTTTAAAGATTTCTGTACTTACTTGAGATCTTAAATAACAATTAGGAATATACTGAGCCCCTGGCAATCTGCTACTTAAAATTCCATACATACAACTTTGATCAAACAGTGAAAAAAACAGCTTTTCACTGAGTCCAATTTGATTCAAAATAGAGGCAACAGATGTGGGTCTAGTTAAACCGACCAAAGCCCCTCGAAGTTGTGCTTTGCTTCTCGCAACAAAACCCTCAGTAAAAAATACTTTAGCATCGTTTTTGTCCTGTTGTCCAAAAATTAGTTTACCAAGATGTTTCTCTACTACTTGATGTTGTAAAAAATCTGCAGGTAAATCGTATGAAAGGGTCAAATCGCCCACACTGATTTGCCCGTTTTGTTGTAGTTTTTCATTGATTTCTCCGGCAATCCTATCAACGTAACTCGAATCAATTAACTGACCTAAAATGTTATGAATATCTTTGCGATTCTTTAAAACCTCGTTAAGGTGATTATTGATGTGAGTTAAATCTACTCCAATAATTTTAGCTAATTCGACAAGGTTTATACGCCCTCCGGCAATATACAGTTCGTCTTGTATATTTGTTATAAGATGGGAAGCCGTAATATATTCTTTCCCATCAGTGGTAAATATTAAATCTATTAATTTTCTATCTATTAGCCACGAAACAATCTCTACACAATTTCTTTCTGATAATCTAAAAAAATTGTTTGCTTAGTTGTTAATTTTAAATAAAGCTTTAGATTACTTTTGTGTGGTAGAACTAAGCTGGACTTTTTGGAAATCTGCAGCTAGTCGTTTTACTTCTTCCCAATCAGCCATTTTAGTTATTTGCTATTGTTCTGCTATTATCAAATTATAAACTAAAAAATTTAATAATAATCTTTACTTTCCATATGGACAACATCACTGACAGCTTATATCGAAAATAAACATGACAAATTGTGTTGACACTTGACACAAGTCATATGTTTGACAGCCTATTTTGTTGCTCAGATATTGTATTGTTAGTTGCCTAAGTAAAAGTAATAATTGGTAATAATAATGTAATCTTTGAATGTATAATACTACCACGAACTAAGATCTCCCTGATGATTTTCATTGAGAATTACGCACTTATTTTACAAATTCCGTTACGTTCAGATATTCCATTACATACTCAGAAGCTCTACTCAGAATTATTCATATTATATTAACTCAAAACTATATACCTAGAGAAAGATAATAACATTTCTTATTACTTTCTCTTTGCTCAAACCAGTACAATCTAATGGAGTAATAAAATAATGCAGCAATTAATTTCCACTTCTTTATTTTTAAAGGAACAATTTATAAATTATATACTAAAAATAGTAACACAGTGCGCCATTGACATATCTATAGGTATTTTACTGAATTTTACGTGATCAAAGAATTAAAACTATGCACCACCCAGAGAAGAAACCACTTACAGGAACTAGCCACTAGAAGTACACTTTCCGAAACTAATACTTCTACAGTGTCTACAATTATTACTGTTTTTATGTTACGTTTTACTTTTAAATTCAACCACCAAGAGCTTCTATAAACATTCACTTTAAGACACCTACATATAGAAATTGATTATACATATAAATATATACAAATTTTGAGAAAATGCATGTAGGTAACCGACATTTTTTTTGTATAAATGCAAAACGCCTAAATTCCAGTATTTAATTAATAACTATATTGTTTTAACAGTTTTATACCTTAAATAATTACATTAAGTTATTTTAGAAACTGCTAATACCCCGAAATAAATAAATGCAGTAAAATACCTAATAACTAGGGATGGGCGTTAATGAATTGTACTTATCGATAAGTTATATATCGACAGGTATCGATATATAGGAAAAAATCCCATCCCTAATATTAACCCGAATACTTAAAGATGAACAGTAGGTATTGCAAATAAAATCTGGTGATTTAATGAGCAGCAAAAGGAATAATTTTGCGTTCATCTTCCAAATTCGATAGAAGAAAGGATCTATAACTCTGATTTAGGATTTTCGTTACTGAGATTATTATCTTCTTGCATTTCAGACATCTTGCTCAAATAGTTGGGCTGAATCGATCTCTGAAGCTCGTTCAGTGACTCTTCCGCCTATCAATATAAAAAGTAATTTATTTAGGTGAACAGGGGTAGAACTCTGTAATTGAATAGCCAACAGTAGCGATGAAGAATACTGTCCTTGGCCGTAGAAACTAGACGGCAAGCGACAGTATTCTTCATCGCTACCGATCGCTATTTAGTTACCGAGTTCCACCTCAGAGTGGTCAAGTTGAACAAATCAGTACCTGCCGTAAAAGGCTGACTGCATTTCTCAGAATTCTTTGCCATTTTTGAGCCTCTACGCTATGCAGGTTTTCTTGCTGTTGCAAAAGCTTAATCCAGTCGTCGTGCGATTTAGGAGGATTCCTAAAATATATGTATAGGCTTAGAATTAACAATTTTACAAAAAAAAATTACTCTTGAATAAAAAGCCTAAGAAATGAGCGTAAAGGTGCGTTCATCCGGCTGCGCCGCTCCGCACCGGAGCCCCCCCCCCTTTCCTTTATACCCCTCATATATATATTAACTAAAGTATATCGACTCCAAACTGCATTCTGTGAAGCCAAGCCTGTGAAATGGGTATATAAATCTTCTAAAGGAATTTGCATAAGTCGTTCAGTTAGCTGTGCTCAAGCGCAAGCCTGGATTTTGAATTATCGATCGGATAACCAGACCAATAAGAGACTAGAGCTAGCACCAGCTGTTGATTCGTACGGCTCCGGCCAACTTCGTACGGCTTTCGTTTGCGTTCCCGCTCGACAATTGGCTAATCCTCAGAGTAAGGGCTAATCGATATTCGGAATTTTGGAGTTGCGCTGTTGCGCCAGTATCTGCCTAACAGACGAACTTATGTGAAATATACATGGACCGATTATCTAGTTGTCTCTAACTCGGCTTCAACTCCAACACATTGCAGGGATAGGCGATAATCCGTATATATTTGATATGTATATGATACCCCTCTATAAATTTAAGGAACCAATAACATTTTTCAGTAAAGTTTATTTCTTTACCTTTAAACTCAGCACAAGAATTAATTCAAAAAGTAATGTACAGGGTGTTAATAATCAATTCTTTTGTAGCATGCATATTTAAATATCTTTAAATATCTCAAAAACCAAAGATTTTAAACATATTACAATAAAACCCTTACAATAAATGCCTTTTTTTGGCCCAAGAATCCAAAAATGAAATAAAATACCGGGTGTTCCATCAGAAAAAATTTAACTCTGGTAAGGATCTTAGTTCTGAGACACCCTCTATATTTCAAAATCATTTTAAATTGTACATTGCCTCCCCAGATATACCCAAAAAATATTTTGTTTCTACATCTTTCCGTTTTCGTATAATCAACCGAGGCGAATGAGGTGCGCCACCCTGTATACTTGCAACCTATTAGAATTTTCTTTAAAATAATAAATAATAAAGAAATTTAGTAAAAACTTACTGCAAAACTCGTGGATCGAAAAAACTACTAGGTGACACTTCCTCTAAGGACCACAATTTTAGGTATAACATTACGTTTATAATTAGTAACAGCAACAGTACGCCAAATATTATGGCCGTACAAACATCGGTGGTGAATATACCACCTGTATGTGACATTTTTTTCCTAGGAATATCTATAACAAAAAGAAAAATTTTAAAAAAAGTTTTTTCTTTAAATATTTAATTACTTACTTAACCTAATGTCTTCAAGACTATACTTTGGTAAATTATGTAGTCGACGCTTCCGTCTAGACTTTCTTCTTTGTTCGGGTATATTTTCTTCCCCTTCCGTTTGTAGCGCTTCTTTTAATTTCGAGAAAAAGTCTTCCAAACCAGACCAAACGTTCCTTTCTATCATACCTACATTAAAAAGAACAATGACGTGACGGCAAGCGTATAAAGCTTGATTTTCATGCATCCGTTTTCCGACGATACGATGAAACGATATTAATTTTATTGGTTGAATTTAAAGACTTCGGTTGGTTAGAAACGGTTAACTAATCGAAGCCTTTAAATACAACCATTGAAATTAATATCGTATCAACGTATCGTCGGACAACGGATGCATGAAAATCAAGCTTAAGAGATGCAGCACTTCCAAAAACATCTTAAAAATTACTTTTTAACGTAAAAAATTAGTATCTAACAAAATATTATCTTAATATATTATGAATAGCTACTAAACAAAATTAAAAAAGTTATTGTATAACCGTTGATTGAGAATCGGGACGATACGCAACCTAATGGGCAAATTTGTAACAAGGCTGATTTGATTTCCCCTTAAGTATCAAGTGCTGTACGGTGGAGACACCAATCGTTCTGCGGTCAATGCATAAAACAGTTATTTTCTCTAATTCGGCCAGCGAAGGCACCATCGAATACGGTGTTGATCTTAAAGCGACAGTGTTGCCATATTAAAATGCGTAATATCTGTAATACCTTTGACGAAAATATCTTTGGATGAAAAATCCGCGTTTATGTATTGAAGATGTATTCGTTTTAAACATAAGCTTTGTTCGGGTTCTTATTATTACCGATTCTGAACTGTCCTAGAACTCTGCCGCGCATGCCCTAATGAAATAATTTCTCCGTATTTCCTTCTGCGCATGAGTATCACAGTTCTAGGACGGTTCAGAATCGGTAATAAGAAAAACCCGAAGTAAGCTATAGAATAAACAACAAAATTAAAATTCTTTTATAGGTAATGAATATGTCGTATGATCGAAAAAAGTTATTTAGTTGGCTGGGAAATGACGATTGACATTTGCCATATTTTACATATGAACTAACAGCGATCTTCATTTCCAAGCCAACTCTGACGCCGTTCTTTGTTTAATCCAGTGGCGGCTCGTCAGGGTAGGCAAGGTAGGCGGCGCCTACCCTAAGATTTTGGCACAATTTAAGCGATTTATTACATTACATTATTTACTATTAATGTTGCCAATACATAAAAATACTGTAATACACGGAAGTGTGTTTTAATAATCAATATTATTTTAGTATTTGTGGTCTTGTATATTAACACATTCACTACCGCTAGCGAACTCTGACTGTGCCGCTGCGTTAGAAAACAAAATAATTTTGACCGTTGGCCGTTGGAGTGCCTTTGTTCGGCGATTTCTACATCGCCTACTATCAGAGACGATGCACGAGGTACGGCAAATAGACGCCACTAAAATTTTGTCGCCTACCCAGTCACACGGGTCACGAGCCGCCACTGGTTTAATCATATAATATTATATTAAATTGTTTAATGATAGAAAATCAGTATTATTAACGTACTGTACCCAAAATCCGTAAATATACGGTTTAATCAGTAGTTCTAGCAACACTACCTCCGGCAACCACTCATTCTGTAGGCTGAAAGCAGAACTAAGGTACAGTATTCTTTATCCGCTGCGTTGGTAACGACTATTAGCGCGCAGCGGCCTAGAGCTAAACTAAATCTCGGAATTCTCGGGCAGGCTGACGGTAACGCTAGCTACATCTTAGCTACATTTGTGCCACGAAATCGCCCATAAGGTTGCGCATCTTCTTATTTCTTCAATCAACGGTATAACGAAAAATAAGAGAGCATTATTTACCTACCTTTAACAAAACCCCAAACATTCTTTTTGTACTTGATGTGAGCGGTAACAAATACTGAACTGTGCGTTTCCGACACCTTTTTAAGGCAATAATGTACGACGACATAGAAACTGTCAGCATAGGGAATTCCAGCGTTTACAGACTCGACGTCCACCGCGTAAAGACTGCCAGCTTTACTACAAGGGAGCATAGCCTAAAAAATAAAACTTATACCAATAATGACATATCTTTCAACCATTTGTCATATTCCTTGTTTGAGTACCAATAAACCAAGAAGGCTGTCTGGTAACTATAGAATAATATAATAACTAAAATAACTAAAAAAAATTGGCGCTCCTTTCAAATGTAGAACTTTTGTTACAGCAGCGCCATCGTTAGTGTTCCCTGTTTGATGACCACTTTTCAATACACGAAGGTAATTATCCTTACCTCTACCCTCCATAGACCCCAGAAACAAGTCTATGAGTTTTTTCGCGAAAAAGGAATGTTGAAAATTTAGCATTTTTGAATTTTTTTTTGGATTTCGAAACATGTCGTATTCACAGAAACAAAGATGTGTTGAATAACTTATGGCAGAGCTTTATCCACGAGTACTTTAAAGAATGGCGTCTGCCACATTAAATTTAAAAAAAATCGTTTTACTTGTTAGACCCTCAGACAACCTTTCTACCTTACAAACACTTTATGTCCTTTACTTACATGTTTCTCGGTAACCTGACAGGTCTTTGGTCCCACCGTTTGACCTAGGGTCAGCGTCAAATTAACCGTTCGACTTTTGCTGTTGTCGATGGGGTTGTGGGTCCAGGGCGTCTGCGTCAGGTCGGTGGTCTTCCTCGAGGCGTGAAAGTCCAGGAAGAATTTGGAAGATGTGAAGAGCAAGGTGAAAAGCTGGTCGATGTGTATGGGGTATTCTTCCATCACAAGCACGCGGCCGTCGTGAGCTGCCGTGCATTCGGTCGTATCCAGGTCGTCTCTAAAAATAACAGGAAAAAATTATAGCATTTAAAATTAGATCCACCTCAAAACGTCTTTCCTTTTCACGTTTTTCAGAAGACGGACTCTAAAAATGCAGAGGCCTTAAAAACTGTCTTTCTTGACACGTTAACTGTCAAAATTGTATGCTTACTTCATGGTTAGAGGTTTGTCGTCGTCCGAATCTGACCGGTCAAAATTCTCGACGGAAGGGGGGGCGGAGTGGTCAGAACCGGCCGCCGGGGTTGAACAGTATCTAACTGTGTCGCCCATTTTCTCTTCGATCAGTACCTGTTCCATCACATTATCCAACGCGGGAGTAATACTTTCAACCTGCCAAAGATTCATTATACGTTTTAGAGATACCAACAGATTGAAGGGTTAGGGGATAAACAACAGCAATGTCCATTTTATAGGAATTTTTAAGTAATCAGCTTAATCTGTTGAGAATAAGTGGATGAACTTTATTAAAATAATGGGTTTTTCCTAATATGTTTAAAATTAAAATTTGAGCTATATTTACTTGAAGTCTAGTGTCAGTGCTATAAAAATAAATAGCATTGTTTTTTTTAAATTTGCTTTAATTACTGTCCTCCATTCGCGAACTTCGAGTTCCGGACTTTACGCCCTGGGGCTACTCGAGAATGGTTCTGAAAGGAGCTGTGCACGATAGCCTAGTGCCTCCATATGGCGCGGAACAGTTCTGGAACTTTATGACTCAATTGAATGGAGTGAGAGTATCGCGTTCTTGAAAAGTCCAGAGCTGCACAACTGCGTGAATGGAGGACAGTAAATAAGGTAGCAAAAAATTTAAATTGAAAAAACCATTGCACAAAAGTAGATGAACAAAATATATATTTAATAAAAAAAATCTGATGTTAACAAAAACTGAAAAATTAACTTATAATTTACTAGTACTTGTAATAACCCTTATTCTTAATTACTTTCAGACATCGCTTAGGCATAGATCCCAGAAGATTTTCAATTATTGAAAAATCGATATTTTTCCAAAACTCTTCCAAAGTTGCAAATAATTCTTGGTTATTTTTGTAGAATTTGGTCAAAATGTGTTGATCCAAAATTTCCCATAAATTTTCTATTGGATTCAGGTCTGGGGATTGCGATGGCCATTTGAGTGGAGAACAGTCACCATTTCATCTTCCAAAAACCTTTTAACCAATTGTGAGGCATGTTTCGGGTCGTTATCATGTTGGAAGTAGTGTACAACTGGATTTTTCCTCCAAATAAGGCACTAAAAGGTTTTGTAAAATGTCTCTGTAGCCAAACCGATCCATTATGCCCTAAATTTTATGGAGAAGTCCCATCCCATACCCAGAAAAACAGCCCCATACCATGATTGAGCCCCCACCATGTTTTACAGTGGGTCACGTGTACTTTGGTAGCAATCGTGTGTTGGAAGGTCTTCTTACATGTTGAATTCCATCTGATTACACCAAATTAAACTTTGATTCATCACTAAAACAAACTTTTTTCCATTGTGCCACAGTCCAGTTTTGATGTTCCTTGGCAAATGCTAATCGGGCCTTCAAATTTTTTTTTGATAGCAGTGGTTTCTTGGCGGGCGGGTTCTCGGGAAAACAACTTCTAGTCAACTAATTTACGTCGGATCGTCCTTGTACTCACTGGTGGATAGCCCATTTCTTCAAGTTTTGCTTTTATCTTTGTTGACGGCAAAAATGGATCTTGTGAAGAAATTCGTTTTATGGCTTTTATCACATTGGGACCAACTTTTTTAGGTCGTCCTGGTTTTCTTTTTATAGAAACATCACCTCTCTCATTATATCTCTTTAAAATATAATAAAATTATATAAGGATTCTTGCCACTTAACTGCTGATATAGAAATTTAATTCTACGCTGTGTTTGTCATAATGTGGATAAACCTGCTCTCACTACCGGTTTCGGAGCCCTACTCTATCATCAGGTTAGGTTGTAGCTTGAGCAGAGCCACAAAATGACGACCACAGCACAGAGATAGTTAATTCCGACTTGTCGGAAAATGTCGGTTAGATATTAAGTCCCGAACGGTAATTATGACAAACACAGCGTAGAATTAAATTTCTATATCAGCAGTTAAGTGGCAAGAATCCTTATATAATTTTATTATATACCTATACCGCAAGAAATTTGTTTTCTATTTAAAATATAATGTACCGCTGATTTTCCAAGGCGTAATTGCTTTGCGATTTCCGATTGCTTCAAACCATCCTTAAAAGCATTCACTACTCGCAACTTAAGATCTGCAGACAAGTTAATTTCACGTGGCATGATATATCACAAGAGCTCAAATGTTTTTAAATCGCAATTGTTCATAAAAGCAGAACAAATGAAACTAACGATTTTTAAAAATATTTAGTTCATCTACTTTTGTCCAAGACAAAAAAGCAACATTTGCCAATTCTTATCTATAACTGATAAGACTAACAGAAGAATTTATATTTGTTTGTAGTATTTTTGTGAGAATGTATTAACCTTCTAACATACAAAGGTATAAAAAATAATTTTAATATTTAACACCTCAAATCTGATTTTCTTCGCAATTATTGGTAGTGGTTCATCCACTTTTGGACAATACTGTAAACCAATATACCAACTATAACATACGATGTCCAAATAATAACTGAAGCTTCATTCAGAACCTCGCAATTAGTGGAATAAATTAGTGGTTTCAAGTTTGTTCCTTTAATTTAAAGGTAAGCATTCAGAACGTCTAAATTAGTGGTAGTAATTTTCAATTAGTAGAAAAAGTCAGGGGCCGGAAAGTGAAATAGCAAAAGCGGTTCCACCGTTTCCACGGCAATTTCAAATAAAATAGTTCCAGCCTCGGGCGCTAGGTGGTAGTGCAATTAATTTTTAGGTTAAGAAATTGCTACTAGTTATTGCCAGATGGCGTTCAATCAGATTTTTTTTGTAGTTTCCATGGTTTCCAACGGCCATTGTCATACTATTGTCAAATTCTCAAAAAATATTGTCGTTGTCATAGCGCCAATCATAATATCAAATGATTATCAAAACGTTTTTCAAACTATAATTTGTTATATGCGTTTTAATTAGACAATTCCTTTTGTTTGTGGCCCTAAAAATATAATGTAAGTCTTTTATTTTTGCCATCATTTAAGTACTTATTTATATTTACTCCATTTACAAAACTTTGGGCGTATTACGTTGGTCTTGTTTTATTATAATAAACGATGTTTAAATATTTGACTTATAAATAAAAACTTTAAATAATAAATAATATTTACACGTTTGGCTTTACTTTTATTTAATAATTGTATAAATTATACTGTTAAATCCTATTTTTTACACATCACAACGATACTTGTTATTAGTATTGTTGAATTTGTGTAAAAAATAAGATTTAATGATCAAATTTAATTATTTTAGAGCAAAATTCAATAAATACGCTCATTTAAAAAGCCCGCGCTTCAATCTATTTAAAACAAGCCCTACTCAATAGATGGCGCCACTTCTGTAGGGCCATTTTTCAGTATGGCAGAGTCCATTCTTTTTCTATCTAGGTATATTCTTTGGAAAAAGTTAACAAACCTCTGACTTTTCCACTAATTATACTTCAAAATTTGCTGGAAATGCCATTTTAACTTTTGATTATCATCCGTCAAGAGAAATTGTGGTTTGAAATCAAAATTTTATTATTTTATAAGCTACATATGTATTTGGCTTTCTCTATGGATACAACTGACTACCGCAAGCTGTTGCTAGGATATTCTATTAATTTTAATTGTGTTTTTTAGATATTGTGAATGATCGTAAACTAAAAACTATAAAGTGTAATTGAAACCACTAATTGCGAGGTTCTGAATGAAGCTATTATTTATATAATGTTTTGTATTATCTTTTGTTTGTTTGTTTGTGTACCTTGTTTTTTTTACTTTGTTTATTAGTTTACCTTTGTCTATAAATTGAAAAATTTTTTGACAATAAAGGCATTTATTTATTTATTTATTAAACAGTACTATTTTTTTGTATTTTTAAGACGATATTTGGCAACATTAACTCAGTTTATTCTGCAAAAGTCAGTTTTGTGACATCGTCTGTTCTTTCCCCTTACCATGCAATTAAAGCTGAACAAGATTTATGTTATGTAATGTTTTAAAACATCTAAGAAGCGATAGCCATACATTACTAACCTCTACAGATGCCTGAAAAATACATTATTTATAAAAAATGTCTATATCTATGTGGCGGATTCATCTCTCCAAAAAAATCCAATATGGGTATTTCGCCACTGCACTGCAAGAAAATACACTTAGATCCATTTTATCACATACTAAACCAATGAATACAGAACAAAAAACAAAAAATGTAATATACCAAATACCATGTGAATGCGATAAATTTTACATTGGTGAAACATCTAGACCCTTAAATGTTAGAATTAAAGAACATAAAGATTATTTAAGAAAGGGAGATTCTCACAAATCTAAGATTTGTCAGCATTCATGGAACACAGGACACAGAATAAATTTTAATAACACCAAAATTATAATGAAAGAAGCGATAGCCTATAAAAGAAAAATAAAAGAGGCTTTTTTAATTCAATCTAATAAAAATAAATGCATTACTCATGCATCTGTAGATGTTAGTAATGTATGGCAATCGCTTCTTTGATTTTAAAGAACATAACATAAATAAACATAACATACGTAAAATTTAAAAATAATCATACGGAGTTTTGGGGCTTTTTGGTTTTACCTTATTAAGTAATTGTTATAAGGTAGTAATTGTTAATTTTGAAGTTTAACTTGATATAATGTCATTTTAACAGAACGTCAACGGTTTCTTGTAGACGTATCTGTTTTAAAAAATAAAGTGTTCTCGAATAGTTCAATTTAAATATTTTAAATAGCCCTTTTCTTTATTCTTTGTATTTTTTTTTGCTTCCGACGACGGAACGAGATAAACTTTCCGAAACGTTAAGCATGTCTTTGTTAGCCAAATTTGTATAACTGTAAACATAACTTAAGTGTTTACAAAAAATAACTATTTTATTTTGTAGATTTTCTTGCAGTGCAGTGGCGAAATACCCATATTGGATTTTTTTGGAGACATTATTTATATTTAATTAGATTAAAAAAGCTTTCTTATTTTTCGTTTAGAGGCAGGCTATCCTATTATTTGTGAGGCTATCCTTGTATTATAATTTTATATTGTTGTTAAAGTCTACTGTGCCCTGTACCCCATGAATGCTGACAAATTTTAGATTTGTAAAAATCGCCTTTTTTAAATAATCGATCCAAGTCTATTTTGTGTTTAGTTTTCTTGTCAGTGGCGAAATACCCAAGCTCTTTAACAGTTCAATAAAAAATGCAAAAAAAACATTGCAAATAATGACTAAGAATTCTAAATTTACTGTAAACTAAAAAGAGGTACTTACTTCCGAAAAAGAATCGACTGATAATCTAGAACAAATTTTTTCGTCCTCCAAGTTATTGGGGAAATATAATCTTCGTCGTCGCTGGTTAGACCCAACTCACTGCCGTAACATTGATGAACCTGTCAATAAACATAACTCAATTAATTTACTAGGTAGTCGAACGATAACCTGAGATTGTATAGTAATATTGTTTTGGTATTGATAACATTCAATATAAATCATTTTTTTTATCTTCAAAAACTTATCAGGTGTTCCTTTATCAAAACATAAAGAATTAGATAGTGTGATAAGTGCACTAGAATTTCGATTTTTTAGTGAAATAATAGACCTAATAAAACGATTTTTAAATAAACATACTTAAACTATGCATCATAAAGTTTAAGATTTGATTATTTAATCTTGAATCTCTTAAATCGTTAATAAAATCATTTTTATCAGTGTATTAAAACAGTGTCACTTAAAAATATTACATTTTCTACAATATTTCGTATTGTAAAAATAATATAAAGAACCTTATCTATCTCGGAATACCAGATGTTAGTTAAAGTTTCATTCAGTGAGATAATAAGTTTATTTATGTAAATAATAATTAAAGTGTGTCGATTTGTCAAGATAAAGCAAAAAACTTATAGGCAAAAACAGTATACAGGGTATAAATAAATAAGCACAAAGAAAATCAGAAGGAGATTTTATTGGAAAACATTAAAAAAATATACAGGGTGAGTCTTAAATAAGTGTAAATATTTTTAGGGGTAGTATATTTCGACCCCAGAAACACGATTGAGGTTTTTTCGAGACCAAAAAAAAATTGAAAAGTTAAAAAACACAATTTCTTGATCATATGGCAACATACGAGCCTTAACAACTATATGTTGGGACAAGGTCATATTTTGGAATTATTGCCGTGGTTTTTCAAAATTACTGAAAAATATATGTTTAATTTTTTAAATATAAACAGCCATATGTATATCCTAAACCACTCGACAATATTTTTATGAATTTGTAAATCAGTCCATATTTACAGTAGCGGATTTTGTTCATAAAAGGACAAATTTGCTGACAACTAAATGTTGGGACAAGTATTTTTAAATAATTAATATCATCATAGGCGGCTTTGCTATAAACGTCACAAATGTCGCACTGTTTACTTCAACATTGACAGCTGTAAGTGACTCGATACTTTGAATAGTGAGATTTACTCTTCAATTTTGTTAATTTAATTGAAAATAATGGTCCGTGGAAAAGCTACAAATCAAAAACTACGCGAAATTATCATTCGTCAATGCAGTACGGGAAAAACAATTCGAAAAATTTCTGATGATTTAAGTATTCCAAAAACCACGGTCTTATAAAAAAATACGGCGAATCTGCCAATGTGGACGTTAGAGGTAAAAGTTCGGAAATTTAAAAGAAAGTTGTATATCGTATATACGAAATTTAGTAAAAATTTGAAAATCTGCGAGAAGTACTCTTCGCGTAGTAACAGTTAAATGGAATACTGTAACTGGTTTAAATTTTAATATATGAATGTTGCCGAAAATATATCCATAAATGCGGTCTGGGGGTTTTACAAGGTAAACTTTATTTTGTGTGGATAATCGATTACCTGAAGACTATTGATACAAATTCTTATTTAGGCCAAAGAAAAACCGCTACTGACAGAAATTCAAAAGAAAAATCGCTAGAATTGGGCAAAATCTAAATTATCGTGGACACAAAATGATTGGAATAAGGTCATATTTAGCGATGAGTCTAAATTTGATGTTTGCGTTGGAGATCATCGAAAACAAATAATACGAAGTAAAGTAGAAGCCTTTCATAAAGATTGCTTAAAGAGGGTTGTTAAATTTCCTAAGGTATTGTGGTTTGGGGTTGCATGTGAGCAAGAGGTTTGGGCAAATTAAATTTCATAGATGGCACTGTTAACGCCCAAAAATATCAACAAATACTTGAGACCTCACTTTTGCCTAGTGCTCAAGAATTGTTTTCAAAGGAAGACTATATTTTCCAACAAGATGGAGCATCGTGCCATTCAGCAAAATCAACTAAATATTGGTTCGGTAATAATAATATAAAAGTTCTATCCAATCCTGCAAGTAGTCCGGACCTCAATGTTATAGAAACTGTGTGGCATAAAATGAAGGAATATTTAGAAACCACTCACAACGAACAATTTTTATTTGCGGACAAAACTGCAGGAAATTTGGGATAATTTTTCTCCTCAAATGTGCCAATCTTTGGTAAATACAATGCCATTAAGAGTTCAGGCAGTTGTTAAGGTGAAAGGTGATGTAACTCCGTATTAAACAAATTTCTTGTTGTGCTGTCCCAATATATAGTTGTCAGCAAATTTGGCTTGATTTTGGCAAAATAAGCTATTATCAAAAGTGATTTGTTTGCAAAGTTATAAAAATATAGTAAAATTGTCTAGATCATATTGTAATGTTTGAATTTAGAATAATAAACAAAATAAATTGAGTCATTTTAACAAATTACTATTTTTATTGTAAAAAAAGACCTTGTCCCAACATATAGTTAGGGCTCGTAGGTAGTAGATTAAATTTAGAAGAAAGAAAACCCAGAAAAGATCCAGTGGTTCAGAAAATTTAAGCAAAAAATATTTTTGTTTTTGAAAATTTTCAAAGTAAAATAACTCGTTTATTTTGGACTTATTTGAAAAACGGTAAAGAGAAAACATGTTTCTTTTATCGAGATCTACCAGCCAAATTATTTGCACTTGTTTAAGACTCACCCTGTATAAAAAACGTTGATTTTTAAACCATTACCTGCGGAATATTTTCGCACTTATTCATTTACGCCCTGTAAATATAGTAAAAGTTTTAAAGGAGAGGAAACTGTTAACAGCATTCCGCGGCAAAATGATAATTAATTTTTTATCCTAAAATTAAGTAAATAAATTGTCTAGTATTGTGTAGACTAGGCTACGGTTACAGTATCTAAATAAAAGCGCGGGATTATTATCTCTTTGTTTAAATAGAAGTCGATATTTTGTATACAAAAAATTTCATAACGATATATAAATAATAAGTAACACCATAATAAATAATTGATTAAACATTCAATAAAACAACGATTTATTTACCTGCAACATATTTACGAAAAATTCGAACAGACCAATTCTTTAAGAAAAAAACTGAAACTGTAATAAAATAGTTCAACAAAACTAGTCATAAAAATTTTCCAATCCAATAAAACAACTAGACTATTGTGTGGCTGGTTCCTTTGAAAGAGAACAGTATGTTTTAACTTTTAAAACGTAATCGGCGTATTATTTCTCGGTGTTTGATTTCTTAATTATTATCTTCATTCGAACGTGAAAATATTGACGAAAAGAAAATTAAATTGTGTTAAGGCTTGTTATCTTCGAATATTCGGTCGCGAAAGGTGGATAGTCCGTCGATCGCCGAGGATAGTGATTTCCACCCAAGGTGGTTTGTTACTTGTTAGAAATTAGAAAATGATTGTGTCTGCTCTGTGGTTTACGCTGGGATATCGCAAGTAGAAGCAAATAATGTAATTGTTGGAAAAGAACCTGGTAATGGCAACACTTAAATTATCCAATAGTCCAGATGATAAGTTGTTTAGCGATACGGGGTACTGTACAGGGTGGTCGAAATTGGTCTGTTTTAACAGAGAAAACCTATTTCCTGACTAGATACAGCAAAACCGACATAGATGTCATGGGCTCGATTTCTGAGACACGTCTAATGGCGTAAACCGCCTGTTGATATTTTCATTGCTGACTGAGATACGGGACCTTTTTTAATTGTTTACCATTGGGAGAATTGCTCATAACTTTTGTATTTCGCGGAATAATAAAATTCTGTAAAAACGTTCTTAAGGCGCTTTTTTAAGCACAATCCAGTGGCGTAGTCAGTTTTTTTCTGTGATTGCTCTTTTTGTCACAAATAATGAAAAATATATTTTTTTAAATGGAAACCATAGTTGGCTATGAACTTAAAAAAGTGCTGGCGTTTAACCCTTTTCAACGATATAAGGTTAGGGGTATATATTTCTAAGAATGAGAGAAATATTAGGTTTTTGATCTTTATATCGAAGCGGGCCTTGATTTTGTGTCGACCTATAGTTGCCTAATTATTTTTTTATCACAATTTAATATTTTATATTATTATTTATCTGCATAATTTAAGACTTTTGAATAGGTAAATCAACATTCTATATTAGTATTACCATTTACAATTAAAACGCCAGGGTTACAACTGCACTATTAAATGGAGAAGTTAGAGAGAATTGGATTGGAACAAAGGGCCCCATATCTTGGCACCTGTAATTTAACTCCTTTCAACTTTTTTATGGGGGAAATTAAAATACCTTATCTATAAGGGAAGAACCATTGGAACGAGAGAAGAATTGCAGAAGCCTAGGCAAGCTTTTGGACTTATTACACTAGTCGCCTAATAAATCGTTGTAACTCTGTGCGCAAAAGATGTTTATTGTGTATTCAACAAGGAGGGGCTCAGTTTGAACATCATGATTTTTATTAGAAAACTATATTCGCCACACAAAAAATACGTTTTTTAGTCTTGTTCTATGGTTATTGTATCGATTTTAATTGTAATTACTAATACTAATATAGAATGTTAATTTACCTTTCCAAAAGTCTTTAAGTATGCAGATAAATAATAATATTGAATATTAAATTGTGATAAAAAAATAAGTATGCACATAGATCAACACAAAATCAAGGCCTGCATCAATATTAAGATAAAAAACCTAATATTTCTCTCATTTTTAGAAATAGATACCCCTAACCTTATATCGTTGAAAAGGGTTAAACGCCAGCATTTTTTTAAGTTCATAGCCAACTATGATTTCCATTTAAAAAATTTCATTATTTGTGACAAAAAGAGCAAGCATAGAAAAAAAACTGACTACGTTTAACAGTTACAACTACGTATAACAACGTTTTTAGAGAATTTTATTATTCCTCAAAATAAAAAAGTTATAAGCAATTTTCAAAATGGTAAAAAATTCAAAAATACCCCGTATCTCAGTTGGCAGTAAAAATATCAACAGGCGGTTTACGCCATTAAACGTTTCTCAGACATCGAGCCCATGACATCTATATTGGTTTTGCTGTATCTAGTCAGGAAATAGGTTTTCTCTGTTAAAACTGACCAATTTCGGCCACCCTGTACACAGATGGCTTTTTGATAATTAAACCAAATCTAGGGAGTACTTTGGAAAGGACATTTCCAAAGTAACATTTCCATACCGCCGACGTGTCTTCAACAAAAATGAAGCGAATTTACTTATCCACCAAGTTTATAAGATCTAAGGTTTAAAGTGTTATATTTTTTTTTAATTTTAGCCCTATTTTCATGAATTTTTTAGCAAACTGTAGTATTTGACTTATTACACAGGGTTATTTAATATCGTTTCACTAACTTTAAAACACCCTGTGAAATAATTTCATGAGTAACTTTTCCTAAAACATTATTTTTCGATCACAACCATGTCTTCTGAGCATTTTATTTTTTGATTCATGTTAACACGTGAATTGGTTAATTTTTAAGAGCGAAATGAACTTGCCACCAACAATTTGCAATTTACTATCACTACTTTACTTATGATGTTATTTTTTAATATCACGATGTGACTTTTGTGACTATTATCATGATGTCATATTGATACTGATTAGAACTCTATATTAAAATTTAAAAAATGTTAAAAAGGAACGATACAGGCTTGGTTTTAATCAATATTAGCAGAACTAAGTGTATTAAAAAAATAACTGTAATAACTAAGTGTACAAACAAACAAAAAACTTGTAAAAAATACTCTAATATTTTGTTTTGTCTCCCCCGGCCGCTATACAGGTCGATATACAGACGTCCGTTCATACTGTTAACGAGGCTGCAAATATACCGGGTGCGTCTCAAAAGTGGCTCACTCCTATAACGTTTTTATTTTCTCAGATAAAAAATCGAAATTTGGTAAAGCACATCTGTTGGATCTATGTCTATGAAAGAAATGCGGACAAAAAACATTTAAATAAATAGCAATATATTTTCTACGTCGACTTAACGAGTACGTCACCACAAATCGCTCCGCCCACTCATTTTATTGGCTACTTGCAAATTTGTCGAATTTTTATTGATGGCACGCGTCGTCTAATTTTTTACGAAAAACATCGAGAGAATATCGTTTCCCCCCTCACGGATACCCCGTAGCCACAGAACGGACAGGCGTACTGTATATTAATATATGACATAAATTAGGATTGATTGACGTATTCAATTGTTTTCTGTCACTTTCTGTTTTACCGGAAATGACTACAATAACTTTTGATTTTTAAATAGCACCCTCGGTATATTTCTACTTTATTCGATAGAAAATGACACTCTGAATAGAATGACATATCATATGTCAACTTTTGACATTTTCTAATATGGTTTATTTGAAATTACAACATGCGATTCATAACGATATAATTTGACTCGAAATACCAAGTGTGTGGTACCAAATTATTCGCAAAAAAATGCTTTTTCCAAATATGCTAATAAGCCACTCTCGCTCCATTTGAAAAAATGAGATATGATTAAAAATACGATTTGGGCATCTTTTAACCGACTTGGACAAGACACGAATAACATTAGACGATCAAATCTATTTTTCCAAGGCTCCTTGATTAAAAATGAGTGTTTTTAACACAGCCATGGCACTCTAGATTGAAATTTAAAATTCAATTTTGTTTTAAGCAAAAATGTCAAAAGTTGGCATATGATATGTCATTCTATTTAAAATGTCATTTTCTATCGAATAAAGTAAAAAAATACCGGGGGTGTCATTTAAAATCAAAAGTTGTAGTAATTTCCGGTGAAACAGGAAGTGACAGAAAGCAATTGAATACGTCAATCAATCCTAATTTATGTCATATACTAACATACCAAATCTCGATTTTTTATCTGATAAGATAAAAAAGTTATAGGGGTGAGCCACTTTTTAGATGCACCCGGTATTGTGTTATGTTTCCCATTTTTCATCAAGGACCAAGCGAATATTCATAATTTCGGCCATCTTCAACAAGATCAATGACTTTTGCACAATCTTCGACACTAAGAATCATATTCAATCGTACACAACAATAATCACCAAAGCCACCTCGTCATTGTGAAGAATAACATGAAAAAGTAACGATAATTGAAAGAATTGCAAAATGTTTGTGGCAAGTTTATTTTGCTCTTAAAAATTAACCATGGCATGTGTTGACATGAGTCAAAAAAGAAAATATTCAGGAGACTTGGTTCTGGCCGAAAAATAATGTCTTAGGAAAATTTGCTCAGGAAATTATTGCACAGCGTGTTTAAAAGGTAGAGTAAAAAACAACTCTTCGATTAACCCTGTATAATAAGTCAAATACTAAAGTGTATAAAAAACTGAGTTTACGAATTAAAGTTGATATATTTATATACAGTTCAGTAAAAAAAAACAAAGAAATAGGGCTAAAAATAAAAAAAATATAACAATTTAAACTTGACCAAAAAAATTTCCGTTGTCTTTATTTGTATCTGAGTGTGGTCGCGTGTATCTGGTGGTCGCAAATAGCTAGTCAGATTCAGGAGTATGCCACGCATCACGACTATCGTAAATTTTTCGAGGCTGTAAAAGAAGTATACAGTCCAACTAAGAAGGCAAGATGCCCAATCATGGCACAAAATGGCGAACTCCTAAAAGAGGAAGAGCAAATCAGAAACCGCTGGAAAGAGCATTACAGCCATATCCTTAACCAAGAAAACAACCCCAATATGGAAGCACTCAACATAATACCTCAGTATAACAGCCTCAATGTATTAGACATTCCAATAACAGACAGGAAATAAAGGACTCCATAAAACAGCTTAAAAACAACAAATCGGCTGGCTGTGACGCGATTCCGGCGGAAATCTATAAGTGTACAAGTAAAGAACTTATTGGTCATCTTAAGGCTCTATTCGATGTCATATGGGAAAGCGGAGAGGTACCTCAGGACTTTTGCAACGCGAATATAGTGAATATATTTAAGAACAAAGGAAGTGCATCAGACTGCGGAAACTACCGAGGAATTTCACTACTGGCTATCGGAGGAAAAATTCTTGCAAAAATTATGTCAAACCGCCTGCATCCACATATAGAAAAAATCCTCCCAGAATCGCAAACGGGTTTTCGCACCAACCGCGGCACTGTCGATTCCATATTCTCCATCCGCCAACTACAGGAAAAAGTAAAAGAGCAGCATTCTAAACTTTACGTTGCATTCATCGATCTAACAAAAGCCTTCGACTCTGTAAACAGCGATGCACTTTAGGAAATTATGAAAAAGTTCGGAGTACCCAACAAATTTCTTACAGTGTGTAAAAGCCTCCATAATAACAATAAATCAAGAGTGTCATATCATGGATCACTGAGCGATCCCTTCCTAACAAACACTGGCGTTAGGCAGGGATGTGTCTTAGCGCCTCTCCTATTCAATATATTCATGGCAGCGCTCTCCATTATAGTGGACAGCAAACTGCAGGAGAGATCATTAGATACAGATACGACGGCGGTCTGTTCAACATAAAAAGACTCAGGGCAAAAACACGTTCAAAATTCATCACAGAACTTCAATACGCTGATGACTGTGCTCTAGTTGCAAATACGTTACAACAATTGCAAGAAATGTTGAACAAATATACATGAGCATACGAGGCTTTGGAACTTAAGCTGAACATCGATAAAACTAAAATCATGTGCACTCCCCCGGAAGATCACAACAATGCTATAAAAATCGGAGAAGAGCTATTGGAATATGTAGCGGAATTCAATTACCTCGGCAGTTTGATTTCGGAAAAGGCCAATATCGATTCTGAAATTCAGCACAGGATTAGCAGCGCCTCAAGAACATTCTGGAAATTAAAAGACAGCGTTTTCTACAATTACGACTTGAGCACAAAAACGAAACTTGCAGTGTATCGAGCAATAATAATTCCCACCATGTCATATGGAAGCGAAACCTGGGTGTCGTACCGCCGACACACGAACGCATTAAACAAGTTGCAACAGAGACATCTTAGACAACTCTTAAGAATAAAATGGTTCCATCATGTCTCAAACGTATCGGTCCTTGAAAAAGCTAACTGCGACAGTATTGAAGTCATGATTACAAAGTCCCGCTTAAGATGGACTGCTCACGTCTGCAGAATACAAGAAAACCGCATACCAAAGTCTCTGCTTTACGGTGAGCTTGTAGACGGTAAGAGGAGGGCGGGTGGACAACTCAAAAGGTACAAGGATATTTTCCACGAAAACTTAAAGGGAATTAACAAGCAGAATGAATGGGAAGAAGCAGCTCACAAGGAGTGCGGTAGACAGATAACATCACGTATCGGGCTTTTCAGTCACAGAAAAGCTCATGAAAGAAAACGCCTTGCGTGACCCTCTTCTGATGCATGTCAAATACTCGTCAGCGAGTAATGGCAGTATGTATGTATGTATCTGAGTGTATAACGAGACGTTGAACGATAGCTGAACAAACAATAGCCTATTTCCTAAGTAAGTCAAACTTGACCGAAACGCTGACATCAAACTCGACAGATATCAACCGACATATCGCGACAGATCTGCGAAATTAAATTGAACAAGAATTAAACCGCTCAACTAAGAAGATTCGAGAAAACCATTCTTATTTAAATACTATGTTCCGATAAAGTCTCAAAAACGCGTCTCCGTTCATCGCGACGGAATGTTCAAAGAAAACAAGTCTTTATAAAACCTATTATTTGTGCAGTAGGACACTAACACATTGCCACATTTGCTGAGTAGTCATGGGCTGGTCCATGAGCGCGTTCTGCCAGATGCGAAACAACATTAGGTAAGTCTTGTCCCTCTGTACCAGGCTGGTGAAAAAGTACTTTTCCGCTTTGGTACATATTAATACTGCGTTGGGTATGACCAGGGCGGTTTTCTCCTTGGTGATGGCGGCCACGTCCTTCCATTTTACGGTCAGGTTAGTCTCCCATCCGAAAATGTTGGCGTAGAAACAGAGAAAATTCTGGGTCACGTACAGACGCCCTTGCACCAGGATCTCTTTCTGAAGGGCGCAGGAATAATCTGGGGAAAGGAAATGCAGTTTTTTTAATATACAGGGTCGCTTTTATGTATGGAAACGGTCGATTATTACCTCAAAAAGTTAAATACAAAAGTTATATGATTTTTAAATATCTATCAGCGAGTAATAAATTTAAGTATACAGGGTCGTTCATAAAGTCGTGGCACATCAAAGTTTCATTTTTTTTAAATAGAACCCCCTGTATATTATTGCATATTTCAATTCTTCCTTCAATTCTATGCAAAAATCGAAATACACACAATGTGCCTCAAAGCAACCGTTTCCGAGTTTATTGACTTTTGAAAATATCACTTAAACAATTTGATTTAATTAATTTCGATGTGTTTGGTTTGATTTAATGACGCCATTCTGCCGAAACTGTGATACTATTGTAATGAATTTCTAAATTCCTATTAGCTACTAGTAAATTTAAGTATACATAGTCGGTCTACAGTTGTGTTACATCAAACTTTATTTTGTTCAAATGTAACCCCCTGTATATTATTGCATATTTGAAATCTTCCTTCAATTTTAAACAATAATCATAATACACAATGTACATAAATTGAAGAATTGAAATGTTAAACGAAAATTTTGTAATTTCCACACTTACTATACTCTCATTCTATACATCTACAAATGCTAACTTGAGAACTAATGTCAAATATTGTTAAGTGTCACAGTTTCGGCAAAATGGAATCGTTAAATGAAACTGAACATATCGAAATTAATTAAATCAAATTATTTAAGTGATATTTTCAAGTCAATAACTCGGAAACGGTTGGTATGAGGTGCATTGTGTGTATTTCGATTTTTGCTTAGAATTGCAGGAAGAACCGAAATATGCAATAATACAGGGGGTTTCGTTTAAAAAATGAAACTTTGATGTGCCACGACTTTATGACCGACCCTGTATACTTAAATTTACTACCCGCTAATAGATATTTATAACCCCTATCACTTTTGTATTAATAAATATTAATAAAATATATTTGAAAATATGAACTAAAGTTATGTTTCTTCAAATGGAACACCCTGTATATTTATAAATCATATGATCTGTCTTGCTATGAGCTTCTCAAAAATATATATCACTCTATATTTATTTTCACTATTTACTGCAATATTTAAAATATATCATTTTCTTATTAGTAGGCCGTGATAAATAACAAAAAATCAAAATGGTATTTACTAAAATAGTCATACACATATTAAAATTTATTTGGGATTGATATATTTTACTTTTGAAATAACTGTTACCACTGAACCTGTGAATATATTTTTCTTGTTTTTTTATAACGGAATGGGTTTGCAAATATCTAAAAGCTTGAATTATTAAAGCATTTTCCAGGTGTTCGACATTGTTGTAGTGCCCACGATATATTTCGTATTTCAAAAATCCCCAAAATCAGAAATCGAGAACGGCGAAATCCGGGAATCGAGGAGGCTATAAATATGTGTTCATTGGTTCCAATTCATTGATTTGAAAAATAATAATTTAACAGTATTCTAATATTTTCATAGTTAGGAGGGGAAATGTTCCCCATCTTGCTGAAAGTATATTTCACGTAAATTAGCTAAAGGAATATCTAAAATTTCCGATACGATAGATTATTCGCACGTATACACGTATTCCAAGATTTACAAATAGCGGTAGGGGCTTAAGTTTTCCTAATATATAAAGAATTTATTAGCGGCTCCCAAAATAAAACAAGAGACAGATAGCAGTATACTTTTAATAATTCTTTAGTTTCTTTTATTATCAATCATGGCCTACTAATAAATATGATCTTTTAATAAAAACTTTTAAATATTGCAGTAAATAGTGAAAATAAATATAGAGTGATATATATTTTTGAGAAGCTTATGGCAAGACACATAATATGATTTATAAATATACAGGGTGTTCCGTTTAAAAAAAAACATAACTTTAGATCATATTTTCAAAAATATTTTTTTGGTAGAAAACCAAACTACGCCACTGTATTCTACGTAAAAAGTTCTACAATAAACAGTTTTCACCTTCTCGATACCTTTAACCATAACAGAGATACGGGGGGTGTCTCAAATTGCAAAACTTTCAAAAAGACCCTGTAGCTCGGAAACGAAGAGGGTTATGAAAATTTTGTTTACGGCATCTTCCGTTTGACAAAAAATGAGACAGGTTTGTGCAAACCGCACCCTTCTATCTTCACTAATAACGGAGATACCGTATGATTTCAACTAAAATGGGACACCCTGTACACTCACCGGCACGAAAAACGGGCATTTTTTGAGCAATATGTAGCTAGATTATTTGACTTTTTAGTATCTCTTTCTAAATTAAAAATGTTCAGTTTCCATCTCTCAATTATACGAGGGAAAACAAAATGTTGATATTTTGGTGAAATTTTGAAACACTCTGTGGAATATGTTAACAAAGCAAGGAATTTCAAAATCATTTTATCATCTAGGTACGTCATTTCTCGTTAGTTTATTTTTTGATTCATCTCGATAGCTTTATTTTTGTTGGAGATATTCGCTCTTTAATCAGACAGTAACAATTTTACAGCAGTTTTTTATTATAAATAGTGTTTATTGTTTTTGTAATGTCACTGTCATTGAAAAGTCATATTATTGTTTATTGACGTTTACTCTAGTAGAGATGATTTTAAGTTCTAAAATATCGGCTATTGCTGCTTTTATTGATCATGGTAGAGATCAACTTTTGGACATAAAACTGTATCAGGTAGAGCAACTGCCCAACAGACAATAATATGATTTTTCGAGAGCAGTAACATTACATAAATCATAAACACTATTTTATAGGTTTGTTGACTAGGACCAAAAGCAAAGGCATGGTTTTAATATAAAAAAATATGAAAAAATGTTAGTGTCTTCTTCAAAAGCGAATATCTTCAACAAAAATAAAGCTATTGCGATGAATCAAAAAACAAACTATCGAAAAAAGATACACCTAGATGATAAAATTATTTCCTTGCTTTATTAACGTACTCCACAGGGTGTTTCAAACTTTCACCAAAATATCTACATTATGTTTTCCCTAGTATGTCAATTATACTAGATGGCAACTTTCATTTTTAATTTAGAAAGAGTTACTAAAAAGTAAAATAATTTAGCTAGAAATTGCTTAAAAAATCATCAAAATCGGTCCTCCGGAACCCAATATATAAAGCTTTAAAATAAATGAAAATTTTAAGGTACCCGTTTTTCGTGCCGGTGAGTGTCATCGGGGCGGAATATTTCTACAGGGTGTATCATTTTCGTGTGCTTTAGGGGGTTTCTCGTTTAAGAGTAGAGATACAAAGACGAGGTTTTCACACTGTAGTACTTTTTTATGAAACTAAAGATTTCTCTTAGCCTACGTGGTTTCTGAAATACAAGGCGAATTTGAAAATGTTTAATTTTCCCGGACCCCTTCGTATCTGGGTTATCTTATCGAAAACGTAAAAACCTAGTCCCATATAGTTTTTCACGCAGAATCCAGTGACGTAACTAGTTTTTCGCAGCGAACTGTCGTTTTCGAAATATGACTGAAACTTATGTTTTTGAATGGGACACCCTGTATATTATATTTTATTTGACTTGTTAAGAGCTTGATTCTAAAAATATAATATTATATTTATTTGCACACAAGGTAAATTTATTTAACTTTTTAACAGAAATAAACCTAGTTTAAGATTATTATTAATTTAATTTAACAAGATAATTTTTTGTTTCCAATGTACTTCCAAAAATGTTAATTCTCGAATTTTAAACTACTCCATTTAAAAATAATTTTTACTCGTTAAAAAAATAAAATAGACGGACTGGCGATAAGCGCCATTAAAAACGAAGACTATGGGCTAAGAGCTCGAACTCACTGACGACCAGGTCGCAGCGACCTGGCCGTCGGCTGGCCGGATATATTGCGTACATAGGTGCGGCTAGATGAACGACCAGTTTCGGCAGGGCTGTCAAATCTAACGATTTTTTACGTTTTACCAATTAGAAAATATCGTTTTCAGAAATGTTAAAATATCCGAGTTATTAGAGTTGAGGGTTGGAACCTTTTAAATTCGAAAAACACGAGAAAACACGAATTTTAAATTCGTGTTTTATTTTGCTATCCGAGTTAACTAAAAAGCGAAGTTCCTATTCATGAGCTTATTAAATGTTCTAATATTAAATAAAGTAATGTTTCTTCAAAGCCATACCGAGCGAAAATCACAAAAGAACTACGATATGCGGAGGGAGACAAAACTGAATAGAATATTTTTGAATCAATTTGGCCCGTCTGGCCGTCACAGAGTGTTGCATCAGATATAAAAATAATAAATAAACACATTATATAATAAAGGACAAAAATAGTATTGTTCCTAAGAACTGAAAACAAGTGATTTATTTATGACTTATTTATATACATAAATATTTAATTTTTAATTTTATTATTTTTTTATTTTTATTTAATTTTAACTCTACTTCTTGGTATTTGTGTTAGTACTAGTAAAAATGTAGTCTAATGGTATAAATATAATATTTAAAATACAGTTGTCCCCCTTGTACATGACTACAATACAACTAAAAAACTAATTTAATCAAAAAAAATAACAAGTGGTTGTAGAAACACTTTAAATATGATTTTTTTTATTTTTTAACATAGAAACTTAAAGGTATAATAACAGGTATCATACCCTTGATAAAAAAAGGGACTAGATTTAAGTTTCCCTTTGATCCAGCCTGTATACTATTTCTTTGGATTTTCTGCACGTGTGCAAAAACTACACTAGAACACTATATCTTATAGAAAATAAAATATTTTGCGTTGAATTTGAGGGATTTCATCTGAAAAATTATTAATTTGGAAGAAAACCGGCAACAAGCGGCAAAAAATAATATTTTAGTGCAGTCTACTACTGGTCGCAACGACCAGCCAACGGCCAGGTCGTTAGTGTGCGTTGTATCATTCAATTTAATGGTATTAGAGGTAACAGCGGCCTGGCCGTCAGTGTGTTCGAGCTCTAAGTAAATGACATCTAGAGCTGACCTCCCCATGACCCTTGACCTCATTCCACAGCCGTCTTTTTTTTCGATCGTATTGTACATCTTTAGTGTAATAATATATTTCAGTCCCCCTGTATTTCTACAAAAATATTTTTAAAATGTAAACTAAAAAAATATATCTATGAGTTTATTGGTAAATAATCCATTTGTGGTGATATTGTGTAGATAGTGTAGATATTATACACAGTGTCCCATACAAGAATGCACATTACAGGGAGCTCCAGAAGAGATACAAAAAAGATTAAATTAAAGAAAATTTGCGCATTGCTGATGCGCATCATCAATTTTATTTTCTTAAATTTGGACATGGATTTTTTACTTCATTTTTAAGCTTGTAACCTCCTAAATACAATGATGTAGCATACCAGCCCAACGGATGGCTAGATGTCAATGGATGTATAGTAAAGAATCTAGATATATAAAATGCTAATGTTTATCTGCGTCGTCTCTACTGAAGTAACGACTTGCTCTAGAAAGTTGCTTTTTTTTACTAAAAGATTGCTAATTGGCTCTTCTAAAAACTGTCGTCGCCGGATTTTTTGTTGTTCATTTAATTAAAAAAAAATAAAAAGGATTTTTTTTCCTGATGTCGTGGCGGATGCGCCAGGCTTCAACTAGTATTCCTATAAAAGGCAATGTATTGGAGATGGATGGAGAGATTGGAGAGTTGATGGTTGCTAGGAAGAAAATTTAAGATTGAAAATCTCTTAGACAAGGAAAGAGAGGGGACAGGTAATACCGTACACGCCAAGGCTGTTTGTGAAAAGTGAGTCCTGGTCTTTTCTCTCATTACGGCTCTTACAACTTGTAAGCACAACAAATCACCATATTTAAATAATAATACTTTCAAGTCTTTAAAAAGCTTTTTCCGTCACACACTACAAAAAACACACATTTGGACGCCATTTTTAGGAGGCAGACAAATCACAAAATTTGATATTGGTCGTACATGTCGATTACGCGTCCCCTCTCTTTCCTTCACTAAGAAAAATCTGATCAATTTCAACTTGTAAAGCAGGAAAAGTATTAGCAATGGGAATATATAATAAAAGTTACATTGGTCATATATTTTCAAATAGAGTTAGAGAAATACAAAAATTAAATGAAAAAAAATTTGGTGAATTAATTTGGTATTCTCCAAATATATGTAGATAGATATTTAAGATATTTTATTTCATGTCCAAATAACACATTTTTATACATGTCAGAACAAACAAAATAAAAAAGAATTAATTCCCATATCTACATTCTACCGCTAAAATCTCATATATATAAAAAACAATACATTATAATTAAAGATTAAAATCTAAAACTTAATTGTCGTTTACTGATGCTTCAAATTGTAACCTCTCTCAAGTCTAGAAATTAAACAATTCATCCAAACTATAGATATCATATATCTTTAGTAGTCTGATTTTTTTTATAGTTATTTCAAAACATAACGTTATAAGGTTCCCCAAGGCACAATTTTTCTAATAATCATCTATGTATCTCTCCTGGTTTACAAGATTTCTTTATTGTATATTCTTATTTAGGACATCTTGTATAACATTAATATATATGACTTTACATTTGCTTATGTTCATCTAGATACTACTTGAAATTTTATTCTATGCTTATTGATACTATTAATATGTTTGATTAATATTTTAATTTTGTTTTCATACTTTATTTTTTATTTGAAACAGTATTTTTAATACTGTATTTTCATGCACACATTCAAAATTGACAAACTATGTTAATTAAAACAAAAACAACTCCATACTGTCCCTTTAAATTATTAATGGGCACTTAATTTCTACAAATAACCAATTCAAAGACCAAAGTACACGTTTTGTAAAATGTATTAAATTAAAAGGTAAGCTAAATAAATACTAGTATATTTACATTCTGATAAAATAATGCAATAGAAGTACTATTATGATAAGGTTAAATTGTTTCAAAAAATAATTTTGCTTGAAAATTGAAAATTATAACAAAATATAAAAAAATACCATACCCACTACTAGTCTCTCATCAGTAGGCACTTCTCCAAACAATTTTTTAAAGTCTTCCGAACGAGATTTATAAGTTGGGTTCAGTGAGTTGAACCAGGACGATTTCTTCTTGCTTCTATTATCCTTCTTGTCCTTTAATGAAATAGTATCGCTTTTTATATCACTCTGGTACACTTGCTCTGGATTACTGATTGAACTGACCCTGCTAGTTGAACTCTCCTGACTCTGTTAAAAAGTTATCATAAATTGCAACAAAAGTTTTTTGATAAAAGAATAAAATAAAAACATACCGAAGGAGAGCCTTCGTGTTTAAAGGATTGTTGTTGGTCTTTATTAATGTAGCTTGTAGATAAGAATTCTGATTTATTGTGCTCCTGTCTAGTCTGAGGTCGAGGACTTGGGCGCGGACTGCTCCGCGGACTTGATGAGGGGCTTGAAGATCTGTAAACAACAGTGAAGAAATTCATTTTCTAGATAGCGAAACATGTATAAACCAAAAGTATGTCCATTTAATACTAGGATAAATAGCGCGCCAGTATGTAATGATTTTATATTTTAAATAGAATAATATCTCTCAAAAGATAACACCTGAATGATTTAAAATGCTTACTTTAAATCAGTATTAGAAATTTTCTCATTGTTTGTTGCATTTAATGAGGATAACATCTTTATACTCTCCGTATTTTGTTTTGAATCATTGTGAAACTCATTTTTGTCTGCCAGTTCATTCTTCATTTAAGTTGAAGCAGTTCAATAATACCTTTTGTTAAGAGTGCGATTTTGTTAACACTTTAGAAACTAAGGTCAACGTTTTGAACAATGTAACATCATCATTAAATCTTCATTAAATAAACGCGTTACGCCTATACTGCAAAGGTTTAAATTAAGTAACAAAAGAAAATAAAATTATTACATGTATTACATTTTTATTCTTCCCCCCAACCTGTCACTTTTTTTAAGCTTCATTTTTTCATTTTATTTTTGAGCGAGAGCAGTGCTGCCCTCTAATAGATTGAACAAGAACCAAAACTAGGAATGGGTATAATTTAGACTGCATTTCAAATACGTTTAAAATAAACATTTTTATTTAAACGTATTTGCTGCATTTCAATAGAAATTTACCTTATACCCAAAGTTATACTCAAATATTATTATTATACCATTCATATTAGAGCACCAAAACATATTTATAGCGCATTAAATAAATAACAAAGTTTAAAATTTATTGGGACATTAGAACTACTGCCTTTACTACATATGTTATTTTTATTATAAAGTATATTAAATAATAAGTAAAATTAACAAGAATATGATAAAAAAAACTTATAGGTTTACAAACTAAAATAAAAAGATGTTTATCTTATAATGTATCGATTCTTTTTTAATTTACTACGTTGAGTCATCCCTGTAACGTTTACATCATGAATTCAAGGTATATGAACCCCAGATCATATATAAAATACTTATGAACGTGCCCTAACGCCGTGCGTCTTGTTAAAGTGAAATAGGAAATAAGGTTATTACGGCGACCGCTATGAGTGAAAAAGAGAGAGGCTATGTGATGAATGGCGACAAGCCGAATCAACATTCCCTATTTGTTGGTGGCAATTTGAGGTCCCCTCGGACGCCATAAGTGGAATTTTGTGAGTTTTCTTTTGATCTGGTGTGGAATATTATTGCTTAGGATGTTAATTGGTAAGTCATTTTACTATTTTTCCCGAGATTATTCGGTTTCGAATAGTTTCTACAAGTTAAATACCACAACAAAGTTTCATTTCCCTTTCCACTCCAAGCTGTTTATTTTATTTGCAATCATCGTCGGGTAGATTATCGAATCAAAAAGTTTTTGTTGTCGTATAGTTTTAGTTGCGATTTTGTTTGTTTTAATGCTCATCGGCACGAATAAATATTGAAAAAGTAAAGGAAGAAGCATAATAGGTGATGTTTATCAAAAACTAAAATAAACCGGTACCGATTGCCGATTGTATTGTGAATGATTGCCGACGTACCTCTATGACCTCAAACAAATTCTTCAAGTTTTCTTATTTTGCTTATAGACGATTTTGAAGTTGCCAAATCCCAAAACGTTACATTTGAGTATTAGAATATGTTATAAATTCCAATTTCATAAATTTTAACTGTATACAACTTGGTTTATTATTGGCGTCCTGTGCATAAAAAAAATATGTACCTTTTTAGCGGTATTATTGAATAGTATAATTTTGTATAAATATAAATAAAGGTAAAAATATAGATTAATATATTTCTAGATTATTAAGGAGTTACTATGAGCTCATTAGCAAAACCCCTAGCAGCAACGTCTCAGAGTCCTCCTGCTGGCAATCAAGTAAATAAAACAATGCATCCCCAAGGAACAACTGCTTCCTATAATCAACCGAGTCATGTTCCACAAAGTTTAGTACGTATTATTGTTAAAAATAATTTTAAAACAGGGTTCGAGTACATTAAGTAATGTTGGTAACTTTTAGGGCAACATTCATGCCAACCCCACTGCGGCTCATAACCACCAAAATCAGCCGCACCATTACTCTTTAAATGTTCCCAATACTTACAGTCAGAGTATGGGACAAATTCCAGCTAGCAATCATCCGATTGCCAATCCCAGTGCTACTGCTGCTGGCCAGGGCTACAGTCTACAAAAAACTGTAAGCAGTTTTACAGCTAATTATCAGACAAACATCTCCCATCAGCAGGTATATAATTACAATGATACCTTTCCAACAGGGTTGGGTAACGACACATAGAAAAATGCGTAGAAAATGTCCAATATGTAGAATATTAAGAAGAAAATGTATAAAATCCGAGTAACATGTTCAAAATCAATTTTGTATATTTAAAGCTGTTTTTTTTTCCTTTTACAAGTTTCCTCCTGCGTATTTTCTTTAAATTTTATAAGTGTTAAAACTGTACTATGTACGCGCGCTGTCTATTCTGTGACGGTACTAACTGCTGAAGATAAGAGACAGTAATTGTCGTAATCGACCTGAAGACTACTAGATTATATTTTATTCTATTTAATCTCAATACCGTAAAGTCTGATTTTATAGTACAAGTTTTGGTTGTTTTTTTTGCAATTTTATCAAAGAACCCTGGTTTTATACACTATGTATACAGTGTATCATTATAGTTCCTAGTTCTTTTTTTATCATTATGTTAGGTGTTATAATTTTTTTTGTTTCTCAAGTGTTCTGTTTGAGTTTTACTATTGATAAATAGTTTTTGTTAAATACTATAATCTCTCCAACGAATCACAACAAATCACTATTGGATCTTCCTATTGGACAGACCATCTCTATTTCAAATAACATAAAAATGCATGGTTAAGGTCTTATGACATTAGTTTATTTGTTATTAATCTATTTTTCGTGCTACTCACTGTGTTAAAGTATTTAAAACAAATATAAATATCAAAAATGGCTTTCAGTATACATAACTAATTTTCTACATAATATGGACATGTAGGAAATGTAGACAATTAGTTAGTGTAGAAAATTAATATTCTACATGTAGAAAATGCGGTAGAATGTGAAAAATTTTCTATCTACCCAACCCTGCTTTCCAGTATCGTTTATTTATATTGTTAATTTGCAGCAAAATATGTTTGCTTCCATAAACCAGTCTGTAACAACCACACAGCAGCATGTATCAGTTCCACCCCAAAATGCTTTACCTGGAGCAGAAAAATCACAATCCAATGGCACATCTGAAGCTAAATCCCCAACAAAAACAGAGACCCAAGATAATTTTCCTACTAAAGAAAAAGTTGTTCAACCACCAGTACTATCACAGGTTAGTATTAAGACGTCTATTTAATTTTTATATTGTTTTATATTATTGTTATACGGGGTCCGGCAATAGTGTGTCGGGCATCTCCTAGAATAAAAAAAATTAAGAATTTTGTTTAAGCTGAAACCTAAAGTATGTATGGGGATGTACATATTTCAGGAAAATATTTTAACTTCTATAGGGTGACTCAAAAACGTGTGAGTGGATTGGGATGATTTTTTTAAAATCGAACATCCTGTATATTATTGCATTTTTGGCTTCCTTTCAGATCACTTTACATAATCCTAGGATATGAGTAAATAGATTTTGATAATTTCAGAGATATTAATAAATAAAAGATTTATTTTTCAACCTTTTTTAAAAAGGTTATTACAAATACAAGAACTGCCCTGAAATCAAAACTATATTAGGTATTTACTTTAGATGGTCTGTACTATAATTTTTGTTTGTTTTTTTAAAATGGCACACTCTGTATATTATTTTTTTATTAGATGGAGAGTTAAAAAATGAACATTTTTTGTATCTGCGAAAGCATTAAAAATTTTGAAATACTTTAATCAAAATTTTTAATGCTTTCGCAGATACACGCAGTATTATTTCATATTGCTCTTTCAAGGAGACAATAATATGAGAGAAAAATCATAGTTGGGTGGCTCTGATAAAAATTTACTGTGGAAAATACCATATGAAAAATAAAACCGCAAATATCTGCGAAACCGTTAAACATTTTGAAATATTTTTGAAAACATTTTGAGCAATTTTTTGGTAGTGTTTAGTGCTTCGATAAAAATGGCAGTAACCTGTTAATTATAAAAATATTAAGTTTTAATTTCTAGTAGTAAAAAGTATAAAAGTAAATTTTATATTGGGGTAATAAAGAATAATCCCACATAAAAACGTATTTTTTAACGATCTTAATAAAAATAGAAAAATCTAACGTGATTTTAAGATATATGGTGTAAATACGGTAGCTGAGAACTACCCACGCCATAATATTATTCTTCAGAGGCTCGCGCCCTCTGTCAACTATTCAGTCAAATACTGATAGGTGACGTCACAATTTTCTACGCGTCATTTCAAACCAGTGAAATTTTTATTGAATTTGATTTATTATTTAATTGTAACTTCGTTGCATTTCTTTTTGTATTGAGGGAGTACTTTTTAATCATTTCAATTGAATTTTATATTAAAAATAACAAAGATTTACTATGGTTAAACACCGGATTTTGAACATCTTGTATGAATTACGATTACCATATTTATAGTAAAGTAAGTACAGACCATCTAAAGTATATGCTTTATATAATTTTGATTTCAGGACAGTTTTTATATTTTTAATAATTCTTTTAAGAAAGGCCGAAAAATATATATTTTTTATTTATTTATTAATATCTCTGAAACTATCAAAACATATTTACTCATATCTCAGGATTATGTAAAGTGATATGAAAGGAAGCCAAAAATGCAATAATATACAGGGTGTCCCATTTAAAAAACATCATCCCGATCCCCTCACATTTTTGAGCCACCCTATAGAAGTTAAAATATTTTTCTCAAATACATTCTAGTACATGCTTTAGGTTTGCACTTAAACCAAAAACACAATTTCCAAGTTTTCTAATTCTAGGAGCTACAGGCACCTAGCACTATTGCTGAATCCTGTATATTTGAATTTTGAATTCTATTTCTGTATTTTAGAACACACAAAGCAGCCCAGAAAAGGCGTCTTTGCCCAAACCGGCAGAAGTACCAGCGGAAGCAAAACCGGCGGCAGTAGCCCCATCTAGTCCCAAACCGTCACCAGTATCTCAGACAAGCCAATCTTCAGTCACTGTAAATGTTACGCCTACACCAGACGCTGATAAAGAGAAGGCCCAAGAGCTGGAACAGGCCACAAAGATATCTGACAATGGAACAGATGAGAGTGACGACAAGGAAGCTATTGAGTCTGAGGTAAGTCTTACTAATTTTACACTCTGTATTATGTCCCCGGATTATCTTTACAAGTGGAAAAACTTTTCTATTATTGGCATTTGGAAAAAATGCATTCTTCGTTACAAATTTTGCTTTTTCTAAAATGGTTAATCCCGTTTATACTTTTCCAAATATCCATACCGTTTTAGAGAGAATTATAAAAAATATGAAAATATGGTTGAATTTTTTCTAAGTTCTAATAATCAAAAGGTGTTTCTATGGTAATAAAATTTCGATTTTAGTCTTTTATAGAGGGTTATTATTAATTTTGATTAAAGTCATATTTTTTTCTGTTAAAGTGTCACATTTTCCTATAACTACTATCGCCGTTTCCTTAGCATCAAACTAAATAAATGTTGTCCTTTAATATTTTAACACAATAAAAAATTTGACGTTAATTAAAATTCTATCTACACCAATCTATCAACATAGATAAATGAAACAAGTTTAGATTGGAAAGTGCCCATAAGGACAATATAAACACTATTTGGCGCTATTCTTGCAACGGTCGCGACCCAAAACTTTTGAAAATTTCGGAGCGGTTCGGCTTTCTCCGGAATTATATCAACAAATATTGTTTATTCAAATTTACTATTATTTTCGTTTAATTTTATAAATAAAATACAGTGTGTTGCATACAAGAAACTTTATTTTATATAAGGACGCATGTATGAAATACCTATGAAACATCGGAAACCGACGTTATGCCACGATCCACGTTGGTTTTTGCAGTTCACAGTTCACAGCACAGCTTTTTAAGTTTTTAATGCCACTTTTTCACAATTATCACCGGTTGGAGTAAATAAAACTTAAATTAAACTCACAAGATAGCAATAATTACTTTGAAAATGGACGCTATAAACACTTTTCGGAATTTCTTTAATGAGAGCGGTTTATATTGACAAATTAACGTATCTAAATTATTTGACATCTAATCTTTGACAAGTAATAAATAAAAGCTAAAATGCAAAGAAAAATATATAATTTAGTTAATTTAAGTGAATTTCATAAATGATCAGTTTACTACACGTATGTATATTATATAGTCACTTACTAGCGAAAAGTTGTTCCATTATTTCACTCAATTTTTGCCGAGATCTACCGCACGCTACACAACCAACTATTTTAGAGTCTTTTTCGATAAATCGCGATAGTGTCACTGTTAATTTAAGTTCTGCCACAATTTCCATCTAGATTTACTACCTTTATTTAACTATCAGTAGTAGAATAAATAATAAATAACATAAAATAAGCTCCGTAAAGACTGACAAATCCACAAAATTTCAAATCAAATTCAAATGTGTCAAATGAATCGTCAAACAGAACTGTCAAGGATCCCCACCCTAGAGTGCTTTTATGGCGCTTTTTCCGCCCACTATGCATGAATACATGGATAGCATTATGCTCCTTGCTTAGTCTTCTTATTCAAAGGCTTAAACAAATTCAACCATATTTTCCTGTTTTTTTCTAATTTTCTCTAAAACAGTATGAAAATTTGGAAAAGTTTAAATGGGATTAACCATTTTTCAAGCAAATATTTTTATGAAGAATGCGTTTTTCGTAAAATATCGATAATAAAGGAGTTTTTCCTCTTGTAAAGACAATCTGGGGACATATGTTATAGGTGTATAATTGGAGACATAGCAATAATATGCGGTGTTAAATGATGCGTTATTTTGACAATTTCGACAGTTAAAGTGTCATAATAAGCATTTATGTGTAATAAAGTTACTGCATGCCCCTATTTAAGTAGAGAAGACGTCATGCAGTATCGTTGGCATTTTGTTACTTTATGTTGTCAATTGATATACTGTATTTATTAAAAAATATAAATAAATGTTCACTTTAAATATAGTTTTCTTTTCAGTATTACAATCAGTTATGGTACATATTATAGTTGAATTTACTATTTAAGATTTAATATGTTCTTATCAAAAAATTATGAATACAGTTGTCATTCCGATTCAGTTATTTTAAATAATACGGAATGGAATCCAGAATTACTACTTCTTGTTACTAAGTTCTTGTTTGCTCTCTGACATATAATTTAACTAAAACTATAAAATTACTTAACCAAAAAGCAACAAAACAGAAAAAAAAAATAAAAAAAAGTTAGGTTGGGATCCAGATTACTATTTGGTGTATAGATAATAATAAGGAGAATTATTATTTTCGTGTATTGAAAAGTTGTCATCAAAAAGGGAACAATTAAGATGGCGCTGCTGTAGCAAAAGTTTTACATTTGAAAGAAGCGCCAAAACATTTTAGAACAGGAACTCTTTTTTGATTACCTTCACTTTATATCTGCTAAGTTCAGTTCGATTCCTTATTGCTTATTAGCGCCACTGTGGTCATATAGTGAACCCTTTTTTCTCTTTTATGTAACCATTTTTTCAAACAAAGTGCCATAAGAGGTGATTCTCCTTACCTCTACAGTGGTGCCATAACTCTAAAAATTGAAAAACGTAAATATCAAAACGTCTGCGATAATGGCATAATTGTAGTGGTATATTGAATTTAACTACAGTTTTCTATTGTATTTTTCTAGCCTGAAGATTCCAAAAAGAGTGAAGAGAGTGTTAAAGAACCAAGCGAAGAATCAAAATCTGTCGAGAGAAGTCCTTCAGAGAGTAAAACTAAATCAGAACAGGTAAAAATGGATCGCATGGAACAGTAACTCCTAATTTCCTTGAAGTTTTTTGATTAATATTGTATTCAAATTAAAACAAAAATTTTTAAATTTTTTAGAGTCCTCAAAAGGAATCGATTCAGACGAAACAATCGACTCCTGCTTCAAGTAGCTCGACCACAACAGCCCTGAAAGCTGTAAGAAATGCCAAAGCGCAGGCCAAGCAGGAGGACGCTGCCAAAGCGGCCAAAGAACCGAAAACTCCGGTCCAAAAGTCGCCGGGCATCAGCAAGGCTAAAAGACAGAGGATCAGGACGCAGCACTACCAGAGCCCATTGCCTGAGGTGGAGCTGGTCTCGAAAATCAGCGCTTCCACGCCCAAGAGTAACGACGAACGACTCATCGTATTTTATAGGTAAGGAGAACTTTGTAACAGATAGTCTGTCCAATGACCAAATCGTTGATAGTGATAGATGTGTCTGTCATTTTAATTTTAAAGTAGTTAATTTTATTTTACAAAGAAATAAGTTGGTACAATTATTGAAATGCAAAACGTGAAATTGATATTGTTATCTCTTCTACAGTATTTGTTTAGTATTCTCTAAATAAAAAGTGGTGAGAAGCTAAATTATTTGAATTCAATTTATTTCTAAAGAAATATTGCAGAGGAGATAACAATGTATTTAAAATTTTAGTGACAAATAATTACTTTAGAATATTATAAAAAAATTGTTTAGGTGTGTGTTAATACAAAACAAAGGTTTGTGTTAAACAAAACATCGCATACAAAAAATCTATAAAAAAGGACTATTTCTTATACCTAACATTATTTACACTTTTTTATATCAACCGATTTGATCATTTTAGAAGTGTAGCCTGGATTTTAATGTGTAAGACAGTGATGTAGGCAACTTAATGGAAAATCAAATGTATTAAAAAGAAATAAAAGTTGGATTGATACATTTCTTCTAGGCGGTATTGCCGGATTTTGCATCAAAAGTTCAAACCGCACAAGTAGATGTTTACGAAAAATGTTGCATCTAGGGTTGGAACTTTATTTTTCACAATTGGTTACTCATTTTACTACAGATGTAATAGATTATATTTAGCATAGCTATATTATCTTCATTTCAGTAGTATACATGAAAGTTTTTAAAATAGTTTTTTTTCTACACAAATTTTCCTACAAACGTAAAAACCGGCAACACTGTATGCCGCTTTTGATTTTGTCTCTCTGTCTGTCAACCGGTCATTATATTATGGCTGTACTTAAACTGCCGTTAAACGGTAGCTTACTAAAATGCCGTTAATAGATATGACGTCGTTGATGTGACGCACTTGACGGCTTTATGAAATATACGAATTTTATAAGGACTAACCAACGCTATCCACCCCACCAAATAACCTACTTAACCAACGCAACTAACCTCGACACTGATAAAAAAATAAAAAACAAATATAAATTAGTAAAAATCAACCAACCCCACTAAATAACCAACTAACCAATGAATTAACACCCTCCAAATAACCACGCTAACCAACCCGCCAAATAACTAAACCAATCTAACCAAAAAGAGTGAAACCAATGCAATAAGATCACGCTATAAGCAAAAAAAAATATAAAAAAGTGTTGGTCGGCGTGAGATTTGAACCACGGACCATTCGCTTACGAAGCGATAGCCTCAGCCACTGACCCACAGGTGCTCTTGCAAATAACTTAAGGCTAGACATTACTTTCTGCCGACATGAACGACGTCACAATATCTATTAACGGCATTTTAGTAGGCTACCGTTTAACGGCTGTTTAAGTACATCATTATATTATTCTCTGTCTTACACGTTAAAATCCAGACCACACTTCTAAAATAACCAAATCGGTATAGTTTTTCTGATTTAATTTCTCCTATTTTCATTTTACAGAAATGAGTTTTTGGCAGTAAGAAACTCGGAAGGGAGTTTTTATTTGTGCCAGGCTATACAAAATATTTACAAGAGCTCCACGAAAATTAAGATTCGTTGGTTGAACTTGGAGAAAACCGAGAAAGGCGGTGAAATATACACTCCTGATTTTTACGACCTAACTGGTAAGTTTATTATATTGATGTGGGTGTTTCAAGTTTTACTTTAAAAATTTTAACACCAATAAATAACATTTTATTTTTTGTCTTTATCTTTTCCACTTTCTCTACTCTTTTCTTTCCTTATACTCTTTTAAGCCCTGTCTAAACATAACGATTTATCTGATTAAACAATTTATCTATCTAAACACTTCCCTACTGATATATAACTATTAAATGTTTCAGATTTTGACTGTATACTGACTAACCTGAGCCTGAGTAAAGTGGACAAAGGCAGATTCAAGTTGCCCACATCGGAAAAGGAGAGGACGCAAAGCATTCTCAATAGATCGCTGGCAGTGGAAAAAGGCGAAGTAACTTCGCCATCTTTGACAGAAGAGCATCCTGATGGCTGTAAGTATTTTTGTATAGCAATTATTACAGATATGCAGTAAATTTACCATAAAATTCTTATCTTAAAATATAATTTCATAATCTAGTCTGAGGTTCCTGAAATGAAATCAATTTTAAATTATATTGTCTTAAAATTACAATTACTTAGCTTTTTAATCTTCTCTCTTCTCTCGCTTTTTTACTAAAATAGGTTATATTGCAATATATGTTTATCTTCTATTCTATTTTTCAGTGGATTTGTCCCTATACCGAGACGAAGATCAACTAAAGAAACGCAAGGCCAGAAAGAGGAAAGCCAGCCAAAAACCGGCGAAATCACCCGGTAGAAAGCCTATCCCGACAAAGAAGAGCCCGGAAAATGCGAAAGCCAAGAAAGTGGTCGAAAAGACGGAAAAACCGCCGAAAAAGGCGGCCGTCGTGAAGAAAGCGGTGTCGGCTCCAGCGAAAAAAGCGGCCGCTCAGCCGGAACCTAAGAAACCAGTACCTTCCAGCAGGTAATATTCGTTTCTTCCCATATAAGTAATACTCCGATAAAGCTAGTACAGAATTTAAGCATATGCCTTGAGAGTGCGACGGCAACAACATATATAATGCTCTAAACAAGGGTCGTTAGCAGGCTTCTAAATAAACCTATCAACCGTTATACAGGTTGTTAATTTGTTTATTACTCGCGGCAAGAGCTTTATGGTTGAAATATGGCAATCTCGGCATAGTCGGCACAGAGTCGGCAGAAAACCCTACAAGTGCATGCGTTCTCAATAGGCAGTTGCTATTCTGTTCCCCTATAAGTAACTGTCTAGTTAACAACCTGTATACTTGGGTCACTTGGTATATGTTCCTTATATACCGATCTGGTCATCGAAAGTGCGTGGTCTGGATTTTAACTTGTAAGACAGTGATGAAGACTGAAGACAGTGATGTAGACAACTTAGTGAAAAAACAAATGTACTAAAAAAAATTGGGTTGATACATTTCTTCTATGCGGTATTACCGGATTTTGCATCAAAATCATTGAAATGAAGATAATATATCTAAACTAAATATAATCTGTTACAGCTCTAGAAAAACGAGTAATTAATTGTGAAAAATAAAGTTTCAACCCTAGATGCGATATTTTTCATAAACGCCTGCTTGTGCGGTTTGAAATTTTGAATTGCAAAATTCGGCAATACCCCATAGAAGAAATATATCAACCCAACTTTTATCTTTTTTTAATACATTTCATTTTTCATCAAGCCTCTACATAATTGTCTTACAAGTTAAAATCCAGACCGCCTCGCAGTTAGCCTCATAGAAGTATTACTTATATTATGGCTTTTTCCTTATTTTTTTGCTAATTCAAATGAATTTTGTTATCCAGCAGGTCGACGACTAGGAGTAAACCGAAAAGCAACGCTAAAACCACTTCTGTGGTCGATCAGAAAAAAGCGAAAGTATTAGCGAAAATCGGCAAGAAGGCCGCCGTAGCCAAACCGGCTCAGAGCGACAACAAAAGTAAGGGAAAAAGCAAATTTTAGTTATATTGCAACGTAATAGAATTGGAGGATTTTTTTCTGTAGTTAGCGAAGGAAGGTTCGACTTGAAATTTGTGTAGATTCGTTGAAATTTGCATGCCGTAACGTTTGCGCCAAAGACTCGTGAAAATTGGTAATCGTAGTAAGTGTCGTATGATTTTAGCCTAGATCTTATAATCTACGTGGATAAGTAAATTTGTCTCGTTCTTGTTGAAAATATATGAGCGATATTGGATTGTTTGACCGTCTTTGATACTGACTCGATCGATTGTCTGTTTTTATTGAAAACTACTAATATGCACAGCCTCAGATCTAAGGGGAGGCAAACTGGGGCACATGCCTTGTAGCTATGCTATTGTAGCTCATGACATGAGCTACAATAGGTCGCACACATGTTGGTCGCACTAACACATTGTGTTAGTTGTATCTTCTGAAAAGTTTTTAATGGACCATATCTCTACCAAAACACAGCAAAAAAATTCGATATATAGTAATCGCAAAACAATTTTCGATGCACGTCATCAACTTTGAGTGACAAGCGATGGCAACAGTTATTATTGAATTATTATTTATTATATTATTTTTTAAAGATTTTTACGTTTTATTTTTAATTAAATAATTCATATTTTCGTAGTTAATTTATTTGTTTTATAACTTTTTTTTAACTAGTCCATTGCGAAGATCATTCTAAGCATTTTTATGCGTTAAAGAATATTGTAACAAATAATTTGCCAAAAAAGATTTATTGGAAATAGTCGACGTAATAGACTAAAACATTAATGATTAATTATTTTAAATGATATTATACAAAATAGTGGCTGACCATATGATAATTGTCAAATAATAAACAGCAACATCGCTAAATACGGCGCAATGTGACCAACATGGAGATAATAAAATTCGGTTTAGACTCATTTTTATAGTTTTAATCTAAATAAAATATCTGTTACAATCACGTGCGCTATAAAGTAAAATGAAGAACTGTTCAGTATCTTAAATTATACAACAAATTTGAACATTTTTGCCTAAATTTCATTTTGTCAGGTTTATAGGTTTTAGTGTCACTTTCAATATGATTGATGACGTGCATGGAAAATTGTTTTGCTATTAGTTTAAGTTGCCATTCGTTTCCAATATCGCTTTGCGGAAGCTCAAATGGTGGCAAGGATAGGTTTTTATGTAAACCTTATTCTAGAAAAAGAAATAAGTAGAAAGATGTATCTCGTCCTCATTGAAAGAAATTTGTGTGTAATATCTTTATCCATGAAGTTTATAGGATCTGAGGTTATTAGAGTTTTTTTTTGTTTAATTTCACGTTGGATATTTCAAGAAAAATCAAGCAGTTTTTATATTTAGCGTTGATTTAAATCATTTTTCTTTCAGTCATATTTATATAGTTTTTATCAAAGACTTCTAAATAAAGATGAGACAAACGCCCCATTCATAAAACTATTTGTTTACAATCAGACATACTTAACCCTTTTATGTGAGTTAAAAAGAGATGGGTACGTAAATATGGCAACACTGTTGAGTTTCGTGTACATTTATGTCTTTTCAGTCTACAGTGGCGTGTTGTTTTTATGAACAATCCTAAAAAGTAATTTTAATTTATAATGAACTTGAATGAATCCATCAAACTTTTACTATTCATTGTAAAAACCATAGAAACCAAACAGTGTTCTTGAGCAGCGTTGACACAGTTATTTCTCTAATAAATCTTAATTTAATTTAATTAGAAAACTAAAAATTATTTCAAAGGTATAATCTATGTATTTTAACTAAAATTATATACCTACACATATATTTAGTATGCAGTTTCTATAGGTACCCACAAAAACATTAATAACAATAGAGCCGGGAGCCCATTAGCCAACACCCGACGCGATGCCACGCTGTCCCAAGTGTTGCGACGTGGGAATGGGTGTACACGTTTGGTAACACGTGTTAACACGCCTGAAATTTTTATTAGAGTTAAAAAAGTTGTCAGGAGGGATACGAAAATACTAGAAGTATCGATACCCATAACGATATTAGATTATAATCATAATACTTTAACTTCACAATCTCCATTAACCTTCTTTCCTTAATTTTTGATTATTAAATTTTAAAATTAATACTAGAATTTGTATTCTTACTTATTGAACACTCAAAAAGACATTTTTGTTTTCTATTGCATTCGAAAATAACCATTAGAAAATAGCTGCGGGACTGGAGAGGCAAGCGGGGAACAACACGCCGTAATACACGTCACAAAAAAAAATCACACGTGTCATAGCGTGTTATAGCGCCGGATGGCGCGGCGTGTTGCCTAGTGTGTACGCAATACATGTAATTAAATGGAAAAACATACGCACTGATCTTCATGACGTAGGGTAGCATGGCATCGCGTGGCGTAGCTTGTTGGCTAATGGGGTGCCGGCTTAATAACATACTTCTTTTTTAAACACGTACAAAGCTGAGATCTAACGCAATCCGTAGAAACTTGTCAATATCGATTTTTGTTGAAAACGATATCTATTCGCGATAAAATATAAATAGTTTTTTTTTCAAACGTCACAAAAGTATGTATTAATTTTTGTCAACGTCATTTTAACGCTTAGGCATAAAAGTGAAGCACTTTTACGCACAAAAGTGCGAAAATTTATTATTAAACTGACATTAAATGTCAAAATCAACGAGCGTAACCATAGTTTCTCGATATATAATTACTTACAAAGTAAAAATCAAAACATGAATTCACCACAATAGACCAAAACAATTTAGTTTTGCACTGGACGCACGTTTCGCTAACCATGTTAGCATCAGCAGATGATTATGAAAACTATTAGATGCTGATGATGTTAATGTGGTTAGCGAAACGCGCTTCCAGTGCAAAGGTAAAATGTTTTTGTGTATTGTTGTGAAATTTGTGTTTTTATTTTGCTGTTGTAAGCACCAGAGGTTCCAACCCTCAACTGTAACTTACAAGGTATTACTTTTAAATCTTTTTATATAATTTGCAACGTTTGATATCGTTTTGAAAAAAAAATAGCATGTTCTATTCGGAGTAAAAATGACTTTTTGTACCTCGCCGTAGTCAAACCTACACAAAGAGTATCATTTTTACTCATAATAAAACAATATACTATTGTCTCCCTTTAATTAGATGTCTTTGGTTCTTATCATCATTAAATTCATTCCAAATAGTTTTTTGAAACATTTTTTGACTTTAATCAGTAGTCGAAAAACATATATTTTAAAACAAATTACTTAGCACTGTTGGGTAGTCGATTTTGGTTTATTACTATAGGTTTGTGTGTTTGGTGTGCTTAACCTTTACAAGATACAATTATATAAAAATGCCCCCGTTTTTTAGGTAAGTTATTAAGAAAGTTGTTTTTGTAGATGCAAAGTCGGGAGCCGCCAAGGCGAGCGGCACCGCTCCCCGCAAAACCTCCTCCGTAAAAGCCGCCGCCCCCCAAAAGGCGGCGCAACCCCTCCGTACCCCCAAAAGGTCCTCACGAAAATAATACGGCTCGCTAGCTAGCGCGCGTCACTAAACTTACGTTGTTTGTTAGGCTAAGTTATATAGCATATTATTTCACCCTGTATATTTTTTTAATTATCGTAATAAAATTAGTCGGTAAGGATGTTAACCATACACGGGGCGAGACACTGTACGATTTGGAAAGCTCCATTTTTTCTTTCCATATATTATGTCACCCTGTATATAGGTAACGTCGATATTAATAATTCTTCAGTCGGGCTACGTTGCACGCTTTTATGATCTACCTAAAATATAGAAATTATTTTTTATTGTTTAAAAATTAATCAGTATTTCTTATTGTTTAGTACATTTCACAAAAAAAATATATTTTCAGCGATCCTCACAACGTTACGTCATTATTATTTATCAAATATGCGTTTTAGGGCGTGTCTTCGATAAGTTCATAGTACCACAGATTAGGTATCCTATAAGTATACAGATAAAAATCTTGTCCCTAATTCGTGGTACGAAAATTGTTTTTTATGGCGATGAGCAAACGAGTAAATTTTCTTGTGCGCAAAAATAAACTCCCGTTTAAACAGCGTAATAATTGGGCCGGTCAGGCGATGTGCATAATTTTAAAAACCATAAGTGGGCGTGCTTGTGCGCAAACTAGTAACCTAACTAGTGCGCGACTCCGAAAATTGGAACCACGGACAACAATGCTTTTAACGATAAGTTTATAATCTGTTTAATCTGTGATAGTACTTGTACTGTAACTTTAAGTACGTTCGGAAATTATTAATTGAGTGTGTTCCGTTTTTATTCAATTCATGTAGGTATGTCAGACATTCATTTGGATTTTCTTTCAATTTATCTAAATCGTACCTATTTTAGAAATAAACTTATTCAGAGTAAAATACACCTAACTTTGATACTCTAGAGGTTGAAGATGTCTGATATAATTAAATTTGCTCGTGCTTAAAAATGCCTATTTTCAAAGTCTCAGGAACACGCCGTATTATTATTTAAAAAGGCAGTTAATTTGTGTTTGCATAAGACTACACACGTTTTCATTGTACTTACTTCATATACGGCATCCACGGCCAAAAGTATTTTACCAATGGGCACGTTCAGAGAACACAGCCGCTAACTTCTGACATCTCGCGTGTTAAATATTATTTAAAAAAATATTACAATGGCTGATTATGTTTTTAATGAAAAATGATAAATTATTCTACATACAGTTGACTGCCACGCTAATGGATTTAAATAATTAATCCCTAAAATGGATTTAAAGACCGCTGACTGAAGCTTAGATATTTACCGCTGAAAATTTTGTTCGTTGGCATTTATAATATGAATTTCAAATTAAAAATCGTTTGACAGCCCAATTAAATTTTAATTTTGACATTGATCGATGTCCGTCAATAAAATTATAGACTCAAATTAAATGACGACAAATGCCGTAATTACGTCACGAATCTCTTTCATCTGGTTGTCAAGCGAAGGAGAGAGTTCGACTATATATGACGTAACGTTGAAAGATCGCTGAACAAACAATACGTATACTATTACTATTTTATAGACTGTTTTATCCTCTCTGGTAGTGTTCGATATTAGATATTTGTTATAACACTTAAAAGCGTGCAAAATAGGTGTCCATTAACAGATGCAATGTTTATAGCTTACATATTAAGTGTATATCATGATAATATTGGTTCTAATTTATTAAGTGTTTAAAAGAAGAGGAAAGAAAAAATGCAAATATTATCTACTCATTATCAACATGACGTTTAAAAAAAAACCTGTTAAACTAAAGCTCAACTAACTGCTGTTAAGAGGCACATAATTTATTTTGGCCAATAAAAAACTAAGGGGTGGAAAAAAGATTAAATTTAAACAAATAGTTTAAGGGGTTTCCCACTAAAGTATTTATTAAATTGCTATGTATTACTTGTAGTTTGAAGTTTTGTATTTTTTATGTATGTAATATATATTAAGTCTAACTTTGATGCTTTTATTATACTAGTGGAAATGTATTCGTCATAAAATGGTGTTTATTTGATATTTTATGTTTATTAAATCTGCACATTTTTCGTCTTTTTTATCTATATGAATGTTACGTGCAATTAGATATATTTTTTTTAGTTTTTAAATTGTAATTATAATTAATTATCAAATGAAGTAAAATTCAGATATTTTCTTGACAAAATATCAGGCATTGATGTATTAGGCCTAAAGGAAGTTTGTAGATTATAGTTTTTGTGCGTTTCTCACAATTTTGGACTAGTTTTTCATGTGGGAAAATAATTAAAACCAATTGTCATGAATATGTTTGTACAGTATAGCCCTATTTTAAGAGAATACATATAAGAAAATCTAAATAAATAAGTGTATCCCCAAAAATCAGAAAATATATAAAATGCTGAATTTCCTAAATCACCGTCTGATAAATAAGATTTGTTGTTTCTTTAGAGAGAAGAATAAATAAAAGCGACCAAATCGATAAAGGAAAATTATTGTACAAGCACACGTTTTTTCTTTGTAACCCTTTATTGTCTGTAGGTCCTAGATGTCTGTTTTGTGTTTAAATTTATAAGATTTAAAAAAAATGAACTTAGTAATTAAGGATTAATTCCAGAATGTGAGTGTAGTCTTGTGGATTTTTTGTTTTGCGATCTGAGAAGTTCAAACTCAAATATATAATTTATAACGTACATAGTTTTTTGAATAAAATAATTAAGAGTATGGTGTTTGTTTTATTTTTAGAATTATGAAATATTTTCAGTGGCAGCTCGTGAGTTCTGAAGGAGGGTGTACCCGCCCTCGACACAGAAAAAGTTAAAAAGCTTATCTACTATTTTTCGTTATATACAGGGTGGTCCGACTGTATTCCGGAAACTTCGGCAGCATATTCTGCAGATAAAAATAAGTAAAAAAGTTCGTATAAATGTATGTCTTAAAATGCTTAGTTTCGGAGATACAGGGTGTAGAAGTTTCATTTTTATTTCGATTTTTTCTAAATAATTTCTAAAGTAAAGTCAATATCTGGATGAAAATTGGTGTCTGGGAGTTTTGTGATACGAGAAATTTGATTTTGATGTCAAAATGACTCCTATTTGTAGGGGCGCCACCTACATGCGTTTTGACTGTTTTGAAGAGTAATAACTTTTCGACGATAGCTGTATAAAACTACCGACTAAAAAAATATACATTTCCATGGCTTTTTACGTAAAAAATGTCTCTTGATAAAAATCGCTACGAGCAACCGTTCTCAAGATATTTAAAATGCAAATAGTCAATACATGTCATTATTGACAAAAAAAGCACACGTTGAATAGAGTTATTTGACTGAAATAATAAATGTTAATTTTTTTAAATTAATCATAAATTTTTCTGCGAAAAAATGATGATTAAATAGTTTCTGTTGAACTTTTGGCACAAAAAGATTTCAGTCTAATAACTATTTGGCCAACATGTTTAATTTGTCAATGATGACAGGTATTGATAATTTCAAATATCTTGAGAACCATTACTCGTAGCGATTTTTACCAAGAGACTTTTTTATGTAAAAGAAGTTGTAAATGTATATTTTTTTACTCAGTAGTTTTATACAGGTATGGATGAAAAGTTATTACTCTTCAAAGCAGTTAAAGTATATGTAGGTGGCGCCCTCTACAAGTAGGAGTCATATTGACATGAAAATCAAATTTCTCATGTCCAAAAACTGCCAGACACCAATTTTTATCCAAATATTGACGTTACTTCAGAAATTATTTGGAAAAAATCGAAATAAAAATGAAATTTCTACACCCTGTATCTCCGAAACTAAGCATTTTAGGACATACATTTATACGAACTTTTTTACTTATTTTAGTCTGCAGAGTATGCTGCCGAAGTTTCCGGAGTACAATTCGGACCACTCTGTATAGTCTATCGCTCTAGTTTTAATGTTAGAAATGACCCTGTGCATTAGGATAACAAAAATATTATAATGCACTCAATTATATAATATATTTAATTTCTACTTTAGCTGAGCTGTCAGTACTGAATATTTCTAGTTCTGTATTTAACGTAGATTATATCAAAAAAATTAATTTGGTTTGGTTTAGTTTTTTTTAGTTTTAAATACTGAAAAATTTCACTATAATTTGAGCTAAAACGACCCCAACCCTAAAAATTGAGTAAAATTGGAATAAAGTTTAGTGACAATAACGCTAATACTATATAATTTAATTTTCGACCAATATTTTGATATTTTGCTGCAAATATTTGCCTAAAGACCTAATGAACTAAAATTTAGACATATACATAAGTATATGTATAATAAATGTCGGTATATATATATGTATAAAAAAAAATACGGATTAGGCCGTTTTTCTTTATGATTTATTTGCAAAGTTAGTAGGCCAATATTAATAATAATTGTATGAAAACTATTAATGAACCAAATTTTGTGGCTTAAAACTATTTTTATTTAGATACAAAATGAATTTAATAAAATAAATATCCTTCAGCTGTTATTTGCGAGTTTGTGGATTAGGCTGTTTCTGCGCTGGTAGTCTCATTTGTCCACCTAGAGAATACCTGATTTTAACAGACGTCTAAATATGCCAAACCAAAAACAAGACAATCTTGTGAATAAAAATAATAGAAGGAGGTAAGTCTGTTTTAATAATTTCTAAGGTAATTTGATGCTGTTTATTTCTCCATTATACAGTCCAGTATAAGACATGGATAGAAAGGTAAGTTGCTGTTTTATCTACATATGTCCCCGGATTGTCTTTACAAGAGGAAACACTTTTTTTATTACTGACATTTTGAGAAAAATACATTCTTTATAAGAATTTTTGCTTGCCTTAAAATGGTTAATCCCGTTTATACTTTTACAAATTTCCATACCGTCTTCTAAGACGTTTTTAACTTTCTCTAGAAAGTTAAAAAAATATGAAAATTCGCGAATTTGAAATCCTAAAAATTAAAAGGCATTTCTATGGAAATTAATTCTTTCATTCAAAAAGTCTAGCAACTGAAGACTGAACCCTACATATAGCTTTGTCAATGGCCGAATAAAGGTGTACGCGCACTGAATCGGTACCAGTCCGGCGAAGGCGGTGACTCGACTATCGTAGATAGGTAGAGGTAGGAATCTGGCCTCTACAGGCCGAAATGTTTAGTGGACGCCGGCGCCGTCTATATGTACGATGGTCGCAGTCGCTTTTGCTGGTCGGTCCGATCCGATGCAGTGCGCGCCCTCTTTAACGGTTTGTTAAGAGAACTGCACATTTGCACTTGCACAGACATGCCTATTAGTTGCCCACACACGAAAAGACTTTAAAGTTGAGGCCAAGTCTTTCCGTGTATGGGCAGCTATTCCAGCTTACAATGCCGTTGATAGACCCACTACAGCTTTGACCCTCTATGCTTTTAGGTCTGTGTGAATTTTGGCGAATGTTCTATCGCAGATTAGGTATACTATATGTATACAGATAAAAATCTTATCCCTAATTTCGTGGTACGAAAATTGTTTTTTATGACGATGTGCAAACAAGTAAAATTTCCTCTGCGCAAAAATAAACTCGCGTAAAATAACAATAAACAGTGCAATAGAGAGATATCGCTAAACCGAATAGCGTGCATGGACGTTAATAAGGCCAGGTGTTATTTCCTTTACATGAGGTGGTATTAACTCTCTTCATTTATAGTTATCGGACCGGAAAGAATTCTGTTCGCGTCGCGTCCGCTATTTAAACTTAACCTAACTTTGAAATTGTTTTGTTTACTAGGTATTTTAAAACTAAAGGGCTAAAGTACTTATTTCCAGTGCTTTATTGTTCAACGTCTGCCACTGGGTTTAGGGCAACAAGTAACAAATTCTCTTAGAAAGTCTATTGTCATCTGCTCTAGCTAAGCCTCTCAAAACCTAAGCCTCTTTATAGGTTCTTTTATATTGGAAGACGTGGAATCCATATTTTGGGCCATATTTATTTAATTAAAACTACTCCCAGCTAAATATCAAATTACCTAATAAAACTAAAGTAATAATTCAAAACAATTCAAACATAACCTAAAATAAAAGATCTCGCCGGCCGGCCTCGGTTGTCAAATACTCGCACATGCCCATTTAAGCAATTTCTAAACGTTATTTAGAAATAGCGCTTCGTGTAATTGATCCGCAAATTACGTCAGGCGGTAACGTTATTAGCGGGAGCTGCGTTAAAAATTGACTCGCGCATATCGTAACCATGATAAGGTACGCGTAAATACTGCATGACGCTATTCGGTTTTCCGATATCTCTCTAATAACTGTGCCGGTCAGGCGCTGTGCACAATTTTAGAGGCCATAAGTGGGCGTGCTATGTGCGCAAACTAGTAACCTAACTAGTGCCCGATTCCGAAAATTGGAACCACGAAAAACAATAAAGAAAAAACAAAGTTTATGATCTGGTGGTTCTATGAACTTTTTCTCCTGTCTCTGCCCTGGTCATCATTCTAGAGATTTCTTGGCCACCCATTATTTTGTGGCCATTCTCGTAACCGCGTTTGCAAGGCCGCAGAAGGGTTCTTGCCCTATGACTTGGCACTGATGAACCTTGTTTGGCCATTTTAATCTTACTTGGCCTTTTCGTCACTCTTGTGACCCTCGTTCCCTGGCACCCGAAAAACGATATGTTCTTTGCTGCCTTATTTCTTCTACACAATAGTGAATTACCTTTATTTCCGCCTGGAAAATTCTGACATCCTTAGATAGGCTTAAAGCTCAAACGCACTGACGACCAGGTCGCAGCGACCAGGCATTTTATTTAATGGTATTACTGGTCTATTGTATTCTATTACGACCGCTTGATTTTTTTTGTCATTTGATTTAATGGCCTGGCCATCGACTGGTCGCTGCGACCTGGTCGTCAGTGCGTTTGAGCTCTTACGTAGAAAGATATTCTTTGTTTCGGCCCTACTATTCCAGCTCCAACCCCTTCCGACATTCTTGAGCCGTCTGTATACCAAGCCGTCGTACGTAAAAGACCGTTTACAGAGCTGTCGTCAGCTAGACGGTCATCCGTTTTAACTGACAGGTAAAACATTAAGGTGCCTTTAGACTTGACCACGAACGCACTGATCTTTCGCCAATGCTCAGTTGTAAACGGCTGTGCGCGCAACCTCGCTCAGAATGCGGGTGCGCGAGCAGACGCGAACGCGAGCCGTCTGGTGTCGGTTTTTGGTTGGTGCTCAAAGGGATTTTAGGTAGTCACAAACGCTCGGTTTGTACCGGCAATTTGTTCACTTCATTCGTCGAAAAATAAGTTTTTAATTTAAACGAAGCCAAGAGCGCGAACGAATGCCGTTCGCGTATGCTCACCTTGTGCTTGCTCAATAAGTCTAAACGCACCTTTATACTAAGGACTGGCAAAGGTTAGTCTTGGGTCGAGATTTCCGTATGTAAGAAGAGTACAATGCGTTTATAATGTACTGAACAAAGAGAGAACAGTAAACGCGTTGCCAAACGTATGAAATAAACCGAGAAACTGTGCACATTGCTAAGAGACGTGGAAGGGGATATAGCAGATTTATTGCAGTTGACCGGTCGACCCAATCGGTACGTCTGTCAGTACCATAAAGTATATTTCTGTATGGTCAGTACTTAAAGTTCTAGGGAAAAGTGTACGTCATGTGTTCAACTTCACGATTTAATTACGTCTCTAATACTTTATTTGTTTATTTATCAACGAGCCGTTGTAATTTTCAAATTTTCCCCATAGATTCAAACATTTTTAAGTGCAAGCTAGAAACACTTGCATTTTTGGTAAAAATAAGTGGAATTGAGGTAGTGTTCGACAGTGGTCGCGCTATTAGAACTCTTAAATCAAAAAAATCGATATCTCGAAATCTATTAGAAATAATTGATTGTAGTTTTTTTCAAAAACTTGCTTAATATTTTTGCTGTATTTTTTTCGTAGATAGTATGTGAAAATCTTTATCAATAAAAAAATTACACGATTGCTGAAAATTGCTATGCTTTAAAAGTAAACGGATGGGTTGTTTACAATTTTTGAATGGAAAAATGTGTACATATTGTAAAAGATCCGATCATCAAAATAAAAAAAGTTTCAATATCTAAAGTGATTCTTGAGTTATGGCGTGTTATGTGTTAAAAAGTTGAGTTTTTAAATTATCGCGATTACTAACTTTTTCTCGTTTTCTCAAAAAAATGACCCCTAACGATATCCTTATAATTCCATTTCAGATGCTCAGAAATATGTCTAATGATTTTATCTAGTTATCTTTTCGAAAAAAAAAGCTTTTTTAAAATAAGCGGTTTGCGATCGTGATTTTACTTTACTTCATAGGGAAAGGCGTAACGGCAACCCCGCAACAGCACACCGTCGCATTTCTCTCACTCCGACTTAATAAGATCCCTATGCGATTTACTCCCACACATGTAAATACCGACCCAAAAGTAACAGTTGCCAGCACGGTATGTAGATGGGCTGTAAAAATAATAAAACGGTTTGTACTGTAAAAAATTTAATATCGATAAAGATACAGCTTTTCCTAACGACATTAAGTAGGCGGATGCGGGAAATAAGGCCGGCGCGAATTGTGAGGCTGAGCCGGGGGCGGCGGGCCGTTAGGATAAAAGGGCGGCGGCGGTGCGTTGGGCGGCACTACAGGCGGAAACGGCGGCGGGTGCGACACGAACGAGGGAAACACGTTGGGCGGTGGCCCCGCAAGGTGGGGCGGAGGCGGCGGCGGTCCGGCCAAATGTGGCGGCGCGCTCACGTACGACGCCAGCGGTGGCGGAACGTTGGTGAACGTCTGATAGGGAAACTGTGGTATGTCAGACGGAGGGGGGATCTTAGTGTTGATCGGGGGGATAGAGGGCGTCTCGGGCGACATCGCCTGCTTATCGTTTCCGTTGCCGTTGCGATTGTTCTGCGGTGTGGTGGGGGAAGGGGGTCGCGCCGATCTTTGGCCCGGGGGCGGGGGACTTTGTGATGGTGATTTTGTGGCAGGTTGTGAGTACAGGTCTAGTACCTAGGGAGAAGAGAAAATTACTATAACTGACGCCAAAAATGCTTTATATAATAGAATCTATTGTAATTGCAAAACATTTTCCGATGCACGTCATCAATCGTATATCGACATTGACACTAAAGTCTATAAACCTGGCTAAATGAAAGTTTGGCAAAAATGTTTAAATTTGTTTTATAATTTAAGATACAGAGCAGCTCTTCATTTGACCTTATAGAGCAAATGATTGTAACAGATATTTTATTTAGATTAAAGCTGCAAAAATTAGTTTAAAATCAATTTTGTTATCGCTATGTTGGTCACATTGCGTCGTTTTCAACAAGGTTGTCGTTTATTATTTGACAAATATCCTAATGTCAGTCATTATTTTGTATAATATTGTGTTGTTGTTGAATCTTTGTGAGTAATTCTCGTTTTTCTGCTTATTTTCATAGTCTTTTTTTTTTAATTGTACTTTTAAGTACAAACAGTTCTTATAAGAACTAAATTTTCCAGTTTTCGTATTGCATTTCTTGAAATTGTGTGTTGAAAATATGCCGAAGCATTTAAACAGTCGAAGCAAAGAGCTTGTAATAAACTATTTTGAATGAGAACGTGACAATAAAGATCCTTGATTATCCTTGACTGGAGTCACAGAAGTAAATTTGATTGATAAGCACATTACACCACTTTCAAAGTTATTTCTGCGTTAGTTTTTATTAAATTCTGTTATTATTAGTTTGTGCATTTACAGCACCTTCTTACTTGTTATTACCACTTATGGCGTTCTAAGATGTACATCAATAAATAAATAAAAAACAAATATATCGTTTGTCACTTTTAAATTAAGATTCATTTCATAAATCCATCACAATCTGGCAGCGCTGTCCCCGTCGCTTGTCACTCAAAGTTGATCACGTGCATCGGAAATTGTTTTGCGATTACCATATGTACCATTGCGATAAAAAAAAAGTAGTACAAGAATTAGTGGTCCCAGATAGAACTCCTGGTCTATAAGGATATCGAGAAGTGGATATCGTCGAACAATACAATTATGCCACCTAACTTTTTAGGCGTTACCATGAATTTGGTAATAATTGGTAGGTATACGTGGCGAAATAAAAGTATAAAAAATTTTCCTACCTTTTAAAAATGTGCAATTTTTCAAGTTTTTTTTTTATTTTATTATAGACCAGCAGATTAAATCACATTTTGTTGTACTACTTTTTTTTTATCGCAATGGTAGTATGTATCAAAAAGAGTTTATTATACCGGGTGTCTTTCAATAGTGGCTCACCCCTATAACTATTTTATTTTATCAGATAAAAAAAAGATATTTGGTGTGTTAGTATGGGACATAAATCGGGAAGGATTGGCGTATTCAATTATTTTCGGTCATTTTTGAATAGGACCCTCGATATTTTTTACTTGATTTTATAGAAAATGCCATTCTGAATAGAATTTTTTAAATAGTGAGTGAAAAAATATACATTTTCGTGGCATTTTACGTAAAAAATGTCTAGGTAAAAATCGCTACGAGCAACCGTTCTGAAGATATTTAGAATGAAAATAGTAAATACATGTCATTATTGACAAAAAATAAACACGTTGAGTAGATAGTAGAGATGAGCAAAACTGCAATTTCTCCAATCGCAATTGAAACTGCGATTAAATCGCAGCGACTGTAACCTGCAATTGCGATTTTAACATTTACCAAACCAAATATTCGTAAAAAATTCTTTTTCTAAATATAATAATGAGCCAACTTCGTTCCATTTGAAAAAAATTAAGTTATGATTAAAAATACGATTTGGGCATCTTTTAACTGGCCAGGACAAGACGCGAAAAACAATAGACGATCAAATCTATTTTCCAAGGCATCTTGATTAAAATTAGTGTTTTTAACACAGCCATGACATTCTAGATTGAAATTTAAAATACGACTTTTTAAGCGAAAATGTCAAAAGTTGCCATATGATATACCATTCTATTCAGAGTGTCATTTCCTATTGAATAAACTAAAAAGATACCGACGGTGTGATTTAAAAATCAAAAGTTGTAGTCATTTCCGGTGCAACAGGAAGTCATTAAAAATAACTGAATATGTCAATCAATTTTTATTTATGTCATATACTAACATACCAAATCTCGTTTTTTTTTATCAGAAAAAATAAAAAAGTTATAGGGGTGAACCACTCATGAGAAACACCCGGTTATAATCGTAGCACTAGAAAATAATACATTCTCTATAAATAAATAATATCAGAGAGAAAATTCAATTGCAGTTTAATATAAATGCTTCAATAGACCACAAAATTACATTCGCAACAATATCGCCAATCGCAACTCCTAAAAATTCAAACTCGCAGATAGAAATCACGGTCCCAGTTTACGAAATCACAATCGCAACAAAATCGCAAATCGCCACAAAGTCGCAAATCGCAGCTATGGTAATACTGGTTGCCTAAATTGAAACTCGCAAATAGAAGAAATCGCAATCGCAATTTCCTATGAGAGCGAATCGAAGGTTGCGATTGTGAATTTAAAATCGCTGCGATTGAATCACAGTTTGCGATATCTTGTTCATGTCTAGTTGATAGTTATTTAACTGAAATAATTGGGAAATATTTATTTTTTTGAGAAATTTTTATTTTTTCAAATTAATCAGAAATTGTTCTGCAAAAAAATGATGATAAAACCGTTTCTGTTGAACTTCTAGCACAAAAACATTTCAAATTTATGATTGCAGTCTAATAACTATTTTAGTCAATATGTTTAATTTATGTCAATGATGACAGGTATTGATAATTTCAATTACAAATATCTCAAGAATGATTACTCGTAGCGATTTTTACCAAGATATATTTTTTACGTAGAAAACGTCGTAAATGTATATCTTTTTACTCAATAGTTTTATACAGGTATGGACAAAAAGTTATTACTCTGCAAAACAGTTAGAAATATGTACCTGGCGCTCTATACAAGTAGGAGTCATATTAACATCAAAATCAAATTTCTCATGTCAAAAAACTACCAGACACCAATTTTTATTACCAAATATTGAAGTACTTCAGAAATGATTTGAAAAAAATCAAAATTAAAATGAAACTTCTACACCCTGTATCTCTGAAACTAAGCATTTTAGGACATACATTTATAAGAACTTTTTTACTTATTTTAATCTGCAGAATATGCTGCCGAAGTTTCCCGAATACAGTTCGGACCACCCTGTATATTACATATAAAATAAGAACAGTTTACATATTATTAACAAGATTATATCTCAAAAAGGATGGGGTTTTTACCACTTAAAGAGATATCTACAAAAAAAGTATTTTTTGTAAACACTGCTATACAATCAATAACTTTTTATTTTGTAGATTTCTCTTCCAGTGGTGAAAAACCCAAACTTTTTTGAAAAAATTAACCAGCCTTAAAGGTGTAGAAAAAACATTAATAATTTGAATATAGCAAGTATTTCTGAGGTCTGACACTGTAAAATAACTTACTTGATGGCAAATATCTTCTAATAAATCCATTGTTACGTCTTCAACAAACATGTCCCACCATCGGAGATGTTTAGGTGTTCTCCCAACCCAATCAACAACTTCAAATTTACTCAGTTTTCCCGCGAGGTACATTAGTGCAACGGCAATAATTTCTGGTTCCCACTGGAGACAGAGAGTCGTGCATAAACTATCATTAACAAACGTCCATGCCATTTGAACCATTTTTTCGAGTTTAGCTTTGTCTCCTTTGAGACACTTGGCATATTTCAAAAGATACTGATACGGATGCTCCACTTGCAAGTCAAATTTAATAGTTTGTAACAATATTCTCTCTAATATCATTACCTATTAAAATAATTAATAATTAAAGATATTTTAATATGTACTTTTAAATTGTGCATATTATTACCTCTTCTTTAGGATCATCACCAAAAGTAGCAAATTTCAGATCGTCTAGGTTTGTTTTGGCAATTCGTATAATATCTTTGCACTTCTTTGGCGTTTCTTCAACTTTTCCGGCTAAAAACAGACAACAACACGCAGTAACATATCTTGGAAATTGTTTAAACGAGTGGAACATGTAAAATCGATGAAAGTATACAACTCCTGTTGCAGTCGTATTATATCCTAAATCCATTTCCATACCGGTATCTATAATAAATCTAGCACCTACAAAGTATGAGAATTGATAACAATATTATATAAATTACAATGAAATGCTTTCAATTCTGTACCTTTTTTTCGATATCTCATTTCGGTTTTATAGTCAATTCCATCCGCTGCGGATGGAGTGTTACGTAGTTCTTTCTTATCATAGTACCACCCCGGCATATTTTATACACTTATCGATACACTAAATATAAAACCTATCTCATACTTGCTATTTTTTCAAACAATTCTTGATTCCATTACTTGTTTTTCCTGAGCCCTATCAAAAAAGAAAACAAATATTGGAAATTTGGTTATTTTTTTGACAGATGACATCTTTTAGGGAATTTTGCAGATATCATAGGGTATTTACATTTATAAACTATTTTTATTATAATATGTTATTTAAGGTTTTTCATATATTTTTCATCCCTAAAAAATATTAGTCTTATAAATTATCTATTCCGATTACATGACTTTCGATCTTTATTTTGATGAGACCAAACAATCACAGCAAACAATCGTCAAAAAATGGAATGGAAATTCTGAAATTCAAATTTTTAGATGCCAGTCATACCAATGACATTGACTTTTGAAACACGAAATACCCTAGATAAGACAAGTCCTTTTTGGTGAAACGTGATGGTGGCATAAGAGGTGAGCAATTTTGTTTTCAATTTTACTTGTTTTTTTCTGCTAATACATCCAACAAAATTATTTTTTCATCACTGAAGTAAGGGCATTTGTAATTATATTTAAAAAATTACTTTTAAAGCTTAGGAAATATGGTTAAACTTAAAAATAATCTTTGTGTAAGCTCGGCCACATGGCCATGCTGTATTTAAAGCAATCCTAATTTTTGAGATTTCAATGTATGTCTTTTAAAATTAATTTATAAGTTTGAGTTATTTACCTTTTAATCGGTTTATTAATGTTTTGTGGCTTCTCTGAATATGACTGTGTTAGTCGAATTTTGAGGTTATTTATCCAGTTTCAATAAACAGGTAAGTAAGTACCTTTTAAAATCATTTATTAGTATTATTTTGGCTATAGTCATATTCAAAGAGCACGATAATTTGAATATGACTTAGCGTTAATCCTATTCTGTTTCTTTGCAGCAAATAAATCTCAAAAATGCCACAAAACGAATACATCGAGCGTCATCGCAAACTTCATGGAAGACGACTCGACTATGAAGAAAGAAAGCGGAAAAGGGAGGCTCGTGAGCCCCACAAACGGGCTCAAACGGCTCGTAGTCTTCGCGGTATCAAAGCTAAGATATTCAACAAAGAAAGGAGGAATGAGAAAATACAGATGAAAAAGAAAATTAAAGCACACGAAGAGAAGAAAACTAAAAAAGTCACAGAGAAAGTACAGGAAGGAGCGTTACCAGTCTATTTGCTTGATCGTGATGTACAATCTAAAGCAAAAGTTTTATCTAACATGATAAAGCAAAAGCGTAAAGAAAAGGCAGGTAAATGGGATGTACCTATACCAAAAGTTCGAGCTCAAGCCGATGCTGAAGTTCTAAGGGTTGTTAAAAGTGGTAAAACCAAAAGGAAAGCTTGGAAACGAATGGTAACAAAAGTAACATTTGTCGGAGAAGGTTTCACTAGAAAACCTCCAAAGTTTGAGAGGTTTATTCGTCCCATGGCATTGAGGTTTAAGAAGGCTCATGTAACACATCCAGAACTAAAAGCCACATTCCATCTTCCCATAATTGGTGTTAAGAAGAACCCAAGTTCACCCATGTTTACTAGTTTGGGTGTCATTACAAAGGGTACCGTTATAGAAGTCAACATTTCTGAATTGGGTTTGGTTACACAGGCTGGAAAAGTAGTTTGGGGCAAATATGCCCAAGTGACAAATAATCCAGAGAATGATGGTTGTATTAATGCTGTACTTTTAGTTTAGTTTTAATCCTGTAACTTATAATACCTACCTTTGTTTTAATATAAACCTTTCTTTTGATATTTCTGTTTTTGTCTCTTCATTCCTTTTTTTTTATTACAGTAAAATTTCTTTACGCGCGCTGGGAGTAAAAATTCAAGGCTGTGACACAAGCTAGCACGAGACGAAATGTACTAAGGACAGCTTATGGCTTAGAAATATATAGTGAAGCGCGACGTATTTGTGAGCATTCCACATGTTTATCAAAAATATTGATATTTTAATACAAATTTTGTGAAACTGAACGAAATTATTTTTATTAATTAGTTTATATCGGGCTTCTATAGTTCCTAGAGTAAAAAAATTGTAAATTTTGTTTAAGTGCAAATCTAAAGTATGCACTAAGATGTATTTCAGGAAAATATTTTAACCTATACAGGGTGGCTCAAAAAAGTGTGAATGGATCGGGATGGTATTTTTTAAATAGAACACCCTGTATATTATTGCATTTTTGGTTTCCTTTCAGATCACTTTCCATCATCCTGAAATATTTTTAAATATGTTTCGATTGTTTCAGAGATAATAATAAATAAATAAAAAAATATTTTTTTCAGCCTTTTTTAAAAAAACCATTAAAAATACAAGAACTGTCTTGAAATCAAAACTATATTAGGCATTTACTTTAGATGATCTGTACTTACTTTGCTCTAAATATCATAATCTTAAGTCATACAGGGCGTTCAAAATTCTACACCAAACTTTCTAAAATATAAATTAATTTTTCTTCGTTTTTTTTAAATGGAACACCCTGTATATTATTTTTTTAACAGATGGAGAATTAAAAGATGAACATTTTTTGTATTTAGAGTAATCAAAATTTTAATGGTTTCGCAGATACACGCAGTATTTTATCATATGGCGCTTCCAATAGTAAAATACGAGAAAAAAATCATTAGGTGGCTTTGATTAAAGTTTACTGTAGAAATTGCCATATGAAATATAAATCCGCAAATATCTGCGAAACCGTTAAAAATTTTGATATACTCTAAATACAAAAAATGTTCATTTTTTAATTCTCCGTCTATTAAAAAAATTATATACATATTGTTCCATTTAAAAAAAAACGAAGAAAAATTATTTTATATTTTAGAAAGTTTGGCGTAGAATTTTGAACACCCTGTATGATTTAAGATTACGATATTTATAGCAAAGTAAGTAGGGACCATCTAAAGTAAATGCCTAATATAGTTTTATTTCAGGACAGTTCTTGTATTTTTTAAAAAAGGCTGAAAAAAATATCTTTTTTATTTATTATTATCTCTGAAACTATCAAAACATACTTTAAAATATCCTAGAATTATATAAAGTGATCAGAAAGGAAGCCAAAAATGCAATAATATACAGAGTGTTCAATTTTAAAAAAATCACCCCGATACACTCACACTTTTTTGAGCCAACCTGTAGATGTTAAAATATTTTCCCGAAATACATCCTAGTACATACTTTAGGTCTGTACTTAAACAAAATTCTCAATTATTTTATTCTAGGAGCTACAGATGCCCGACGCACTATTGCCGGACCCTGTATAATACAGACGATCATTTTAATACCAATTTGTGAAAGTAATCAAATTATTTATTAATTTTTAATTTATATCTTTTTCAACATTTCTAACTACACTTTTTCAAACATGTCCTTGATATCCTTCAGTTTAATAGCTGTTAGTAAGAAGTTCGAATATCAACATTGAAACACAATTTTTTTAACTACTAATATTTTAATTCTTGTAGTTTTTTTTACAGATAACTCAAGATGCAGATTTTTGTAAAAACTCTGACAGGCAAGACCATCACCCTTGAGGTCGAGCCTTCAGACACCATCGAAAATGTAAAAGCCAAGATTCAAGACAAGGAGGGCATCCCACCTGATCAGCAGCGTTTAATTTTTGCCGGTAAACAGTTGGAAGATGGACGCACCCTTTCGGATTACAACATCCAAAAGGAATCCACCCTCCATTTGGTGCTCCGCTTGAGAGGCGGCGCCAAAAAGCGTAAGAAGAAGAATTACTCCACTCCCAAGAAAATTAAACACAAGAAGAAGAAGGTCAAATTAGCCGTATTGAAATTTTATAAAGTAAGTTATTAAACAAAATGGTTTTCTAGAATTTTAATTGAATAATTCAAGAAAGCCATGAAATAGCAGTCCACTGTTTAAGCTTTTTCTTTGTTTTTGAATATTCAATTTCAAATTTCATAGCTTGCTTGGATGTATTTTAAGATTCAGGACTTTTAAAATCTTGTTCATGATGTGTATTAAGTATTTGCTACTCTTGAAGAGCCATGATGTGAAATCATTTCTGATGTTAACATTATGCCATAAGACTTTCCTTAATTATAATTATGCAGGTAATTTAATTAATTTCTTTTCTAGGTTGACGAAAACGGTAAAATTCACAGATTAAGGCGGGAGTGTCCTGGAGAACAGTGTGGCGCTGGTGTTTTCATGGCTGCCATGGAAGATCGCCATTACTGCGGAAAATGCGGTTACACGTTAGTTTTCTCTAAGCCCGAGGATAAATAATTTATCCTTTTTATTATATATTTTAAATAAATTTATGTGAATAATATGTTGTTTAATTTTTTTTTATTTAATATTCTTGGTAATGTTTTAGAACTTCTTTGACAAAAAAGTTTCAGTTTCAATTTTAAGTTTTCTAATTAAATTAAGCGCTAAAAACATTCTATTAAAGAACATACCATAACAAAGAATAATCAAATACAATGAAAATGAAAATTACAGCTATTAAAATTAATAGATCAACTTTTATATTATAGTTATCAGTTTATATTAATTTTTGTAGTATATACTAACGGATTTTATAAAAGTATAGTAGAGACAAAAATAAACGAATAAATACAGAAATTCAAATTAAACTGCACCTAGAAATTCAAAGCAGAACAAAGCATATTTTAATGTGATTTTTATACCCGCAAAACTATGCAACTTATTATACAGAAAAACCTTTTTCTAGTAAGCGACACCTGTACAAAATTGTTTAAACACAATTGGAATTCGACAGGTGTCAATTTTATGTCAAGTGTTAAAATTCATTTGGCACCGTTCCAGAATTTTTTTTAAATATTTTGATTTTTTTATAGATTTTCTATATGTGTGTCGAGTGAGTGTTGTTTTTAAATACGCTTGTATACATCTGAAAAAGTAATAAATACGTTTTAATTAAATTACCTTAATAAATCATTTTAATAACATTTATTATTTGTAGTGACATAAATGAAGATGCCTTTTAAACTAAAATTAAAAAAATCCAGGCAATATAGTGTTGTTTCCAAAAGTTTGTTTGTTATATCCGTCGAAATACTAGACGGTACAAACATAGAATGTACGCTTTCTTCAGAGAGCACTGGACAAGATTGTCTCGATGTAGTGTGTCAGAAACTAAGCTTAAATCAGCCCAAATTTTTTGGCTTGCAATATATTAGCAGCAGTAATAACTCGAGCTGGTTGGAATTGGATAGGCCTATTAAGAGACAGCTTGATAAATATTCTAGATCTTTACTAGTTTATTTACGTGTTATGTATTATGTTGTATCAGGTGTGAGACTTATTACAGACGAAGTGACTAGGTAGGTGTGTTAATTACGTAAATTTATGCTATGTTTATCTTCTATTATGAATTCAAAAATAACAAACAATAATTATTTTAGATATCATTACTTCTTGCAATTGAAACAAGATGTTATTGAAGGAAAAGTGTTATGCACACCACAGCAAGCTATCGAACTGGCGAGTTATTCAATGCAGGCTGAATTTGGAAATTTTGATGCTGAAAGGCACACAGCCCTTTACTTGAAGGATTTTCAGTTATTCCCAAAGGTAATTTTGTATGAAAGTAAGAAATCAATAGTCTTATGTATAAATAATCATTAATTACAGAGATTTATTGATCCTGGTTTATTGGAGTCTCTAACAGAAGCTGCCAGTAGGCAGCATGCTGCTCTACAGAACTTACCACAAGGTACAGCCGAAGAATATTACATATGTTTGTGTCAAAAGCTGGAAGGCTATGGGCAAGAGGAATATACAGTTAAAAATAAAGAGGGAGGAGAAGTAGTTATAGCCATTGGATTAACAGGTGTATCGGTTGCTTATCCAGAGAGGGGACCAAAATATTTTGGGTCAGTGGTATTATGAATTATCGGGGAATGTAGTTTTTTCTCAGTTATTTTAGCTCAGGTATACTAACAAATTAATAGAAAAATATGACTTTTTAAAAAAAAAAGTAAACATATCAAATAATTTTATTTTAGTGTGGTCAAAATAAAACAGGATATTGTAATTAATAGTTTATATTTTACTAATGTTATTGTTATTGATATCATTAGGTTTCAAATTTCATGGTTATCTCCCTATTAGAGATAATGTATTTTAGTTTACAGTGACTCTCTGGATAGAACATTGTTTTAACTTGTATTTCTTGATTTTTAGATGGTCTGACATTAGTAATGTGATAAATCACAAAAAGGAGTTTGCAATTGAAACTGTGGGTGGAGCAGAGAAGGCAGAGTTTGTATTCACAGATACGGATACTGCTAAAAATGCCTGGAGATTTTGTGTTTTGCAACATATCTTTTACAGGCAATATGAAATGAATAATGAGGATGGAAACTCTAATAATAAATCTCCATTTCAATCTGTTGAGGTAATCTAATTATTATTCCTAATAATTTTATTCTTTAACATCTTCATTTTTAATCATGGATTTTAATAAAAAAAATCAACTTGTCTATAAACTTATAATAAATCGAAAAGTATCTGTAAAAGTTATAAAAACCTGTTCTATAAAGCTCTAAAAAATGATTCCTATATACAGTATGTCCCCAGATTGTCTTTACAAGAGGAAAAACTTTTTTTATTATTGGCATTTTGAGAAAAATGCATTCTTCATAAAAGTTTTTGCTTGTTCTAAAATGGTTAATCCCATTTACACTTTTCAAAATTTCCACACCGTTTTAGAGAAAATTAGAAAAAACATGAAAATATGGTTGAATTTTTTCTAAAAATAAAAAGACGTTTCTATGGTAATATAATTTCGATTTCATTCTTTGATTTTTACCAACAGCTGGTTTTTTATATAGAAAATTTTATATTATACAGGACGGTCCGAACTGTATTCCGGAAACTTCGGCAGCATATTCTGCAGATAAAAATAAGAAAAAAGTTCGTATAAATGTATGGAGATACAGGGTATAGAAGTTTTATTTTTATTTCGATTCTTTCCAGATAATTTCTGAAGTAACATCAATATTTGCATGAAAATTGGTGTCTGGAAATTTTTTGAAGTGAGAAATATGATTTTGATGTCAATATGACTCCTACTTGTAGAGGGCGCCACCTACATATTTTTAACTGGTTTGAAGAGTACCACAATTACGGTACACAATTACAGTATGTGTTAATACAAAACAAGTAAGGGTGTATTTCAAAAAAAACACCCCACACCACATACCAAAAAAAGATATAAAAAAGATTTCCTGCTTTCAAGTCGTGTTTCAAGCTCAAGCAACTTCCTGCATTTATTGTTACATTTATCAATATAACTTTTGTAAAAATAACAAAAATATTGCAAAGGAATAAATAAAACACAACATAAATAAACCAAAACATTTTATTAATAATAACACTTACTGAATTTTATACCTTAAAAGTTGGTTAATTAACTTTAATTTTAATTTTTGTAAACCAGTATCTTTTGACATTATCTCTCTGCGGTACTAAAATTTATTATTTACCTATCGTGTGCTGCTATTTTACACATACTCCAGTTTTTGGTACCATATAAGAGATGGTATTCGAACGTTATTTGTGGCTAATACAACTCTCTTGCCATAATCTCTGGCAAATTGTCTCTGGGCACTGAATGTTAACTGTAAACTATGGTCTGGGTTAACACTTAATTTTCCCGCACTTAATTTTAAAAAACACGAAACACATAATAACACAGTCCAAAATGCAAAATTATTATCATTTCAATTTGGCATAATTTCACACAAATATTAACCTATAATTTGGCAAGAGTTTGACAACTCTCAAAAATCTTAAGTCGAGTCATACGCATCGGCGTCCGTTTGTCGTTCATCGTTCCGTCAAACCAATAATATTGAAATACGATCTGTCATTTTTGAAATAAACCAATAAAACTGCTTAAAAAGAACAAGAGATGACGTCATGACGGATTTTATTGAGCATCAAATTGCGCAAGTTTGCCTCCATTTAACCGATCCTGTATATCTCTTACGGTTTCCGAAATCCCAATGATGAGCGTCGAATTCGAGCCAGCCTGTACAGACGAAAAGTTATTACTCTTCAAAACGGTTTAAATACATGTAGGTGGCGCCCCCTACAAATAGGAGTCATATTGACATCAAAATTAAATTTCCGTCCACGACACCAATTTTCGTCCAAATATTGAAGTTACTTCAGATATTATTTGGAAGAAATCGAAATAAAAATTAAATTTCTACACCCTGAAACTAAGCATTTTAGGACATACATTTATTTTAACTTTTTTACTTATTTTTATCTGAAGAATATGCTGCCGAAGTTTCCGGAATTCAGTTCGGGCCACCCTGTATATTTTAAACTTCTTATTTAAAAGGAACAGAGACAATTCAAATCTCAAAAATTATGTTCATAGGAGAAATTAAGACAAATTGACAGCTACGAAGACATGACCACTATGTCTCAACAGTGCGACAGAGTGGCATCATCCAATCCGAACCTTTCTCAAAGGGCACAGTCAACTTCCTGTTTAGACCTAAACAAATCATTCGACGTGGACCGAATGCGCAGTCTGTTGCCATCCTACCGCCCAGCGCCCGACTACGAGACCGCCATTCAGCAAAAATACCGAAATTCGTCGGGAGCCCTCTTGACCACGGAACCCCTGCGCAACACCCATCCTATTTTGTACAGTTCCCAACCGGAGATCCATCAAACCGACGCTTACGCCACACATTTAAGATACCCTGATGTTACTCATAATAATATAGACCAGAAGAATTTGCTGTACGGCTCGGGTTTCGCTCAGAACAGACACCTGGAACTGAATAATTTGGGTTTGATTCATCTGTACAAGCACCCGCCGCCTTATCCAGTGAACAAGATCGGTTCTAACTCGACTCCGGATCTCGCCAGAATATCGCACCCTGCAAAGCTGCCTAGCTATGTGTTTAACAACATGGTGAGCGGATCCAGTCCGGATTTGGTATCGGGGGGCAACGTATACCTTAAACACTACAATCAAGCTTACAGTCAGAATACGAATCCGGTTCATAGGTCTCAGAGTTACCTGCCCACGCAGCACGACGCCTACGAGAACCTGGCGCCGGTGTTTCGGCCTCAAGCCCTCATCGTAGAGAACCCTAACATTACCAAGCATATCAAGAAGGTGTATGATGAGCATGGTAACGTCATCTACTGTATGCCTGCGAATATGAAACAAATCTTGCAGGATAATCAGTTGGGTAATGCGGGATTTGTGGTTGCACCGCGTAATCAGAACAGTGTTGTGGCGAATTCTTCTGAGCCCATCTACGAAAACGTGCCCTTTACGTGGCAGAACGAGGGCGAGACTCGAAGCAGGACGCAGAGCATTCATTCCGCGCCGGAAATCAGCCAAGTCATCAATCGGTCTTTGGTTAATTCGATCCAATCCCAGATGCGACTGAACACAAAGAACGAGAACTTTTACGTAAACGTAGAACATAGCGAGGCTAAAAGTACTCCGAACGGATCTCATCAGCTTGAAGTACCAATGCCAGAAAACGTCCCCTCTAAACAACGGGAGGATGAATTAAGGAGCGCTGCGCAGGGTTCGCGCGTTGATATCAGTAAGGAGGAGAGTTCGTTTCTGGATAATAGCGGCAGCACCGTCATATCGAACTACACGGGGTCTAGTATGAATTCGAGCGCCGAGAGCGGCAACAAGGTGAAGAAGAAGCGGTGGGGTCTGCTGCTGAGCAAGGGAAAGACGGCGGAGAAGGTGAAGAGCGCCACCTTGGGGCGGGAGAAGAAGAAGCAGGAGAAGGGGCAGGCGGAGACGAAGCACCGCTGGTCGACGGGCGGGCCCAAGTTCAATCCGCTGCCGCCGTCGATCGGTAAGGAAACCATGGTGAGTTAATATTTAAGAATAAGAGATGGTTGATACTATATACAGTATTAAAATGATTTTTTAAAATGTGTAGATGTGTGATTTAGAATTGTATAATGCTCGAGAATTTATTTTTGGGACGTTCCTGAGAACGAACGATAATGAACGAGCATATATTATGTCGAGTACTTATAATAGAAAATATCTTGCAAAATTAATCATTTTTTTTTAAATTTTATTCTTAAGTTTGAAAATTAAAAAAAATTATTTTTTAAAAAAAAAATGAGAGCCGCCGGATTTTTTCTGTATTTGCATCCCTTTTATTGCCTTAACCATAGAGTAAACCCGTAACTACGATAATATCTGAGATTAAGAACACAGACCACAAACATTTAGATTGGCAACTCTCGTCATTTATCGAGAACGCGTTTTACAGCGCTCGGTGAGTTGAAGACATACTAAATCTTAATTTTTCCCGCCAGGTGCTGGGAATTTAAAATTGAATTGCATTATTGCTTTTTTACCAAACGTGAAAGAATTAATACTGTTTTTTTTTGTTAGTTTTCTGTAAAATATAACTTTTATTTTACAGAAAACTAAAAAAAAACAGTATTAATTCTTTCACGTTTAGAAAAAAAGCAACATGTATACAGGGTGGCGCACCTCATTCGCCTCGGTTGATTATACGAAAACGGAAAGATGTAGAAACAAAATATTTTATGGGTATATGTGGGTAGGTAATGTGCACAATTTAAAATTATTTTGAAATGTACAAGGTGTTTCAGAACTAAGATCCGTACCAAAGTTATATTTTTTCTTATGGAACACCCGGTATTTTATTTCATTTTTGGATTCTTGGGCCCCAAAAAAGGTATTTATTATAAGGGTTAAATATGTTTAAAATCTGTGGTTTTTGAGATATTTGAAGATATTTAAATTTGCACGCTACAATAGAATATATTATTAACACCCTGTACATTACTTTTCAGAATTAATTCTTGTGCTGAGTTTAAAGGTAGAGAAATAAACTTTACAGAAAAATGTTATTCTTTCCTTAAATGTATACAGGGGCATAAAAAAATTGCTGGTCTATTTTACATATTTATTTTACATAAAAACTTCGTTATCTCAAATGCAACACTATGTATATTTTTAAATAAGTCGAAGCAGATTTAAATACTCTTTCAAGCTATATTAGGGTTTCCTATACCTATCTGGCTCAGATTTTGAATAAAAAGCGATTTTTCATTTTACATTATAATATAAACAATATTTATCAACAAAAGCAATAAAAACATTAAACTTTATAAAGGGACTTGTTTAATTTTATTTAAGGCTTTTATGTTTTACTTTATTTTTTTAAAATACTTCAAATGCAAGTTTTTTAGAGGATCTCCTGGACTTGCATAACCCTAAAAAATACTACATATACGAATTTTTAAACGGGTCAAAAACATAAATACACTTACCTCTTTATCTATTGGCATACTATGCAAAATCGACGATCTACTAGGGGATTTACAGCCCAACACACAGCAATATAACACCATTTTTAAAAAAGTCAACACAATAACACTTCGTAACAATTACAAAAATTTAGATCAAAGCACGAACAAGCCCAAAGGACGACGGGGATAGACTGAAGATTTTTAAAATTCAGCCGGTCGCCCCTCTTTTGACCAGGTACCAATCATAAAACAGAAAAATTCTTATTGGCTGTCGCTTTCTCCCGCCAGGCGACACTAGCGCACGGTGTCTTGAAGTCGTACTAATTTCGTGGTTTGACGTTTCGTGGAGAGTGCGCAGGGCCTGATTAAGAAATTATACCCTGCGAAAATTTGCGGTGAACAGGCAGTTCTAAAACGTTTTCGAAAAATATACACGGAAATTTAAAAGAAAATGCTCAATTACAGTTGAGGGTTGGAACCTTTGTTTTTTAGCGAAAAACCTCATAGACGTGTTCCTGGTTCGAAATTTTTGACCTTGTTGAAAATATTTGCACTTAATTAAAACTTCAGTTTGAATTGAAAAATTATACAACTTCAGTTTATAATCATCTGCTGATGATGCTAACATGGTTAGCGAAACGCGCGTCCAGTGTAAAAGTAAAAGTGTTTTGGTGTATTGTGGTGATTTAGTGTTTTTATTTTGCAGAAAATGCTCGATTTTCAACATGTTTTTTTAGCGAAAAAAACCTCATAGACGTGTTCCTGGGGTCGAAATATACCACCTCTGAAAATATTTGCACTTATTTAAGACTCACCTTGTATATATTGCAGAGTAACTATCAGTACTCTACATACTGCGCTTTTCAAATTAAAACGGCAAATAAATTAAGATTATTAACTTCAGTTCCCCAGAGGACACATTATCGAAAATATTTATTAAAAAAGTGTACGCCACTGACTTTTGGCATTTTTTTAGATAAATATTTTTTTTTTATATAAGGCAACTAAAAATACAATTTTTTTTTGTATCATATGTATCAATATATGCAATTTGGTTTCGGAATGATGAGCTCAGTTTAATGAATTTAATTGTGTTTTGTACATCAATCTTAGTTTTTATTGTCACCTTTGTTTAGATATTTTTTTCATTGATATTATTTTCTGTTTAATTTTAAATATGGTGTATTGTGTTTTTTTTTGTGTTACCCACTCTATAATTGGCGTAAGCTATTGAGTGTTGTAGAATAAATAAATAAAATAAATAAATATGCGTATCTAGAACCTGTTTTGGAGATAAAAAATATCTAAAAAATTAAATTTCATTTTTCAATTAACTAGAATAGAGTAACATATTAAAATACTTGATAACATAATTACAATTAATCACATTAATGTTCAATGCTATAATACCTACAGTATAGCAAATTCAAAAAAAAAATATTTTTTAAAATTAAAAAACTTCTTAAAAAAAATATTTTTTTAAATGTTGTAACATTTTGTTGTTTCATATTTTTTGATGAGGAATCACGTGAAATTTGGCCGTGCATTTTTCGGGCATCATGTATTATATATACGTACAGGATGTATATTATACAGGAAATCCCCGACTTTCTAATTTGGGCGACACAAAACGGACTTTTTCGCGTGTATTATAAATATTATAAAGAAAATACTATTTTTATAACATTTTTATGCTACTTAGACTCAAAAATAAAGAATCGTTTTAAAAATGTAGAAAATGTTTATAGGAGACGTTCTAGTTCGTGCTTATATAGTCTATAAAATGAATAACTTTGAATTTTGACCGTTATTTTTTACCAACATGTCAAATATAAAATCCCTCTGTCAAAAAAGTTACTGATATTCTCTAAATTGAGTGCCTGAACGAATCAGATAGGTAACTCTTTTTACTTTCATGAAATAGAAAAGGAAAATAATAAAACAAGTGACAGTTCTTCCTCTTCTTGCAAAAATCAACACGAAATGTCATAATTGACAAAAGTAAAATGTCATCAGCTTTTGACACTTCTAAATATTAGACCAATGCCGCCGCCTATCGAATAGAACGAGTGATTTATGACGTCAGTGTTGTTTGATACTACGGATTATTAAATATGTTGTATTAGTTATGGAAAACATAATATTCCTCGTATAAATGGTTTGTATTTTAAAATGATATAGTTTACATGAAATATACATAATATACAGTTAATAAATACAATATAATATACTTAGATTAAGAAGATAATATATACCTATTTATAGTAATAAATACTTTGGCAAATAAATTATGAACCATACAAATGCAGCAAATGTTTTACAAATAATGTGGTACATAAGATAATGCGTAACATGTAAAATATATTTTAAATTTTGGGGTTTGAAAATCGATCTAATTTAACAAAAAACATTCAATATCTACTAATAGTGATGTATTATTATTTGCATTCACAACATTTATTTATATATTATAATGTTTACTGCAATTAATAAACTAATATAAACTTGTCAAAAGATGACCACATATTTTTTTAAATTATTATTCTTAACACAAAACTTTCTACACTGACTATGGAGTACGATTTCAGCCATATTTTTAAAACATTTGCTGCATTTGTATGGTTCATAGTTTATTTTGCCAAAGTATTTATTACTATAAATAGGTATATATATTGTATTTATTAACTCTATATTATGTATAAAAACTATTTCATTTTTAAAATACAAACCAATAATACGAGGAATAATTATGTTTTCCATGTATTCTACAACATATTTATTAATCCGTAGTATCTAACTAGCGTGACGTCATAAATCTCGCTCTGAGGCTGTTCTATTAGAGACGGCATTGTGTCAGCATGGCCGCAAGTTGCTAACCTAATAAAATTAACACTAGAAAAACCCGCGGGAACTGTCAAATTCAAAGTTATTCGTTTTACGGACTATACATGCTTATTTGTGCTCATTATAAGGGAACGTTCCCGCACAATGATCTTGAACTAAATGTTCGCGTACGTTCCCCTCTCACTAAGGGCTATTACTAAGGGTAATTATAATGTTTTTTTTTTGCATTTTTTGTATAATTTTAGTGCCAGTTGCTGGAAAACAAGCTAGCCGACAGCCAGATATTCTTCGAATTCGATACGATTCCCAAAAAGAAAGCGAACGCCGATTTTACCACCGCCTTATTACCTGAAAACGCAGCTTTCAATAGGTTTAAAGATGTGCTGCCTTATGAAGATAACAGATTAAGATTAACTCCGTCCAAAAGTAACCGTTTAGGTTATATCAACGCCTCTCATATTACGGTAAAGTAATAGTTTCTAATATAGATATGTAAAGAAAAGCATTTTTTTTAAATTATAAATTTATTGAATAACTGTATTTGTAATTTAAATCTTAAATTATTTTTTCTACCTTGAAATCTAAATTTTTAAAGTTTTTACGGTTTTGAAATTTGCAGGCTACAGTGGGCAGTAAACAAAGATTTTACATCGCTGCTCAGGGGCCAACGAAAAACACACTACCTTATTTTTGGCAATGCGTCTGGGAGGCTGAAGTATACTTAATGGTGCAACTGACTGATCCGTCCGAAGATATGAATTATCTACCTGATGCCGACGATCGATGTATTGACATCAATCCGGTAAATATTATCTACGCATCTTAATAAACAGTATACAGCGAAACTTGTCTACAGTTTGTCCAATAGATCAATGAAACAAGTTTAGCTTGGAAAGTGCCCATCAGAACAATGTAAATACTATTTGGCGCTATTCTTACAACGGCTTTTTCCGGAATTGTGTCGCCAAATATTATTTATCCTAATTTATTACTAGTTTTATTTAATTTTATAAATAAAATACAGTGTGTTGCTAATAAGCAACTTTAATTTATATAAGGACATGTATGAAATACCTACGTAAAATTGGAAAAACCAACGTTATGCCACGATGGTTTTTGCAGTTCACAGTTCACACAGCTTGTTAAGTTTTTAAAGCCACCTTTTCACAATTATCACGGGTTTGAGTAAGTAAAATTTAAATATTGACACGGATTTAATTTTGGTTCATAGATAAGATACTATATAATATAAAATAGATAGGAAACTTAATACATTTTGTCCGGACCGAGCGGTGGCGCCATCTGGTGGATCTAGTAACGAAATAAAATATAAATTTAAAATGGATGGTTTCTATTTTTTTCGGATTTTTCCATTTATTCAAGTAAATTGATTCAAGAAAGAACCAATTTACTCGAATAAATGGATTAAAGTTAAAATGACAAAAGGGATATATCAAAAACACAAAAAAAACTATAAGAAACCATCTTTATTGAACTGAATATAATAACAAAAACAATACAAAACATTATAATAGTAAAATCTATCTAGATCTATAACAATTAGGGCAACCTATTTTACAATTATTAATTAATAATCTTAAAGGAAGGGAAACTATCTTTGTTTATACTATGTAACACATATTAACACTTACTATTTGATCCTTCGGAAACATATGCATGTGGGTATCTTTTTGGTAATTCTTACAGCCAGTAACACAACACTTAAAAACCATTGTCTCCAGTTAAAAAATATGAAAAAACACAAGAACAGAGCCGTATAAAAACCAAAAACAAATTTAAAACACGATCTACGGATAACGGGCAAAATAAAATATAAATTGACAAGTGTTGACAGGTTAAATTTTACATTTGACGGTAAAAGCCAGGTAAAAACAGGTACAATTTTAAATTTTGTAAATTTTTTTTTGCTAATTGCGCCCCCTCGTGCGTCTACTACTGGACTATCGGCTACAACCTGTCACTTCCATAAGAGTTTCCTAGGCATGTTATGGTTATAATAATATAAAACTGAAAACGTATGAAAAAATTGTGCATAATCATTATTAGATACTTATTTTTTTAAAATCAAATTTCATTTTTTTTCAATTTGGAGTACGAAGTTGAATGTTTTGACTGCAAACTGATAATGTTGTTGGAAAATTTTCAAAACCATTGAGAGTCGAAATCCTTTGTAGACATTCTATGGTAGTTTCTAATTTTCTTCATCGTTAATTCTCATTTATTGGACAAAATTGTGATATTCTCCTTGCCGTTTTTTACTTTTTAAATATTTCACATGTTCCAATTATCCTATGTATTTTATTTTGTTGTGTTTTTATTAATAAGTATACAGCAATAGATCGTCTTGTACGGTAAAAACAAGTAGCTTCATCAATTACACAAAAATATACTTATAACATAGATAAATGAAACAAGTTTAGATCGGAAAGTGTCCATAAGGACAATGTAAACACTATTTGGCGCTATTCTTGCAACGGTCGCGACCCAAAGCTTTTGAAAATTTCGGAGCAGTTCGGCTTTTTCCGGAATTATATCGCCAAATATTATTTATTCAAATTTATTATTATTTTCTTTTAATTTTATAAATAAAATACAGTGTGTTGCATACAAGAAACTTTATTTTACAAAAGGACATGTATGAAATACCTATGAAACATTGGAAACCGACATTATACCACGATCTACGATGGTTTTTGCAGTTCACAGCACAGCTTTTTAAGTTTATAATGCCACTTTTTCACAATTATCACGGGTTTGAGTAAATAAAGCTTAAATTAAACTCACAATATAGCAATAATTACTTTGAAAATGGACGCTTTAAACACTTTTCGGAATATTTTCAATGAGAGCGGTTTATATTTTGAAAGATTTTATAATTTTTGAAGATTCTGACTTTGACAAGAGATATGGACAAGAGAAAATGATTTCTGTTTTTGTTTGCAGTTGTTCTTAGCAACCGCTATAGCAGCGCCAGATCGCGTACAACGGTCGCGACCCAAAATTTTGACGGGCATTCCAATCTAAATTTATTTCCTTTATCTATGACTTATAAAAATAAACCTGACAAGTGACATTTTCAACATGTGTTTAAAAACACAAATATCCCTAGAATTAATTGCGAATGCCCTTATTATATGAACTACGTAAATAAACGCCGGATTTAATCCGTGATAAAGTCATGCACCCCTATAGTATTGGACCACGCGCCTCCACTGATTGTAATCTTGTTTAGGATTTCCAAGTGTGGTGGGAGTTCTCCCAGAAGACCGGCTACTGCGTGACGAGCAAGATTCGTCTGTGCCACGTAGCTTCGAGGCGCTACCGCACCATTTGGCACCTACACTACTCGGAATGGGGCGAACAGGGCTGCCCCCACTCCGCCTCTCACTTCCTGGGCTTTCTCGAGGAGATGCAGAGCGTGCACCAGCACTCGATGGGCGAAATACCGCCGGGCCACAACAGGAATCCGCCCATATTAGTGCACTGTACTGCCGGAGTGGGTAGGACGGGTCTGACCATACTCAACGACATATTGCTGTATACCATAGATCACAACCAGGTAAATACTAATATTTATTAATCTAGTGTCGTTAAATTATATAGACCGGCACTAAAAAAGGACACTTGAAAATTTTCATTTATTTTAAAGTTTAATATACAGCGTCACTGATAAAGTCCGCATCATATGGAACTTTTTTTGAAATTTGACTGGGTGAAATTTGACTCAGGCGATAGTTTTTGTTTGATTTAGAATAAAAATGACATAAGAAAAATTTACTCTACCGGGTGCGTCTCAAAAGTAGCTCACCCCTATAATTTTTTTATTTTTTATAGAAAAAAAAAGGGATTGGGTATATTAATATATGACAGAAATTAGAATTAATTGCCGTCTTTAATTGTTTTTGGTCACTTCCTGTTTCACCGGAAATGACTACAACTTTTGATTTTTAAATGGCTCCCTCGGTATATTTCTACTTTATTCTATGGAAAATGGCACTCTGAATAGAATGACATATCATATGTCAACTTTTGACATATTCGTATATGGTTTATTTGATATTGTAATAACTTGAACTTATTTGAAATGTTCATAACGACAATTGACTCGAAATACCAAGTGTGTGGTACCAAATTATTTGTAAAAAAATACTTTTTCCAAATATATGCTAATGAGCCACCCTTATTCTATTTCAAAAAATTGAGATATGATTAAAAATACGATTTGGGCATCTTTCAACCGGTCAGGGGCGCTATTCTGTAGAATCGTCGTTATCGGTGAAGGTTATTAAAAGATAAGGTTGTCTCGTAACTTTTGGACCAATAGGAGCGAAGCGGAATAGCATCCCTCTGACGTAGATAGAACGTATAAAATCATAGATTGAAGAAAATGCAACCGACAAAGAGAGATAAATGGACAATACAATAAAGAAAACACACATCAAACAACTGAAAACTATTGACGCCATACACTATAAACAATAAAGTACACAATGAATATCGATTCGGAAATGCACTGTCGGACTGTGGGCAGTTTTTATCTCTTTATCTATGAGCGGTATCATTAATAATGGCGGATCGAGTTACGTGACAACCTTACCTTTTAATAACCTTGGGTATCGGTAAGTTACCGACAGCTATCGGTAGGTACGGCCAATGAGCGTCGGTCGTGTTAATTGTTGTTGTCATAGTTTTAGCAGTCATTAATAGGACATATAGCAAATTTGTATCGACGACTATCGGTATCTCTACCGTGGGGACGGTAGAGATGACAAGGACACGGGCAATGACAAGGACACGGTAGAGATACCGATCCTCGTGGTACAAATTTACGATATCTGTCATAGGGCCGATCGATAACTATGACAACAACAATTAACACATTTTTACTATATACAAACACGTATCGCGAGCTGTCTTAACTTACCGATACCGACGATTGTCGATGCCGTGTACAGAATAGCGCCCCAGGACAAGACACGAAAAATAATTTAAATTAATAATAAAACTTAGTGTTTTTAACACAGCCATGGCACTCTAGATTGGAAATTTAAAATACGATTTGTTTTTAAACGAAAATGTTAAAAGTTGACATATGATATGATATGTCATAGTATTCAGAGTATCTTTTTCTATTAGTAGAAATATACCGAGGGTGTCATTTAAAAATCAAAAGTTGTAGTAATTTCCGGTGAAACAGGAAGTAACCAAAAACAATTGAATATGTAATGTATGTCCTATACTAACATACCAAATCTAGTTTTTTATCTGAAAAAATAAAAAGTTATAGGGGTGAGCCACTTCCGAGAGGCACTATATATATTTTTATTGGTTAGCCATCGGGTATCTGTCAAATTTGACATTTAAAGTAATAAATGGCTAAAAACGGTTTTTTTGAAAAATAAAATAAATAATATGTCGGTAAATTTCGAAAAAAATTATTTGAAAAAGTTAATTCTTTTTTAATTTTACATAAATGTACCAATTTTCAGCCAACTAGATGAAACAATTTTTTTTCATAATGTTTAACGAGTAGCAGCCGACTGTCGTGATAGTGATAGGAACCTGTTTGCCATTCAAATATTTATCTGGTGCTCATATTTTTAGTTTAATGTTTCGAACAAATTAATGTTTTTTTATGAAAAGTTAAATTTTGTTGTAACAACATAGGGGCAATATCTAACCATACAATTCGATAAGTAGGTTATAAAAAATATATTTTGACATTTATTTAGTATTGTGCAAATAAGTTTGCAGCAATGTACAAATATGAATTTTATGATGCCATATCTATAAATGTGTGTACCTAATTCTTACTTTGCATCCTTTTTTGTCTAATTTTGACAACTAATTGTAATAATAACAACTTATTTTTTTTAAAAACTATTAGCATATTCAAGACATTTAACTGAACATATGACCGCTAAGTAAATATTTGACTATCATCGGGATCGGGACGGAACTTTAAATTTAATTAAAAATAAAACATTTTAAAGAAAAGATAATGTACAAGGTGTTCCATTAAAAAAATCTAGTCTAATTCACCCACTCACACTTTTTGGAGACACCCTGTACAGGGTGTCCCAGTTTGGTTGAAATCATACCGTGTCTCTGTTATTACTGAAGATAGAAGGGTGCGGTTTGCACAAACCTGTCCCATTTTTTTGTCCTACTGAAGATGACGTAAACAAAATTTTCATAGCCCTCTTCGTCTCTGAGCTCAGTTTAACAAAAAAGTGGGACAGGTTTGTGCAAACTGCATCCTTCTATCTTCACTAATAACGGATATACCGTATGAGTTCAACTAAAATGGGACTCCCTGCGCAAGTCCGAAAACGAAAAGTCCGAACTGAAATAAAAGTTCCTTGATGCAGAACCCTGTATATCTCCATATTTTTTCCATATATGATAAAAAACATTTATTTTCTTTAGGAAGTGTGCATTCCCGGAGTCGTGAGTCTACTGCGACAACAGAGGGCCTTCATGATACAGACTATTGCTCAGTATAAATTTGTTTATTCTCTACTAATTCAATATTTGAAACAGACAAGACTTATTTAATTTTAACAAGCGATTGAAACTAATTTATTTAATTTTATATTTAAAATTCAGTTGGGTAGAGTTTATGAGACCTAGGTGTTCCTTTGTCTAAATGCGAGTGGTTGATTTCAATTATTTTAAGTATTTTTTCTGGACAATTGCCATACTATCATAAGTTGAAATAATACAATTTAAAACGCTTATTTAAAAACAAATTAGATTAATCAGATATAAGTTTAAAAAGATTTCTATAAACTCATCTTATTTTTCAGTACTTCCTAATAAAAAAAATAGACTGTTCAGCCATAGTTCACCGTTACGTCATCATTATTTGTCAAATATGAGTATTAGGGTGTGTCTGAGATCAATTTGTATTGTTTGGAATATTTTAAGTACGTTACTATATTATTGTCCTTTGGACTGTTGAAATTCCTATTTCTAAAGCATCAGTAACTCGTTATATTATTTAAAAACGCTATCAGTTTGTATTTTACATAGAAATATTACACCTTTGCGAACTTACTTCGTATTCGAACTTACTTCATATACGGCGTCTACGGGCAAGAGTGTTCTACCAGCGCAGCGGCTCTTTCTCGAGAAAAATCATTTATAAGCTTAGCAATGAGGTCTTGGTCATTTTGGTTAAATCATTGGGGCATTTTTACAATAAAAAAGAGAATTTTATTAATAACATTTTACAGTCACAGGTTACCTTCATAGAAGTTAGTTATATTAAATTTATCCACTATACATTTAATCAGATAAGAATCAGTGGCCTGGATATAGTTTAGAGCCAGTCAACATCTTGGTCACTCTCAAATTGAGCTGGCGATTGCCTTGTAGTAGATCCATCATAAAACAAGACGAAGAAGAAGAATTTTGTTACCCTGGTTGTTAATAATCTAAATACAAAAGTACAGAATTGGATGTTACATGGCCGAATAGCCCTGGCAGCTCAGGCCGTTAAACTAAAATACTACTACTACTATTATACAGCAACAATCAAATTTTAATTTTGACATTGATCGATGTCCGTCAATAAAATGATAATCCCAAATGAAATGACAATTATTACTAAATGGAAATTTTGACATTGACCGATGTCCGTTAATAAAATTATAACCCGAAATCAAATGACAATGACAATAGGTTTAGGCTCACAGCGTGTTCCCAACATGTTTGTGACTTCTTCCAAACCGCTGTTAATGCGCAGGTCTCAAATAATGCAGTTTCTGATCGATTTCAAACTGTCTGTGCGAACAGCGAATCCCCTACTCTTCTTTTTTGATCTAATACCACTAATTTTAAGTCCTACGGCCTTACCCGTTCCTCCATCAGCTCTTCTAGGTCTGTGTCTGTATCTGAAAATTCGGATGCCTCAGATTCTTCGGAAGATTCAAAATCGCTCATTTCTTTTCTTCATTTTTTGAAGAAAGAAAAAACACTAAACAAACAAAAACAACACACGTTTTTTAGGTTAAGTTTACCAAGTAATGACGTCGGGTGGTAATACGCATGCGCCGGACTAAAGTGTCCGCGAACAGGTCTGACTGTCAGCTAACAATCAGAATTTTCTGTGTGAACAGCGTACTGTTGGTTGGAAACTAATCAAAAATTTCTGTGCGAACGCGTTTTACCCTATTGCGCATGACTATCTGTTGGAAATATGTTTCTTACAGCTGTGAGAACAAACCTAATTACTAAAAAGAATACGCAGTAATTTACGAAATGCCGTAACGACGTCACCAATCTCTTTCATCTGATTGGCAAGTGACTGAGAGAGTTCGACAATATATGACGTGGCGTTGAACTATGACTGAACATTCTGTAATTAATAGCTATATTACATACTATTTAAATAATAAATTGTCCTCGTATTAGCCATAAATTTAGTATAGTAAACGCCACAAATGTTTGGGAGTGATTCATCGGCCGCTACCATGTGAACTAATCTGTTCAAGGTCACATAAAACTTCCAGTGCCGTGGTGTTTCAAGTCATATAATAATCAATATATAATCTGTTGTAATTTGTTGTTTTAACTGTCAAAGTCTTGTCAAAACATATATTTGGTTATAAATATAAAATTGGTCGCACTGCAAGCACACCAATGGACTGACGCACAAAACGAATCAATCAAAGAAACGCAATATAGTATCGTCTTTGTCAACCACGCTAAGATTTTAGATTAAGTAGGAGGAGCGCAGGCAGATGATTAGACCGGGCCTTTAAAAACCTACGTCTGCGGTAAATATTTACGTTTTTAATGTAAAAATGATAGCGCGCGTGTCGATTCTAACTTCATCAAGCGATGAATCACTCCCAAATATTCGTGGCGTTTACTATACATTTTGTACAACCCTTTATAGTACGAGAGCTAGCAACGTCGGAAAAACAAGTAATTTAAGACGTCTGGCTCTTTGATATATCTTTTACTATGCTCGCTAGAACAGCATGCGGCCCGTCTGGCTGCCGGCAAACGTTGCGTTCCCTACTGCGCATTGAAAGAAGATTTTATATTTTTATTAGTCCTTTAAATTCTAGTATTGAATATAAATCGAACATGTCTCCATAGCGCAGTGCGTAGAGTTTCCGACCACGAACCGATGATTGAGAGTTCGAATCCGGGTCAGGGCAAAGATTTTTTTTTATTTTCGTTTATATTCTGATAGTAAAGTATTAAATATTTGTTTTTTTTTTAATTACCAGAATTATTTAATACTTTACTATCAGAATATAAACGAAATTAAAATAAAAAAGTCTTTGACCTGATCCGGATTCGAACTCTGAATCATCGGTTCGTGGTCGAAAACTCTACGCACTGCGCTATGGAGACATGTTCGATTTATATTCAATACTAGAATTTATAGGACTAAATTAATAAAAAATATAGGATCTTCTTCCGATGCGCAGTGGTGAACGCAACGGGTATCGGCAGCCAGACGGGCCGCATGCTCTTCCAGAGAGCATAGTAAAAGATATATCAAAGAGCCAGACGTCTTAAAATGCTTTCCCGAAAACGTTGCTAGTTCTTAGACTATTACCTTTTAGTTATTGTCAATGAACAAATTTATATTTCAAAGTTAAATAATATACAGAGAACTCACTGCAAAATGTAAGATTAACAAAAATGTATTTTAAAAGAAATTTTACCTATATATACATAATGTCTATTGCATATGGATAGCTTTAATTATACATGATTATATTGTAATGACGATAATTAAGTATTATACACTGTTATTATTATTATTACTAAGTTATTTTATTCAGTACTGCTCTGAACTAATTAAACGCAGCTAAGAAATTATACAGAATGCTCAAAAACATTAGATAATTTATTATTAACATACATTAGCATCTTTTAATCGTAATTAAGTAACAGGTATTTATTTATTTGGAATCTTATTCGAGCTTTCTGCATAATTTAAATAAAAAGTGGATCTGTTAGGAGTTATGAATCTCTTCTTTAAATAAACAAAAATTATAGTATTCTAGACAAGAAATTCGTATTGAGATTTGGATGTTAATATTAATTACTGAAAAGGCTGAGGCTGTTTGGTAGTTGTATTAAACAAAATCAAATAGTGGCTTTTACCTATTTACTATAAAGGCTGTGTAAAATTAAAAGAATACCTTTATCAATATAAGAGATTTTGTGATGTTAAGTGCCTTTGAAAATAAATTGCAATTGTAAATAAATCTGACATATGACATAACAACGGACTTTTCTTTCTTTAGAAACACAAACAGCCTTTACACTATCCCCGAAATGTTTTACGAAATATTTCTGGAAATATTTCGTAAATTATTTCGCAAAACATTTCTGGAAATAATACCACAGATCATACAGATTATAAACTTATCATCAAAAGCATTGTTTTTCGTCGTTCCAATTTTTGCAGTCGCGCACTAGTTAGGTTACTAGTTTGCGCACAAGCACGCCCACTTATGGCCTCTAAAATTGTGCACAGCGCCTGACCGGCCTTGTGACCCGCCCAGTTATTACGCTGTTTAAATAGGAGTTTATTTTTGCGCACAAGAAAATTTACTCGTTTGCTTATCATCATAAAAAACAATTTTCGTACCACGAATTAGGGACAAGATTTTTATCTGTATACTTATAGGATACCTAATCTGTGAGAGGGGAAACGATATTCTCTCGATGTTTTTCGTAAAAAATTAGACGACGCGTCCCATCAATAAAAATTCGACAAATTTGCAAGTAGCCAATAAAATGAGTGCTAATAAAATATCGTTTACAGATTTCTCTTAAAAATAATAAAATAAATTTGGTTTTGTTTTTCTAGTTTTAATTGTCTAAATCCCTGTATAATAAATACTAGTTGAATGGATTTATATCAAACCATGCTGGGTGCTAATAAAAGTATCGTTTACAGATTTCTCTTAAGAATAATAAAAGAACATTGCTTTTAAATAATGTCCGTGAACAATAAAATACTAACAGCGTCATCCGTCAAAATTTGTTTTATAAGTAAAAAGATAGACGCATAAAATGCTATTTATTAAAATATTAATTATAAGTTATTAGTACAATAAACAAGATTAATATTAGATTAGTAATAATAGATATAATAAAATTAATAGATAATTAATAGATAATAGTAAATAGCTGATAATAAAATAAAATATAGTTTAGAAACAGATGCAATTAAAGAAAAGAACAGAAATAAATTATTCTTTGTTAATTTCATCTCGTTCTCCGAAATACACGACGTATTGAGGGTAAAAAGTATTTTCTTCGTATTTAACAATTACTTGTCCATCGGGGCTGGTTGTAGTATCGTACCCCTCCTCAGGCATCATTGATTTGTGGTTTCCTTCGTGTGATTTCCCTATCAACACCTTGACAATGATCATAACTCTTGTCGATTCGTCACAGTTGTTTTTACTGAAACAAAACAATGGCCAAGATTAATTACTTATTAGGATCGTTTTTATTTTTTTTTGTCCATTTGAATTTTTAATATTTGAAAAAATTGTTCAGTGAGCCATAGATTTTTCGTACTAGTTTTTATCTCGCAGTCTTATTAATTTATTGTTACAATAATAGGTTAGTTATAATAATTCTTGTTATTGATTTGATAAGATTACATTGTTTTAAAAACAAATGGTTAACAAAACAAGTACAAGCTTAAAGTGTAAATTTTTGGAACACGACTAACAAATGAGTAATAAGTACTCATCAAGGCTCGCGCAGATCAAACGCAGGATCCATTTGGCATGGGTAGTATTTGGAAATATGAGTGATATTTTCAAGGATAAAAAGGTGCCCATCAACCTAAAGAAAAAGGCTTACGACAGCTGCATTCTACCTGTGCTTACGTATGGCTTAGAGACTATGGCACTTACCCGAAAAACAGCAGAACAACTACGAGTAGCACAAAGAGTCATGGAAAGAATTATGTTGGGAGTCACCATTAGGGAAAAAATACGGAACACCCACATACGTCAAAAAACAAAATTAATAGATGTTGTTTGTTGTTAAAAGAGTAGCAAGTCTGAAGTGGCAATGGATAGGACATGTGGCAAGACAGGATCCAGACCGATGGCCCCAAAAAGTCATCCTATGGAGACCTAGGGAACAACAAGAAGTGTGGGCCGACCAAAAAAGAGATGGGTCGATGACGTTAGGGCAGTGGCGGGAAGACAATGGATAAGATTGGCTAGAGATCGCGAAGCGTGGAAAACCCTAGAACAGGCCTATATCCAACACTGGATGGAACCAGGCTGGGAAAGAAGAAGAAGGCTCGCTTAGAGGGTGCATTGAGGTGCATCTTTTCTTACAACAATTAAACAGCTTTTAATAAGACACAAGTCTGAGGTATCAAATGTGGTATATTGGGGTATTCATTAAAATATGACCATACCAACTATATACAGACCATACCGACCATACCAACAGGCATGGTAGACTATTAAGATCGGCAAAAAAAAGTTTTTTAATTTCACTCAAAATGAGTTATTTGGGTCATAAATGACCCAAATACAAAATATTTTTATGGGGTCTGTCTGTCTGTAACACGATAACTCAAAAACCGCTAAACCGATTTTAACCAAATTTGGCACAAAAATACTGTGGCACCCGAGTTCCAAAATTACAGTAGCTAGAGAAACGCGGTTTTCAATTTAAGATTAGGAATAATATTTGCAGCAAAATTTGTAATAACATCAAAATCAGCCAAAGTCGCAGTTTTTGAGATAAAAAAAAATTGGAAAAATTCCTTTACTTTGAAACTAAAAGAACTGCCTACCAACTTTTTATTAACATATTTTAGTATGGGCTAGCGGACAAATGAAGCACTCTTGTATAGAGGTTTTGCGTCCAATGAACTTATTTTGATTCCAATACGTAGTAATTCTATTTCCACGGAATATTGGGACACCGTGTATATCGAAAGACGTACATTATAAGGTACAGGTTGTTTAATTAATAAAATAATGATGTAGATGAATTTTGCGTATTTCAAAAAGTTTTTTTACCTGTAATGAGTTGCATAATACGGACATTTTGCAAAGCTAACTCCCCAACCAAATTTACCTCTTCGAATTTCGCACTTGGACACGTTGAAGTTGTTCGTTAAGATACTTTTCAAATTTCTTATGGGAGTTCCGTGGAAACACAGATTTTCTTTATATGTTTTAGATTTTCTTTTAGCCTTGTACAAACCAAGAAGTGCCTCATTCGTCACCTTTTTTATGCGAAACACTTGAAATTTGTCTCGAAAACCTTTGTTATTATGTAATCTTTCATAAATATTTTTATATTCCTTCGATTTGGAGTTTAGGTTTTGTATTGTAAAGGTTTTCGGTACTTCAGGTTGAAGGTTTTTCTGTTCTTTTCTTATTCTTCTTCGCCTCTCTTGCTTCTGCTCCTCCATGATCTCTTTCAAAGAGATCGCGGGTGTTTCACCGCTCTCGGATAGGACCATAACGATAGGTCTTTGTATCGTCCTTTATCAATTAATAGTTTTCTTTTTTTTCGAATTCCCGAACCTTTACCTTTATTTGGCAGTGTTAAATCAAGTCCTCCTATACCCCGGCTTATTGGAATTATAGAAGATACTTTATTCATTTCCGTAAGAAACGGTAATGCGTAAATTCTCAGGTTTTTCCTTGGAATCACCGAGAAAAACTTCTGGTAAGCACAATGAATACACCCAATTTATTACACTTTGAAAATTTGTATGTATGTATGTATAAAACTGGAATAAACTTGTTTTCTTTTAATCAGCCTTTATATGCAGATCGATTTTTAATAAATTCTTATCAGAAAATAGAAAAAAATCTTATCATCGATAGCGTAAGCATTTATATTAATATTGTTTCATTCTCTCGACTGCATAATATGTGTTACCGGGGATTTACACAGGATTATTTTAATAAATTTCATAATATTTTACCTAGCAGTTAAGTTTTAAAGACTAGCGTACACACTGGAAGTTTTACTTGCGGTTTTAGATCACTTTTTGATAAAGACCATGGAGGACTGCTGATGAAACATGAAACACTGCTTTTATCAATTAACATCATCATCATCATTCTCAGCTTATTCAACCATTTCCAATTATGGTGTAGTCTCCCTCACATACGCTCTTTGTAGTTGGGCCCATTAATTGTTGTCTATTGTTGGCTATGCGGGCCCAAGTTGTATTTGCTAATTTCGTAATATCATGGTCCCATCTCAGGTTTGGTCTTCCTCTAGGCTTCTTACTTTGTCGTGTTTACCATGCTGTAATTTTTGTGCTCCATCTATTGTCCGTCCTTCTTGCAAGAAGTTCTAAAGGTCTTCCTAATTCAGTTCAACTAAAACAGAAGTTTTACTTGATACGTTTTGACTGAACAGGTAAGAAGTAAGGTAAATCCTTAAGTGTAGACGGAGCTTTAGATCTGTAAAAAAACAGAAAATATTGGTAACGACAGCACTAAAGCTTTACAAATTGTTACACCAACAAGATTTTATGAAAAAAAGTTTTTTATAAAAAAAATTTTATTATAAAAAAGAATTTTATAAAAAAATTTCAGAAAAAAACTATTATCGTATTATTGAAAAAGAATCTTATCTTCAATGATTTTAATCTTTAATATTTTTCATTGGCTTTCCTTTGTTATATACATATTTGATATCTCCACATATCACTTTAATCACTTAATATATGAAAATACGGATTTTACCCAAATAAAGTTTAACAATTACTGTTATTCGTTTATCTACGATAAAATATCAATTGATTATTGTACTTCAAATAACATGTTTAAGTATTTAAAAAATTGTATGATTTACACACAAACAATTAATTTGCAAAATTATTTTGCGACTACATAGCTATGTATACGTACACCTTCAAATGTATTATGGTAAAGCCAATTTGTTAAAAATCAACCCTTAAAAAAGATTTCATAAAAAACATCCAAATAAGAAACTCTCCTTTTAATAATTACGTACATATACAGGGTGAGTTTCCTACGATGTTCTCTATGGGTATTTCGGAAACTACTGGAGATAGAGTTTCAGTTAAATAGGGAAAGAATTGCAGTTTTATGGGGTCATAAATAAGCGCCTTTCAGATTTTTGAAAAAGTTCATGGCTTACTAGATATTTCGAAAAAAACAAATTTTGGCTATTTTAAAAATTGTCCCTAATTCCATTATAATCTATTTTAGACAAAAAGTTTTCAGATGAAAGTTGTAGATATTCACATCCCTAATGAGATTGTGTTCTCCGATTTTTTCTAAAGCCTGTCATTTTTGACATATGACACAAACATATTATTATACATATTTACATGGAAACCATAGTTGGCTATGACTTCATAAACAGCGTCATTTTTTAAGCTTTTCAGCGATATAAGCTATAATATGTTTCTTTCACAAAATTACTGAGTTATAGCCAATTCTTATCTTTCTTGACTAATTTCACTTAGCCATGGAAACAAGTTCAATCGTCGTTGCTCTCAGAAATATGAAATTGCCATATTCAATCTTTGTGAATTAAAATAAACAAAAATTGTAAATAAGACTTTTCCAAATGAAGAAAAGCGTGTAGGACTATTGGTTCAACTTTTCTTGGCAATACAGTTTCGAGGATACGTTGACCGGTGAACGTTACTTACGTTTTGTAGAGAAAGGTTTTCAAGACATGTTAGAAAAGTTAAATTTATTAATACTCGCCCATTAATAGAATGGTTCCAACATGACTTTCATTATAACACACCAAACCCAATCCCCCCCCCCACAAACACACAATGAAAGAAATGTTAAAAATTATTTATATCATAATTATCTAGACTCAGGGATAGAAAGAGGTGGACCAAATTGCATGGGTCTCCTCGGTCACTTGACCTATCCATTTTAGATTTTTTTATGCGGTATGGTTAACAACAAGGTTTACAGAAGAACTTATGAATTAAGAGAGGCACTCGAAGAGGCGGAACAGGAGAAGTTTAATTAAGTCGACCGGTCGTTCTGTGAGAATAGCTAGAAATTCAGTTTTAAAAAGATGCATTTATGTACTCAAAACAATTGCGGATTTTTTGAAAATTTTCTAAAATAACTTTATAATATAGATTAATAATATATTTTGTCTTTTTATAAGTAATAAATCATAACAAAATTAAAACACCATTGAAAACCGTTCTCTAAAAAAATGTAAATAACTTTCACTGGTCAACGTATCCTCGAAACTGTATGGCCAAAAAAAGTTGAACCAATAATCCTACACGCTTTTCTTCATTTGAAAAACTCTTAATTACAATTTTTGTTTATTTTAATTCAAAAAGATTGAATGTGACAATTTCATATTTCTGAGAGCAACGACGTTTGAACTTGTTTCCATGGCTAACTAAGTGAAATTAGTCAAGAAAGATAAGAATTGGCTATAACTCAGTAATTTTGTGAAAGAAATATATTATAGCTTATATCGCTGAAAAACTTAAAAATGGCGTTTTTTATGAAGTCATGGCCAACTATGGTTTCCATTTAAAAAAACATATGTTTGTGTCATATGTCAAAAATGACAGGCTTTAGAAAAAATCGGAGAACACAAACTCATTAAGAATGTGATTATCTACAACTTTTATCTGAACACTTTTTGTCTAAAATAGATTATAATGGAATTAGGGACAATTTTTAAAATAGCCAAAATTTGTTTTTTTCGAAATATCTAGTAAGCCATGAACTTTTTCAACAATCTGAAAGGCGCATATTTATGACCCCACAAAACTGCAATTCTTTCCCCATTTAACCGACTCTCTATCTCCAGTAGTTTCCGAGTTGCCCATAGAGAACATTGTAGGAAACTCACCCTGTATAAACAATCTTCTCAAAAACATGTGGTGAGCCAGACTGGTCTTGGCCTTGGTCTTGCATAAAAAGCAAGACCGTCGAGTTCAAGACTTCCGCAAGACCAAGACCAAGCCTTACTATAGCGGTCTTGTGGTCTTGCTTTTTTTCATGTTTATACAGGGTGGCGCACCTCATTCGCCTCGGTTGATTATACGAAAACGGAAAGATGTAGAAACAAAAATTTTTATGCGCATATGTAGAGAGGCAATGTGCATAATTTAAAATTATTTTCAAATGTACAGGGTGTGTCAGAACTAAGGTCCATACCAAAGTTATATTTTTTCTTATGGAACACCCGGTATTTTATTTCATTTTTGAATTCTGGGGTATAGAGTAAGGCATTTATTATAAGGGTTTAATATGTTTAAATGCTTTAGTTTTTGAGATATTCAAAGATATTTAAATATGCATGATATAATAAAACAATTTATCAACACCCTGTACATTAATATGTACGTAGTAAATTTCCAGATTGGTTTAATGCCATTATGAAAAAACTTGTGGTTGATAAAAAAGTTGCCCATAAAAGGTTTAAAAAGAGTGGTTTAATATCTGACTATAAAAGATTTTCCATGCTCAGAGCAGAGTGCAAGAGTTATAGTGAAGTTAATTATAAAGAATTTATAAACTGGAGGCAGATATTTGAGGGAAACATGATTTCTGGCGCTATGTTAACTCTAAAAGAAAGAATTGTGAAATACCCAGTAGTATGATGTTAGATGATAAGATTGGCGAGTCTCCAGTGGAGATTGCGCAGATGTTTGCAGATAATTTTTCTTCATGTTTTGCAGTGTATGATGACTCTGCTGATGACCTAAACTGTAAAATGTCTGTCCCTAATAGTTATTGTCTGCCATTTAATGTAGTTACAGATAGGGTGAGCACCATGGATGTATTTAACTGTATAACAAAACTAAACGACACCCTAGGTACCGGTCCTGATGACATTTCTGTCAAGTTTCTTAAAAACTCAAAATATGTTCTCTCAGATGCTCTGGCTAGACTTTTTAATAAGTCGCTGGATGCAGCAATTTTTCCTACACAATGGAAGGTCAGTTACATCACACCAATTTTTAAAAGTGGGGATCGTAAAAATATCAAAAATTACAGACCAATAACAAAAACATCTCTTATCTCAAAAATCTTTGATTCATTAATGTATAATCAACTGTATCCCCAGCTAAGATCGGTCATTAGACCAGAACAGCATGCATTTGTTGAGCGCCGGTAAACATTGTCAAACTTGATGGAGTATCAAACCACACTGTTGGAAGCCTTGGAGAATCATCAAGTGGATGTTATATACACTGATTTCGCCAAGGCTTTTGACCGTGTGAGTGTTCCCATACTGTTGAATAAATTGCGTGATATTGGTGTGGTTGATCATTTACTATCCTGGTTACGAAGTTATCTAAATGACAGAGGACAAATAGTGAAAATTAAAAATTACAAATCCAAACAGTATAAGGCTACATCAGGGGTACTTCAGGGTGGACACCTGTCACCCTTACTATTCTCCTGCTTTATAAATGACCCCTTATGTCATCTTGAAAATAGTGGTGCTCACCTCTACGCGGACGATCTAAAGATTTATAGAGTTATCCGATCGGTCGGTGATTGTGAGCTGCTTCAGTCTGATATAAACCACCTAGTCGAATGGTGTCATACAAATCATATTAAACTAAATATAGATAAATGTAAAATCTTAAGTTTCTTTCGCATAAAAAATCCAGTTTCTTTTGACTATAAGTATAAATGAAATTAATCTTGATAAATTAGATAAAATTCGCGATTAATTTAAATTATTATAATTAAATTCGGGTGTAATCTTTGACAGAGAGCTCACATTTACTGATCATGTGGATTATGTGTTTGACAGGGCAAATAAATTGTTGGGCTTCATGCTTCGCACCTTAAGAGACTTTAACAATGTCTACTCTTTGAATAATGTTTATTGCTTCTTAGTCCGTTCTATCTTAGAATATGTCTCACCTGTTTGGTTTCCATTCTACAGGGTTCATGTCAATGCAATTGAAAAAATTCAAAGAAAGTTTTTAAGGCAAGTGGCCTTTAAATTTAAACATCAAAGTTACTTCGCTTAAACCATCCCCTAACTTTTCCAAATCACTTCTTAAGAAAGTAATTCTCATAAAACATCCAAAATCCATCCATCTCATCCATCCCATCTACAAAAATCATCTCTCAAAAACTGCCCCTTTAAAAATTACAATCCCAAAACCTCTTTCAGAGCCTCTTTTCATAAGCCACCTCCCAATAAAATACCTCCTACAAAGTGCGTTCTAAAAACAGGCTCTCAAAAAACATCCCCCCCTAAATTCCTCAAAATAGTACTTGTCAAAAACCACCCTATGAACCATAAAATAAATAAGAAATGAACAACACAATCAAACCGCCCTGTCAAAAGCCATTTCCAAAAATCCATCCAATTTTCATAAATCATCCTTAAAATCTTCAAATTCGTAACCAATGGTGACATAACTCATTGCATTAATTAACCGAATTAACCCTCAGTGCATTAACCAATCGGCAATATGCAACCAGTTATACTCTGACAAAAAGTAGAGATAAGCCGGTAATTTCTCTCATCTTTCTGTAATTAATTAAAAATTTCTTGATTTAGGTATTTGCTTTTCACTTTTCTCTCTGAATTTGTACTGGAAAAATAAATAACGGCCTTCAGTTTTGTGTTGTGACTTTCTGACGTAACCCTACTTGATGCAGAATATTTCTGAGATAAGATAGCTGCACTAAAAATAAGATTTGTTTTTTGTATATAAAGGATCTTTAGTAGATAAGAACTCAATGAAGAAAGTAATTACAATGTTGCGTGTTGCTCTTATTCAATCCAGGGTTGGAACCAATCGAAAAGAAAACCTGGAAAATGCGGAAAAGTTAATCAAGCAAGCCAAGAATTCGGGAGCAAAATTAGTGTCTCTACCGGAATGCTTTAATTCCCCATACGGCACGAAGTTTTTCAACCAATACGCCGAGTCAATTATAAACGGACCAACTAGTCAGATGTTATCGAGAGCTGCCAAAGAAAATGAAATTTTTTTAGTCGGTGGAACCTATCCAGAAATAGATAATAACAAATATTATAATACTTGTACAGTATGGAATCCCAAGGGTGAATTAATAGCAACGTACAGAAAAATGCATTTGTTCGATATTGATATTCCTAATGGTATTACATTTAAAGAATCTGATGTGTTAGCTGCAGGAAATAATCTATCGTCCTTCGAGGTCAATGGAATTAAAGTAGGTCTAGGAATATGTTACGATTTGAGGTTTGAAGAATTAGCAAAACTTTACAGATTGGACGACGTTAAAATTATGGTATATCCAGGCGCTTTTAACATGACTACAGGTCCAATACATTTTGAGCTGTTACAACGTGCCAGAGCCTTAGATAATCAAGTATATGTATTAGGAGTAAGCCCTGCTAGAGCTGAACAGGGATACATTGCATGGGGCCACTCACAAATTACTGATCCGTGGGGAAAAGTTATTGCACAAGCCAAAGAGGGTGAAGAAATTATTTACAGTGATATAAATGTACAAGAATGTGAGAACGTTAGGCAGCAAATACCGATTTTTTCTCAAAGGAGAACGGATGTATATGATACAATTAAAAAATAGTAGGTATACCTATGTTAAATGAATGTTGCTCGTAAAGAAATATCAAATATAAGACTATAGATAATAGGAAAAAAAAACATATTTTTTTATACTGTGTATGTTGACAAGATTATGGTGTTGAGCATAAAATTATAGATGTAAATTGTAACATAAAAGACATGATCAAAAAGTTTTATGATCAAGCATTGCTTTGGCAGTTAAAAAAAGAATGAATTTTGCCATAAGAATTATATGTTATCACACAGAGCATGCTTGATTATAAAACTTTTTGATCATACCAAAGTTTATAAACTAAAATGCTATAATCCTTGATATGTATACGTTAATTAAAATTACATTAAACAAAAATACTGTTTAATATAATTATTAGAAAATAAGAAATCATAATTTTGAGTCAATATACAGGGTGAATAAGTGCTTAAATAAGTGCATATATTTTTAGGGATAGATATTTGAACCTCAGAAACACGTCTAAGAGTTTTTTACAAAAAAATTTGAAATTTTTGAAAAAAAAATTTTTTTTTTCAAAAATTTCAAATTTTCGAATTTTTTTAGTTTTTGGTTTAAACATATAATTTCTTGGTAATATGGCAACATAGGATAGGAGCAGATTAAAAAATATATTTTTTTAATTTTCAAAGTAAAATAACTCGGTTATTTGGGACTTATTTGAAAAACGGTAAAGAGAAAATATTTTTCTTTTATAGAGATCTACCAGGTCTGAAAATATTTGCACTTATTTAAGACTCTTCCTGTATATATTTACAACAGTACTATTATAACAATTTCAATCCACGCTATTATAAAATGATGCAAAACCAGGTAACATTTGTAGAATAGAATTTAAGAATTACATAGTTTATTATGAAACAATAAACTGTTTTATTTATGTTATCATTAAATAAAATGAATCGGCACATTGTTGAAAAAAACATTTAGGATTAACAACGTACAGAACTTATGAATTTATTTGTGTTGAAATTAGCATGGAAGGCTTATTATTTAGTGTTAAGATTATTTTTTTTTGAAGCCTAAATGTGTTTAACATGATATTAATGTACTTTTACTGTACATTTAGATTTAATCTTGTTTTGTTCTGGATAGTATAGATAGAAAGTATAGGATATATGCTAGGTGCATTTTTTATATATTATATATTGTTATTTACTATGTACGGTCTTTGTTATATATCTTGTTGATATTAAGTAAATAAAATAAATTTTACAGAACTTGATAAATCTTCGTATTTTATACCTACCAAATATTATTTCTTCCGATTACGCAGTGGCGGCTCGTAGGTTGGACCAGGGTCGGAATCATGTCGGAATACTTTCAGAATTTTTCTCGCACGCCATACATATATAAGCGTATTCATTTTTTGTAAATCTCGAAACAGATTTATAGATAATGGACTTTCCTCTTATCATTGACTTACCCTGTACAAAGGACTGCAGAATTTAATTTTATAAAAGTTTTGTTTTATGTTCTTAATGCTTATATTTTTTAGTGTTTATTGTTTGTAGTTATTCTGAAAATAAATCGTTTTATTTTAGTGGTTTTATTCTCATCTGTATCTACAATAAATTAATAATACAGATAATGAGAAAATCGGTAACACAAGAAAATTAATATTAAGATTTAAAAGATACAGTACGTCTATCCGTACTGTAGCTACGGGGTATCCGTAAGGGGGGAACGATATTCTCTCGAGGTTTCTCGTAAAAAATTAGACTACACGTCCCATCAATAAAAATTCGACAAATTTGCAAGTAGCCAATGAAATGATGTGACATACAAGTTTGTCAAGTCCACGTGGTCCTTCTCCCGCTTCTATTTAGGTAGCGATTTATAAGAAATGACGATCAATGACATTTCCCATATAAATTTACATATAAAATGACAGCGATCTTCATTTCATAGCCATCGCTGACGCCGTTTTTTTCGATCATACGGTATATTGCTGTTTAAATGTTTTTTTGTCCGCATTCCTTTCATAGACACATCAAGTAGATGTACTTTAGGTACTTAAATTTAATTATAGTTGTCTTGACTTGAGGGTAATTATTAGTGATGGGAAAAACCGATTAATTTCAATAATCGAGTACTCGAATATCAAGCGATTGCAATAACCGAGTGATTACTCGAGCGAAATATCACTCGTATTTAAAAATACGGTTTTCATCCGTCGCATGTTGTAAGTACTCGTTAACGCCAAGCGCCAAGCAGTAAGTTGCGTGCGCAGGGCACATATTATTTCGGTAATGAACGGCAAGTAGTAAGCGGCGAGCGATTCGCTTGATTTAGTTTATTTCGAAGCATTGTCGATGTAGGTCGTAAAATTTTGTCCCTCAGATACGCAACGGATAAATATGCCTGGTGCGTCTCAAAAGTGGGTCACCCCTATAACTCTTTTATTTTTTTCAGATAAAACAACAAGATTTGGTACGTTAGTATATGACATAAATTAGGATTGATTGACATATTCAATTGTTTTCGGCCACCATTATATTAATATTAATACATTCGAAGAACAATCTGTATCATGCGTACCATTCACACAATACCAGAAGTCAAGCTGCACAGATGACTCCTATAGATCGTGTTAGTAAATCAGTCTGCCAAAAAAGTATATCTTATAATGGAATAAAATTATATAACAGTTTACCTTCGTTATACAGGAGATATTCTAGCCGTATTTTCAAAAAGAACATTAAATCTTATATAGTTGTCAATTATGTGATAATGCACTCCATGTTGGTCTAGGACAAACCATTATTATCAACCTTTAGAATTATAGCTTGTATACTTTTATTACATATTTATAATGCTTTTTTTTTCTCTTTCTTTCTGCGTGTAGTTAACTTTTAATAAGAAAGTAACTCTCAAAACAAGGCACAACACAAGACATTGTCTTAGGTGCCTTTATTAAAGAAACGGCTGTCATTTTATGTACTAATCTAAAAGTTAATAAAGTTTATTATAAATATTTATTACTTCCGGTTTCACCGGAAATGATTACAACTTTTGATTTTTAAATGGCACCCTCGGTATTTTTTTACTTTATTTGGTAGAAAATGACACTCTGAATAGAATGACATATCACATGTCACCTTTTGACATTTTCGCATATGATTTATTTGAAATTGTAACATGCGGTTTATAACGACAATTTGACTCGAAGTACCAAGTGTGTGGTATCAAATTATTCGTAAAAAAAATCTTTTTCGAAATATGCTAATAAGCCATCCTCGTTCCATTTAAAAAAATAAGATATGAATACGATTTGGGCATCTATTAAACCGGCCAGGGCAAGACACTAAAAACATTAGACGATCAAATCTATTTTTCCAAGGCTCCTTGATTGAAAATTAGTGTTTTTAACACATCCATGGCAGTTTAGATTGAAATTTAAAACACAATTTGTTTTTGAGCGAATATGTCAAAAGTTAACATATGATACGTCATTCTATTTAAAATGTCATTTTCTATCGAATAAAGTAAAAAAAAAATACCGAGGGTGCCATTTAAAAATCAAAAATTGTAGTCATTTCCGGTGAAACAGGAAGTGGCCGAAAACAATTGAATACGTCAATCAAGGCTAATTTATGTCTTATTACATACCAAATCTCATTTTTTTATCTAAAAAAATAAAAAAGCCATAGGGGTGAGCCACTTTTGAGACGCACCCGCTATATACGGCGTCGTATAAATTTGCTACCTGCAATGTATGTAGAAAATTCGCTCGGCTTTTTATCGAGTATGTCACATTAAGATCGGATTTCAATTTATTTCATTCTAGGATCGCTTGCGTTCGTCGCTTGGTACTCGCCTCTTGCATAGCTCGTTTATAATCGAGCGATGTCGGTTATTTCAATAATCGAGTACTCGAGCGAATTTTCGCTCGAGTTATCCCATCACTAGTAATTATATTGATTTGTTTGTTGTGCTGCAAGTTAAGTCATTTTACTGACTTAACTTGCAGATCATCATGATTTAAGTCAAAAATATAGACTTAAGTCATAAAAACGATTTAGATAAGGTTATATTGATTTGTGTTTACAAAACTGACTTGAAATAAAATTATTTAACTCAAATACTTACCACTTAAATCATTTGAACTTTATGTTGAAACTGACTTAATAAGATTTAAAACAATTTTATTTTTGAAATGACTTATGATTCAAGTCTTTTTAAAACTGATTTGTCGCAGCTCTGAGTAAAGTGATTGTTACTTCGCTTGGGTCAAAAGGAACTGTATAAGCAGAAGAGGAGAAAAATCAATAATTATTTAACTTAAAAATGTGTAATACTAAGACGAATTATAATTTGTTTGCAAAGGCAACAAGATAAATTTGATGTCCCTGCTCTGTGTTTTCCTTAACATTTCGGCAGCGTGTTGAAGTTGTAACGCGCAATCTGGATGAGCGCTGTCTGGTAACTGCATACATTCCCTTTCAAATATGTGTGATAACCCGTTGAGCAAATCTTGAAATCCTAAAGAAACCGCAGCTTTTCGAAGTCGGTTAAGTTCCTAAAAATTTAATAACAATCAATGCAATACGAAATAGCCTTGAGAAAGTATAATATCCATTTACCTTATAAAATTGTTGAGTTTTTCCAGGTAATTTACGTGCATGTCTAAGAATTTTTTGAATATCAGACTGTAAACCGGCTTGTCTGATCCAAACTACTCCGTTTTGTGAATAACTTCGTTTTTCGCTTGGGCGTAATGGAAATGTGCCAGCTTGTTCCGCGGGGAACATATCCGTCGTGGCTAACTCGTTTAAATCGCCTAACCTAGGAACAATAGGAATTTATTAAACAGTGTGTGGCAAACAGTTCGATGACAAATAGTAAAACAATATTACTGAGTTATATAGAAAAAGTTTATCAATTCATTTTAACCAATAAGTACTGTCTCAGTCTCAGCAAGAACAATCTTCGGATTGCTATTGTTAAATACTCAATGAACATCTCAGTAGATTGAAGATAAGAAATAACGGTGAATGTAGATTCTAGGGAAAATGGCGTTGGCTATAACAACTCTACTAGCTAATTTTTCAAAAAAAAAAAAATTATATATTATATCGCTGAAAAGCTTAAAAAATGGCGTCTTTTATGAAGTTATGGCCAATGGTTTCCATTTAAAAAAAACATATGTTTGTGTCATATGTCAAAAATGACAGGCTTTAGAAAAAATCGGAGAACACAAGCTCATTAGGGATGTGATTTTCTACAACTTTTATCTGAAAACTTTTTGTCTAAAATAGGTTATATTGGAATTAGGAACAATTTTTAAAATAGCCAATATTTGTTTTTTTCGAAATATGTAGTAAGTCATTAACTTTTTCAAAAATCTGAAAGGTGCATATCTATGACCCCATAAAACTGCAATTCTTTCCCCATTTAACCGACGCTCTATCTCCAGTAGTTTCCATACCCATAGAGAACATCGTAGAAAACTCACCCTGTAATTAACTAATAGTAGTTAATAAATATATGGTCTAACGGGAGGATACCAGACAGTGACAGTTGTGTCTGTCATTTTAATTCACAGGCAAAACGTAATATCTGTCATTATTTGAATGGCGTCTGTCGAAATCTTCCTTGAGTCGTTGGACAGTATCCTTGAGTCGTTGGACAGTCAATAGGGTGTTTTGTTTTTGTAGTATCTTTTTACAGTACTATACTCTATATAGAGCGTCGGCTACCTCTCGCATGTACTTCTGATGTGTGTCATCAGTGTTTCACATCGCCGAATTTGAACGGCACTATTTTTGAGAGGCTGTACAAGGCAAATATACTCAAGGCGGTTTGCCATTGCCTTCCTTGAGTTGGCGATGGCGGCTCGCTGGTCGCTCTATTTAGATAAATCAATATTTTTATTTAAATAAATAAAGCGACCGTACTGGCTGAGGATCGAACCTAGTATCATCCCATCTCTCACACCGCGGATCGACACTGCTTGCGGCCGGTACTGCTTGCGGTACAGCCGGCCTTTTGTAGTATATGTGATATTATTAGGGCTACTAGACGAAGTTATTTAGAGCTGATGGGACCAGTAAATCCTATACAAAGTGTTGCCGTTTTTTGGCGTAATTGTCTCGAATACCCTAAAATTCATAAGATAAAAATTTCAGCCAATAGAATTGCTGGAGATCGATACGCTGATCCGTCGTACTGCTTTTCTTGCGATCGTGCGGATATGGACTTACACTAAGACTGTTGGAATGGAACTCAGACGGTGACTGGCATGTGTGAATAGACTTTAATTCAGTAAAAATAAAGACTATGGAAGACTTTAATAACACAGAGTTTTAAATCAAATATCAACTAGTGATGGGTTGTTATTTAACTATCTGTTATTTTATTTAAGATTTTTTTAAAATGTATACAGGGTGTTTTGAAAAATCTGGTCATTGATTAATCACGATCCTGCTTAAAGCCCTCGACGTAAAAAGCTGATTTTTGGAAAACGGATTGACTTTAGTGTGTAGAGGTTCGATAAGAAGGGATTGTTCGAAACTCGAATTCTAAGGGGGTGAAACTACTCTCAAATATTAGAATATTTTTTATTTAAAAACCGGTGAGTTTTTCGGAAAAACTCTTAAAACACGTTTATTTTATTATGTTGTTTTACATATTTTAAGATTTTTTAAAAATATATACAGGATGTTTCATAAAATATGACCATTGAGTAATCACTATTCTGCTTAAACTGCTTGACGTTTAAAGCTGATTTTTGGCAAACGGATTGACTATGGGGTTGAGGTTCGATAAGGAGGGGTTTCTCGAATCTCAAATTCCAACAGGGTGAAAACGCCCCTCAAATATTACAATATTTGTTATTTAAAAAACGCTTAGTCTTTCGGGAAAACGCCTGGACACGCATAATTTATTTTGTTTTTTTACATATTTTGAAATTATTTAAAAAATCATACAGGGTGTTCCAAAAAGTTGAGTGATTGATTAACCACGATTCTGCTTAAACTGCTCGACGTTTAAAGCTTATGTTTGGCAAATGTGAGAAAATTTTATCCAGTTTGTATGTTAATGGAAATTCTTGTTTTGCTTTATCATCACCATTAGAAATTATTAATTCGACGCGAACGAAGTCGCGGGTACACGCTAGTTTAAGTATAAAATTAATTCGAACTCTAGTGTGTAGTTGGTTTACTTATGAAGAATATACTACACATTTTCTTATATTGCTATTTTTTGACCGCAAATGGTAAAATCATAACTAAGAGCTTCTCGCCCGTCGAGTGAGATGCACCCTGTACACTGCTACGCAATTCAGGATCTACGCGGATCGAGGGGCAGGGCGTAGGTAGATCGGAATGTATAGGTATAGACGAGTGGCGAAATTTTGGCTGTTTCGCAATTTGTAAACAGCGCTTATTTGTAAACAACCACCGTTTTTAGAGAGGTATTTTAGATAACAATCGATATTTAGAAATGTTTTGACACCCTGGAAATACTACTACCGAGCACGTCATTGTTGCAACTTGCAACTGCGTTAATATGCCTGGCGGTGACCGCCTCATACTCTTTCAGATATTTAGCAGTAAAATAAAGAAACCTGTTATTTTTAAGTTGTTATTTTAAGCTGTTTTTTATAAATAACTATAACAGTTTCAACTGTTATCTAAAAATAATAGTTTTGCCCATCACTAGTTTCAACCTATGTTCTTACCAAGGTATAATGTCCGATCCAGGTGGTAATATAGTTAACATCAAATTACTCTTCTTCTTTGAGTCGGCCCAAGAGTAAACAAATCCAAACCAGTTTTCGCCTATTGCCACTAGAGCGGCCATGTTCTCCACTTTCAACGCACCGTGTAGCAGTACACAAAACGATGGGGTATTGCCTTCGTCAATTGAGTTTTCGTCAGTTAGGTCTATAGTGGTGGAAGTCAAGTCGTTTTTACCAGACGCTGTAGCGGGAAGGATAAGATGTCGGCTGATTGCCATTGGAGATCCGACATCGGCAACAGAAATGAATCCACATATCTCGATTAATGTGGATACATTATACGTTTGACTATTGAAATCGGTAATTTTTGTGTAAGCCTAAAACCAATTGATGAAACAGGGTAAATTAAAATTAAAGTGAATGTATTTTAAGTTGACATCTCCTTTTTCTGCAACGAGACGTATTTCCGGATATTTCCGACTTTGTCTTGTTAAAAATGATTTTTAAAATAGTTCTAGACTTAAAAACAGTTTTAACATTATACCGAGGCAAAAATCCAAACAGTATAATATCGTTGATTGAAGAATTAAGAAGATGCACAGCCTTACGGGCGATTTTGTGGTACAAAATGTGTCTAAGATAGTGAGATGTAGCTGGCGATACCGTCAGGGTGTCCGAGATTTAGTTTAGCTCGGCGCCGCTGCGCGCTGATGGTTGTTTACAGCGCAGCGGATAAAGAATACTATACCGGAATGTACCGTAGTTCTGCTGCTTTCGGTCGACAGAGTGGGTAGTTGCCGGAGACAGTGTTGCCAGAACTACGGATTAATCCGTAGATTTAGTAGAATGATAGAAAATCCGTATTATTAACGTACCATACCGACCGACCGTACCGTTACATTATTTTTTGTTTCATCTATTCTTTTACATGAAATAAAAAATACTGAAGGATAGAAACATTTTGTTATATTTATAATTTTTGTTTTTGTTGTTTATTCTATGTTTAACACGAATACATTTTCAATAGATAAACGTGGATTTTTCATCCAAAGATTATTTACGTCAAACGTATTACAGATACTACACATTTTAATCTGGCGACACTGTCGCTTTCAGTACCACAACATAAAGTAACTAAAATAAATTTATTTTATATTTCTCTATGTTCCACACCGTCTTCGATATGCCTTCGTTGGTCGATTTAGAGAAAATGAGTGTTTTAAGCTTCATTCAGAACCTCGCAAAATTAGTGGAATAAATTAGTGGTTTCAATTACACTTTATACTTTTTAGTTTACAAACATTCACAATGTTTAAAAAACGAAATTAAAATTTAATAGAATATCCTAGCAACAGCTTGCGTTAGTCAGTTGTATCCATAGAGAAAGTCCAATATTCAGCTTATAAAACAATCAACTTTTGATTTCTAACCACAATTTCTTTTGACGGAAGATAATCAAAGGCCAAAATGAAATTTCTCGTAAATTTTGAAGTATAATTAGTGGAAAAGTGAAAAGTTAGGTAACTTTTTCTACTAATTGAAAATGTCTACCACTAATTTTAACCTTCTGAATGCTTACATTGAAATTCAAGGAATAAACTTCTGTGCTAATTGAAACCACTAATTTATTCCACTAATTGCGTTCTGAATGAAGATTTATGCTTTGGCCACAAAACGAGTTGTGTCTCCACTGTACAGCACTTGAGACGTAAGGGGAAATCAAATCAGCCTTGTCACGAATTTGCCAATTACGTTGCGTATCTTCTCAATTCTTTCAATCAACGATAATATTAAACTTTTTTAATGCATCGTGGTGACTCCCTAGTGATTGACTATGAATACCAGCCTAAACTAGAGTTGAAGATACTTACCACAGGTGCCGGAGATAGGATAATTTTTGAATCTAGACTTCCACATTTCAGTACTCCTTTAAACGAAATATAAATTTCTTCAGATAACTTTTGAAATAATGTTATAACATCAGCCTCACTTTGTAATTGTTCTAGAACTTGTATTGAACCGTCATACCCACTCATATCAATAAGACGTTGGTATAATGGTCGAGCTAAAACGATACGTTAAAAAGAATAAGGGGATAGTGTAATAAGTTTTGTTATTTTATTTATATGTAATTAGCGTTTCCAATTTATGGATCGGGATCCCGTTTTGAAATTCCGGTATAAGAACCTATAATCTCGGGATTCCGGAATTGACTCTCAGAATGAGATATCTAATCTAAAGAAGTACTTAATAAAAATGCAGCTATACAGGGTGTCAAAAAAATAGTATATGTAACTTTTGTGGGTGATTCTACAGATAAAAATAAAACAAAAAGTTTATATGAACATATGCCCTAAAATGCTTCCTAAAGAAGTTACAGCCCTCGAAAGGTTAAATAAAAATAATATATTTTGTTTATTTTTAAGAACATTGGTAAACAGTTTTTAATGAAATTTGGGACTCTTACACTAGAGGTGGGAATTCTAGTTCCTTAATTCTAGTTCCTCCAGAGGAATAGTTCATTGAACTAGGTCTTTAGTTCACAATAGTTCCCGACTAACATTTGCTGTCCTCCATTCGCGAACTTCGAGGTCCGGGCTTTACGCCCTGGGGCCACTCGAGAACGGTTCTGAAAGGAGCTGTGCGCGATAGCCTGGTGCCTCCATATGGCGCGGAATAGTTCTGGAACTTTATGACCCAGTTGAATGGAGTGAGAGTATCGCGTTCTTGAACAGTTCAGAGCTGCACAACTGCGTGAATGGAGGACAGCAATTGACATCTCCGTTGCTTGCTAATGGGTTTCGTTGTCAATCAGAACTGTTTACAGTATGATCTGTATAATTTTTATAATGTACGAAATATAACGAGACGTGTAATTGTGTATGTAAAAGTTTTATTGCAGATAAAAAAAAAATTAAAAAAGAAACTCAAATTAGAAAAAAAAGATGTTGATTACAAATCAATTGAAGCAAATATTAAGAAATTTTTACATTTTGCATTGATTGAAAATTGCATTTTTCCTCACTTCAGCTTTTTGTTTTTGTCTAAAAATTCAGAATATCTATTTCGTTTTATAAAATATTTCTTAATTTTAGGGACCTAAAGTGAAACATTCCCATAAAATATTTAAGGAACAAACTAAAAATCAAAAACAGTATCCACGAAGGCCGAATCCATCGTCGTCGCCTTGTATTATATCTCGGATCTGCCGATTGAACAGATTCCCGTGAACTAGTCTTTTAATTAGTTCCTCTAGGTCCGGATCCGATAACATACGGCTGGCACTCCCCACGCCTGTCTAGCATCAATCGCGCTGGCCGATCCGTCGCCGTCGCATATTATTATATATCGGTTACAGTCTCGATCCCGGAATAGGTCCTGAGGAACTAGTTATTTGAGAAACCAGGAACTACTTCCTTTCACTCCGGGGACGGAATAGTTCATTGGAACTAGTTCGTTCACGGACTACACACCTCTACCTTACACACATTTTAATGCCAAAGCGAATGGCGATTGCAAAAATTCCGTAACAGCTCAGAGAGTACTACTAGTGGTACTTCTTTAATCCTTATCTCCTCATAATTAACAGTACAAATTGTGGACATACTTAAATTTATTTTAAGTGCTTACATTTTATAAAACTTGGTTCATTTGCTCCCGCAATGCAGACCACGTGTAATTTGGCGGGAAATGAGAACGGTAAGGAAAAAGGCATCGAACCAACTGCTTTATCTAGGGTGAGCGTTTCCTTAAGAGACATTGATCCGATGCCTGTACTGCCGTCTGTTATCAGTATTATCTGAAAATTATTCCATCAAGTATAAAACGAGAGTGTAAAATAACATTTAATTTAATTGCTTAAAAAACGTACCTACCTGACAAACAGTATTATTGCCCCATTCTCCTAATATCATCTGATTTACGCCATGAAATGCAGTTTCTAGACATGTTTTATCATAATCATCAATATTTTTTAGTTCAGATTTTATTACATTGTAATCTCTCGTAAAAGAACATCTTTCTTCGTATAAAGAGGAGAATGCTATCTGGAAGTGTAAATTTAAAATGTAATTAAACGACCCTTTAGTTTTAGCCTGGTCTACATATTAGCCCTCTGAAGTGGGATTCTGTAAGTCCCTTAGCAAGAAATTTTTTGCCTAGCCTGTTATTTTTATACGATTGATGAGTGACTAGATGGAAATATGTTTACAGAATCGTACTGCTGGTCACTTCATCTGCTTGGTCAGCAGTGCAATTCTGTAAACATATTTCCTATCTAGTGACTCAATCAATTGTATAAAAATAACATAGGCTAGGCAAGAAGTTTCTTTTGCAACGGTGCTTACAAAATCACACTGCTGTATTTTAAAAGCATGCGACAGAGATAAATATAAATGACCGGTTGACAGACAGAGAGATAAAATAAAAAGCGACATACAGTGTTGCCGGCTTTTTACGTTTGTAGGAAAATTTGTGTAGAAAAATAAACTATTTTAAAAACTTTCATGTATGCTACTAAAATGAAGATAATATAATTTATTACAGCTGTAGTAAAATGAGTAACTATGATGCTATATAATATATTCATATTACGTTTTGTAAATTTACTTATATTTTTTGTGTAGGCAAATTAAATAGCTATATTGTATTTTTACTAAAATAAAACAAACAAAATTAGGGAAACATGGTTTATTCAATGAAATGATACAATAAAACTGAGAAACTTTTGGCCTTTCAAACAGCTAAGGTCAAATTTTATAATATTATAATAAATATATTTATAGTAATACAAATGTCCACTATTTCACACCAATGGCTGCTTGAGCTGCTTTCTTGGCTTTAAACAGTTTCAACTAGTTCCTTATATCGTTTCATACAATCCTTCTTTGTTCTGCTCGGTATGCTTTCTGCTATCCTATCCCACCGCTCCGCTGTAGAAGCCGGAATGTTTTTGTAAGCTTGTTCCAAAGTTGTTGTTCAGTGGTCAGCCCAAGGCTGATCAGATTTTGATACTTTTTCTTGTCTAGTAACTGGTTCTTTTTTTGTACCATTTGTTGTAATATCTTTTTCAGTAGTTTTGTTATTAATTTCAGAATTATTTTTAACATCGCTTATTGAAACTTCCTCCAACTTGAGAGAAATATCGTTTTCCATATTTATAACATTTTTCTTCTCTTTTTGAATGTATCAAAAGCTTTCTTTTGTTCGCTTGCTCTTTCAAATTATTTTTGGAGAAATCTGTTTTTTGTAAATCTTTAGCTTTGGCTAAAACTAATTTTGCAGAAAACTGAGTACTATCTTTTTAAATTGTCCGTGTTGATTTAAGAAGTTTGCTATTACTTCCCATCTCTGGTTTGTTCCAGCGGGAAATAAATTTACTGCTTTAACTAATAATTGCAAATTTTCTTCATTCCATTCGGGGAGCGGCTCTCACTAGAACATCACCATGATTATTCTTCTGCCTTGTTGATTCTAATACAGCTTGTCTTTTCTTTCTCTAAACCTTCTTCTTCATACTCTTGCACAATTTTTTTTAGGAATGCCGCTTTACCATTACTTTTAATTTTATTATTTATTAACTCTAACTCCTCTACACTCAGGTTTTCACATATTGATTCTACTGTAGTTATATAATGAAACGAATTAGTATTATTGTCTGTAAAATAATTGTTTGCTTTACAAGTATCCCTCAGAAGCTTCCTCTCCTTCTTTAAAAGTTTCTTGATTGCTTCACGCTCTTGTCTCTTGACTTCGATTCGAGCTTTTTCAGCTGCTTCGGCTTTCTCTTTAGCAATCTGTATTTCCCTAAGGGCTCTTTCTTCCTCTTCTTTACGCTGTTGGGGCAGCAGTCTGTTTCGCTTTTTACAGCTAACTTCTTTTTCTTTATCCTCCTGCTTGAACTTTGCTATTCTTGGATCATTGTTATAAGCTAAGTCTACAAGAGTTCTAATTCGAAGCATTTCCTCCTTTTTCTTTCTCTGACGCTCTGCTTTATTTAATTTATCTACATATCTACGTTCATCACGATCTTGACACTTGTCTTTATCTTCCTCATCTTCATAAGAAAATTCCCTCCAAGACTTAAAGTCATACCAAAAGGAATAAAACCTTTCAACATGATCACGTAAAAGAATTTCTATCACCAAGTTTAGGTACATTTCTTTTTTCTGACCATCTTGAATTAATGTTGAAATAATAAGAAAAAACTTTATAGAAATCCCTTTTATATCAGAACTGCTTGGAATATTGTTGTCAAATTCTGGATCAACTGAATCATATGCACGCCTCTTCTGGAGATTTCCAAGAACTTCATATGCCATAGTAATATTAGTAAAGCAATCATCGCCTGGTTTTATTTCTTCTCCTAATGCTTTCCTCTTATCAGGATGATGTTTCAGAACTTTCTTGCGATAAGCAGTTTTAATAATGTCTTCGGTAGCTTTTTATTTCTTAAATTTTCTATGCCCAATACCTTGTAGTGATCTTGCGATTTCCATTCTTTAGGATCTAAGCTTCTCAAATAATCTACATCATCTATATATTCAATTTCTTCAGGTTTTATGGTATCATCTGGTTCATCTGGCTGAGTGGTAATTTCCAGTTGTCTTACTTCTTCTGGTACAAATTCGATGTAAAAATCATTTTTATCACTATTTCTTACAACAAAATGGTAACGAATTGCAACTGTTCGGCAATAATTTGTTAAAGGAGATCTTTCTTCCATGGTGTATTAATTCATAACCTAGTATTATACAGCAGGTTATGTTAAATGCCACAAACTTCTGAAAATTAATGGAAGTTTATATTTGAAATACAGAAAACACTCTCAACTTACGGAAAATATGAATTAGTGGCTTAATAATTCAGTTAACTTCACAACGTTTATCGCCAACAGCATTTAAATTTCCCAGAAATTATGGATAAATTTAACTACAAACTACCCCAATCTCATTTTTAAAGAAAATTTCAATTTCCAAATTTCAATTTGGAGAACTGTCAAAAACAGTTGGACACATGTCGGATACCACTGATCGAATGTTCATATTATATGACACATACACACATATAATTAGTGGTCAAGTAAGAAAATATATGACGAGAGTTTAATATGAGGAAATAATTTCTTCTTTGAATTTCTTATATTAAAAAAATATAAAAATATAAATGCTAAATACACGTAGCAAATTTTAAACAAAGCGATTAATGTATACAGTGCACTCCAAAATTCCTCAATATTCAATATGGAATAAGGGTATTACCGGAATAAGTCCACTCTACACCCCATTTAAAAATAATACTAACTTCTGGTGTTTCTATCGGAAAGCTACTATGTATATAATTCGAAAATAATCAGAGTGTCATTTAGGCTTTGAATCAAATAACAGTTTGCGAACTACAGTCCAGATACAGGTAAACAAAAATTAGTATAACAAAAAGTAATTATAGTAACAAGAAACCTTACCAGCGCAATAAACTCCAGTTTGGAATGAACACTAAGATGATCTAGAAAGGCATTTATGCCTGTTATAGCTAGCTGTTTTCTGGTTGTTTCTATCCCATCTATAAACTGGATAGGTCTAGTCATTGATAATGAGGCATCAAGCAAAATTACTGTAGGCATAGCTGTCGCTGTCTAGAGTATTAAAAGTTTACTTTTTATATATACATTTCTTACTAAATTATGTACCTATATAAGTAGCTATCCTATAAGTTGCTAGCTAGAAGTAGTATTTTAGTTTTATAGTTTCAGCTACCAGGATTATTCAGTATATTGCTAGAACAACTTCATCTCTTCATTACAGGCCTTGATAATATCACTGAACGTATATGACATGACATTGGTGAGCCTAATAGTATAAAATAATATTAATAAATTGAAATAAAAATAAAATAATTCTCTTGGTAGATTTAGAAATTAATCACTTTATTAAAACAGCAAAATTTTGTTACATACCTACAAGATACTTCGGGATTATTAATTATTGGAACATAATACAATACTAAAACAGGTAAGTAATCGGTATTATTATTATTAGAGATTAAAATAGGAAAAAAACCTATGTAAAAAGTTGAAAATATCTGAAGAGTTTTACTAGATCTTTAACAACTATAAAAATCTTTGAATAAACCAGGAATAAACTGTAAACAAAAAACAAACATATCACATAATTATCAATAATATCAATGCATATTATAATACCGTACAAAATATCTACCACAAATCACAAATAACTACCACAGAACTACTGTCACTTACTGTGTTTTAAGGTAAGTGCGGGTTTACAAACTTTACATCGTTTTTACATGCATCTAATGCGTCGTCCGTCGTTGAATATTATTGGTTTATTCGAAAATGACAGCTCACAATTGAATATTATTCAGAGATATAATAAGGATATTATAAGTTATTATATGTATATGTTGAATATGATTGGAGTAAAAGTTGGAGTACGACGGACGACGCTGCGGTTGCATTTGAACTTATGATTTGAACTCACCTTAACTTGAAATCATATTCTGTGGTAGTTCGTTTGTATGCCATTGACAATGACAATTGACACATCTAAAAAGGAGTGCAATGGTATTTTTCAATCCATAGAAGGAAGAAGAAAAAAGATGCAATAAAACAATAAAACCAAGTTGAAAAATGGCATCTTCCGCATCTTTAAAGATTTTAAGTTGGTTTGCTAATTTTAAGTTTTAATTATATTGCAGGTATTACGTTAATCTTATATTCATAACAATGTTATTTTAATTATTATTGTTGTATTTTTTTTTTTTTTTTTTTTTTATTTGTATATATATTTGATTGGAATTATAGGTAAATATATTTTTTCTTATTTGTAGCCGAATTACCAAGTATATCTGAAGACGACGAGTCCTACAGTGATAATTCTGGAGATCTAAACCCCAATTCTTTGGAAAGATCTCATAAAACGAGTAACTCACAACATACCCAGTTAAAAAGTTTTAAGTGCTATTCGTGTGATCCACCAGACTGTTCACATGAAACAATTTGTCATAACGCAGTGCAGTGTTGGAAATCTAGAGTTCGAGAAAGTTCCGGTAAAGTATTACAACCTTATATAAACTTTAAACTTGAAAAAAAAAAAAAAAAAAAAAAAAAAAAAAAAAAAAAAAAAAAAAAAAAAAAAAAAAAAGGCGTCCAGTTGGTTTGAAATTAACATCAATGGCATTCCTTATTTAATTTTACATATAAAATGACTTCGATTTTCATTTTATGTTATCGCTGACGCCGTTTTTATTTTACTCATATGGTATTTCATTGACATTGTGTTTTTAATATTGATGCATGTTCATAGAGCCAAAAATATTTTGTAAGGTAAAAACATATTTCTAATTTATATAAAACCAGAACATTGGTTTTAGGTGTTGAAACTGTATCAAGGGGCTGCACCACTAAATCAGAACAAGTGATTTTCATGTGCAAGACGCCATCTTTTACTGCTTATCATAAAAGACAGGCGAGTGGATTATATCAAGTAGACTGCTGCGAAGGAAACTTCTGTAATAACGGAAGCTTTCCAGAACTACCTCCTGTATATAAAGAAGCATACACTCCATATTCTGAATCATTTATATTTGCACTTAAAATGGTGGCTGCTATTTTAGGACCGGTAGTTGTTCTTGGTGTAATTGCATTGTTAGTTTTATATTTCTTGAAGAAAATTCATCAAAACAGACTATTCATGGAGAGTATGTATTTTAATTAATTAGTAAATAAAACTAATGTGCTACTTTAATTAAATAGAATGGACCCAGAACAATATTATGTAACGGATGATTTATTAAGAGCTACAGCTGCTGGAGACAGTACTTTAAGGGAATATTTAGAGCAGTCCATGACTTCTGGTAGTGGATCGGGATTGCCTCTGTTAATTCAAAGGACAATGGCCAAACAAATATCGTTAGTGGAATGCATAGGGAAAGGAAGATACGGCGAAGTATGGAAAGGGGTGTGGCATGGGGAGAATATCGCTGTAAAAATATATTTTCGAGACGAAGCCAGCTGGAATAGAGAGACTGAAATTTATAGGTGGGTTTATATTAATATTAAATTATTTATGTTTTTGAATTCAAGTATTTTTTATTATTTGAACTCTAGTTAAGTTCCCTAACATTAACGATAACTTATTTTTAGCACAATCTTATTACGCCACGAAAATATACTTGGATATATTGGTTCGGATATGACGTCGCGTAACTCTTGCACTCAGCTGTGGCTTATCACCCATTACCACTCCTTGGGAAGTTTGTACGATTATTTGAACCATACGACTCTCAGTCATCAGCAACTAATGAAAAATTTGTTTACCGACAGCCAATTATCTGTGCATTTACACATGTGAAATTTTGGTACTCAAGTAAGTATAATTAAAGCCTCCACTCTTTTTTTCTTATTAATATTAAGTTTGAGTTAGATTAAGAGTGGGTCCCAGTTGGGACACTCCACTGCGGCCGCGAGGGCCGGAAAACTGAATGATTTTGTCAGTCCTCTAGTCCTCTAGACTCTTCTAGGTTTCTTCCATTTTATTTCAGTTAAAGTAAAACGAACTTTTTTTGTCACTTAGTTGAGTTACATAAATCTAAAATTAGATAAATAAATATATTTTAGGCAATATTTTTTTTTTTTTTTTTTTTTTTTTTTTTTAAGTAAATTAAAAATAAACGATTTGTGTTCAAGGGCAAACCAGCTATCGCACACAGGGATATAAAGAGCAAGAATATATTAGTGAAACGAAATGGAACGTGCTGCATTGCTGATTTTGGATTGGCTGTCACCCATACGCAGACCACTGATAAGCTTGATATTGGCAATAATCCACGTGTTGGCACCAAACGGTATATGGCCCCAGAAGTCTTGGACGAAACGTAAGAATTATTTTATTACTATTTATTTATTTATTTATTAATAAAACATTTTGTTACAATAATGAAAATAATAAAAAAAAAAAAAAATTTTTTTTCACAAACAATAATCTGGATATCTACATCATTATTTACTGAGCAAAAAATACACGTATAGTCTGTAAAAAAGATAAAATTTTGACAGTGATAGATGTGTCTGTCATTTTATGTGTATTTCAAAGTGTTTATTTTATTTTACAAAAAAAAAAAAAAAAAAAAAAAAAAAAAAAGAAATAATATTAAAATTGAAAAAAAAAAAAAAAAAAAAAAAAAAAAAAAACGTATAAATTGAAAAAATGTAATCAAGTTATTTTATTTAAAAAAAACGGTATGTGTTAATACAAAACAAACAAGAACAAACACCACATAAAAAGAACTATTTCTTACTTTCAGCTCAAAAAAAAAAAAAAAAAAAAAAATCTCCTTATTATATTTATAAATATAACTTATGTACAAATACAAATTTGTAATATTCCACAGGAATAAATAAAACAACATAAATAAAAGAAACTATTTTATTAATCATTGTTAATTTTTTTAAACCAGTACCTTTTGACATTATTTTTCTGCAGTACTAAAATCCATTATTTTCCTATCGTGTGATGTCGATATTTTACAGCTCCAGGTAGTATATGTTTAGTACAATCCTTGTAGCATAGGTATACGAGATGCAATTATCTACGACGAGATGGTATACAAACTTTATTGATGGTAACGTTATTTGTGTATATAACCACAGATTAGGTATACCATATGTATACAGATAAAATCTTATCCCTAATTCGTGAAATGAAAATTAAGTTTTCTATGACGTGACTGCAAACGAGTAAAATTTCCTTTGCGCAAAAATAAACTCGCGCAAAATAACAATAAACAGTGTAATAGAGAGATATCGCTAAACCGAATAGCGTGGATGGACGTTAATAAGGCCAGGTGTTTTAACTCTCTTCATTTATAGTTATCGGATTGGAAAGAATTCTATTCGCGTCGCGCCCGCTATTTAAACTTAACCTAACTTAGAATTTAAAATCCTTGAAATTGTTTTGTTTACTGTGGTATTTTAAACTAAAGGGCTAAAGTGCTTATTTCCAGTGCTTATTGTTCAACGTCTGCCAGTGGGTCTAGGGCAACAAGCAACAAATTCTCTTAGAAGGGCTAAGTCGTCATCTGCTGTAAACCTAAGCCTCTTTATAGGTTCTTTAATATTGAAGAGGTGGAATCCATATTTTGGGTCAGTATTTATTTAATTAAAACTAACTCTTAATTACTTAAATATCAAATTACCTAATAAAACTAAAGTAATAATTCAAACAATTCAAACATAACCTAAAATAATAGATCTCGCCGGCCGGCCCCGGTTGTCAAATACCCTCACATGCCCATTTACAAATTTTTAAACGTTATTTGGAAATAGCGCTTGGTGTAATTGATCCGCAAATCGTCAGGCGGTAACGTTATTAGCGGGTGTTGCGTTTAAAATTGACTCGCGCATATCGTAACTATGATAAGGTACGCGTAAAATACTGCATGACGCTATTCGGTTTTACCTTTCTCCAGATATCTCTCTAATAACTGTGCCATCAGTGGGCGTGCTATGTGCGCAAACTAGTAACCTAATTAGTACCCGATTCCAAAAAATTGGAACCACGAAAACAATCAAGAAAAACAAAGTTTATAATCTGTCTAATCTGTGATAAAAACTCTGTCTGGGCACCGAATATTAACTATAAATTGTGCTCTGGGTCTACAGTTAATTTTCCCTCAATTTTAATAGCAATACTAACTGAACGAAGTACGCTTGAG